ACGCGCGTGCCTTGACAGTATTTGGGGACGTCCGCTGCGTGGTTTGTCTTCTGTTGTGCCCGTTGTGGTGGCCTTCTTGATAAGGCGCGATATGGTGGATTTCGAGCGCCCGCACGCGTCCGCCACCTCTACCATCGTACAGCCAGCTTTCCACATCCCGATGGCTATATTGCGCTCGGAAAGACTCATATTTGGCTTACGCCGTACATTTTGCGATATCTCACGTCCAAAAACACGCGGTGTTGACATAGTTATAGTGGGTTGTTGTTGTGGTGGTGGTGATGGTGGGGGAGAGATTTGGCGCTAGCGTTGCAAAACTTTTGACGCGTAATTGTACAACCGTAGCTTTTACCTGCTATTTCAGATCAATATACGACCAACAATCGCATGACATGCGTGTTAGATCTATCTGAAAGAACAACATATGCTAAACATTGTGAAGATGAATAATCTAATGCAAGTATTTCATGCCCGGCGCAAGCTCCCCATGTCCATACGTACGCCCCACTCGAAACGCCTCTCCATGAACGCCTTTACCGCCATGTATTGTAGAGCTGTGATATCAGAAAATCCCCTCCAGCGATAATCAGGCTAATCATGTTTTGGCGCATAATCCCAAATATGACTCGAATCCCAAGATTCCGTCTCCTCTTTCCTCGCCTTGGGATCTTCACCCCTCTTCTTCGCGTCCTCTCTCAGGGTATCCAATTCGCGGTCCTGCGCCGAGATCTCAGTCCTAAGCGCAGTAATCTTCGCAATCTCCTCCTGGGTAAACGCGGGATCCTCGCCATTCTTCTTCGCCTCTTCCTCCCTTTTGTTGAACTTGTCTAGTTCTGTAAACTTTTCATTTCGCGCGTCCTGTTTCTTGAAGTAATCGTTGAATTTGTCCTGGCCGCCGAAACAGATGCCGTAGCCGTCGCAGTAACACGTGTTCATGGCCGGACAATGCACTTCATGCCCTGTGAAAATGTAGTGCCATATATACTCGAAGATGCGGCCGGAAAACTGGTCGTCCATGCCCGTTGTAAGGAGCCATTTGCGGTAGTGGATAAAGCGCTCAATGGGCACCTCCTGTATGCGCTGCCGCGACACGGCGAATTGCGCGCAGCAGATGCCGGAAATGGAAGGCGGGATGGGAGCACCAGGGTGGATCTCCTCCCAGATGTTGCGCCGCCAGTAGATCTCCTCGGGCTTGTGGAAGAAGTCGAAGTCGCCGCCGGGGCGGTCCATGTGGATCCAGTCCGGGCAGCCCGGGTCGTGGTGGCAGCGGACGTTCATGTAGCCCATGCGTGCGACGCGCTCGTGATTGAGGCGCTTGATCATCTGTGCGGCGTCGAGGCCCAGGAGCATGTTGTTGTGCCAGGCGTGGCGGTGGGCGTGCATGAAGATGGAGGTATCGGGGAGGTCGTCGTAGTGGTCGATGATGTAGGAGAGGTAGACCTGGTGGGCGGGTTAGAGTGTGGCCGTCTATATGCCAGAGACGCAAACGTACCATGGCCTCGCGGCCCTTGTTCTTGGGGATCTTGTGCTCGGCATTGGGGTTGTCGACTTCGTAGACGACGAGCGGTGCATCGGGTATCTCAGCGGCCATCCAGCTAATGTCCTCCTTCTGTGTCTTGGGCACGACAATCTTGAATGTGTAGTTGCTGCCGGGCGGCTTCTTCTGGCCGTCGCTGAAGCGCAGCGGCAGGCCAAAGTCGAGTGGGTCGCCGCGCAATGAGGGCCGGTGTTGGTTTGCGGAGGCGCCAGATTTCCATGTTGGAATCGACGAGCCTGCGCCGGGCACCGTGTGGAGATACCACCAGACGAGGCAGACGGCGACGAAGAGGGAGACGAGTGGAATGATCCTCGGTGGTCCGCTGAGCATCTTGACGGGTACACGGCAGCCTTTCACCGCATTGATGGTTGTGGAGAGGTGTTCGAGACCGTGGTGAGGATCATTGCGCGGGAAGCAAGCGGCGCCGGGGTCGTCAACGTCGTCAGCTCTGCCTCGACTTACGGTGGAGCATCCCGTACTCAGTTGCGCGTCACTGGCGAGCCCGAAACCCACATCCTTGCATTAAACTCTCACTAGCCCTGGACCACAACCTGGAACCAAGCCTTTTCACCACCACCGTCCGGTGCAGTGCAACACTTGGCAGGGGAACTTCAACTTCAATTACTACAACTCAGCTACCATCTCCCTACTCTGTCCTCTGCATCATGTTTACTCCCTCTTCATCCCCACCCGCCCAATTCCCCTCAGCCCCCATCCCAACAACAGCCCCGTGGCACAGCTCAACGCGAACAGATACCAGAACGCCGCCCGGAACCCCTCCATGAGCGCTGCAGGGCTCTCTTTCTCAACGTAGACCGAGTGCTCGGTAACACTAGACGCAATGACAGCACTGGTCGCTAGGCCTACGCTTTTCCCAATCTGCGCTACTGTGTTGAAGACTCCGCCCGCAAGGCCCTGCGTCCGGGCTGGAAACACTGATGTAATGACCAGATTAGAAACCGTGAATAGAGCGTCCGCGCCAATGGGATTGAAGAAGACAGAAAGGAAGGCACAGCTCCAGTAAGACCACTCCGGCTGTATGATGCACATAAGCAGTCCGCCAAGAGTGGTACAGAACAGCCCCACGGCTACCGCCCAGTCAGCGCGCACCCGGTGCGCGATCAGGCCCATTGCGACATTGGCGAGAGCTCCAGCTACAGGTCCGGGCAGGAACCGGATCGACGTCTGGATCGCGGATAGCTTTTGGACGTTCTGAAAGAAGAGAGTGTGATATGATTCCACAGCATTGAAAGTCCCCCACGTGATGAAAACACCGATACAGATGATGCTGAAGATTCGGTTGCGCCAAAGCGAATTGGGGATGATGGCGGGCCGGCCCAGTCGCTCCTGGCGGCCGACCCAGAAAATGAAAGCAGGAATGAGAGCGATTGCAGTGATCAGCAGACCAAGCGTGGTAGGCTCCTGAATCTTTGCAGTCTCTTCGGAGATCAGACTGGTCATGTTAGCTTCCAGTTTCAGTTTCAGTTTCAGAGGCAAGACACCACTCACGCAAAGCAATATGAGAGCAGCGCCAATGACGCACTTCCGAACAGGATGCCTACCCAGTCTATGTCGCTCTTCAGGCGGGACCAGACATGCGGCAGCTTGTTGTCGACTTTTGGCAAACCAAACAAGCCAAGGACGAAGACAATGGTGTTGGCGATGGCACTGATGTGGAAACCCCATCGCCATCCGATGGTATCAGCGAAGATACCTCCAAGTACAAGTCCAAAAGAAAAGCCTATGGGCTGACCACCGCCCATGGACGCAAATGCAATGTTTCTGCTCTTGCCTTCAGGGAAAGTACTCGTGATGATACTGACGGCTGAGGGAAGGCAGAAGGAAATCGCGATGCCTGCAAAGGCGCGAAATACAATGAGCTGTGTCCCTGTCTGTGCCAATCCACATGCTAGTGTAAACGCAGACTGCAAGAGACAACCTGTCAGGTACATGGGCCGTGAGCCAACGACATCGGCAACCGATCCGAGAAGGAGAAGAGTACAGCCACATGTCAAGGCGTAGATAGAGATAGGCCTGTTGTGCGTCAGCATGTGCGTACGGGACAGCACGTAATCGTAGGTACCATAAGAGCACACTGGGTGCCAGCTCCAGTTCACGTGCAACTGTGGGTAGAGTAACAGTCATAACACCAGAAAGCATGGAGCTGACCAGTGTAACACAGACGACCGTTACCAACACGATGGCTGTTGTTCCTTTGCCTGGGCCATCCCGCTGTTCGGCAGCGAAGGTTTCAGGGGATTCACGGATAGGTCGTAGATCATCAGCGATAGACGGCGTTTCTTTGATCTTTGCAGCACCAAGTGGTTTGGCTGCGAGGGCTGGGATTGTTGTCTCATGGTAGTCCACAAGTTCAATTGACGTTGCTGTTCGCGACATGTTGAAAAGGGTAGATGCGAATACTCGGACAAAGACGTTTATAACACCGCGAACATCTGTACTATTTATCTTACTGGCGAGTCCCTACTAGTCGGAGATACTAGTTAACATAGAGCATGACGCTGTTGACATGGGCTACGCCCTACGCCCACGTATTGCCCTTTGCCGGGAGTGAGATGACTGATTGGTCCAAGAAGTCACTAGTTCAACAAAGTCTACTACGTTTCTAGAAAACGGCAAATTTCCGGTGGCATCCATGCTGTAGAATGGCCCTTGGCTTGTAAACCAACCTGATGATTGTTCTTCCGTCAGCGTAGGATCGCGCTTGGACGCGGAAGCTTTCCGTCGCAAAGAGGTTAGGCGGAAAGATAAGATAGCCGCACCTTATCGGGCAAGCGCCATCCATTGCTGCAGGGATCTGGTACCTGACACTTGGAGATGTCGAAGAGCACCAGGTAGAAGAGCAATCGTTCTGCTGCCTGTGCGGGACATTCTCTTGTATATTCACTGTGGACATTTGATGTGCTAAGCTGGTCATATCACACAATTGGCTGCAGGCCTTGTTCCCTTACCAATACCGTCTGGGCGTTATGCTACACGTTGCAACTTCTTGAGATCGGAAGTTGAACTTTCGAAACACCATCATCTTTCGTTATAGCTACGCGTAACCACCAAGTCTCCAGAGCTTGGAGCTTACACCACATGATGCGAGCTTCGGCCTCTATACTGAGTGCGAAAGCTCTCTTAGTGCTCAGCGCGTTCAGGCACAGTGGCGCACATGCGGGCCCAAGTGTCAATGTCGCTCTTCGAGCTTCCTTCAACCCTGCGCCGTATCTAGTAGAGTTACTGTAAGCTTCAAGTATACAAAGATGGAGAGTTACACCTAACAACCACCAGTGAAACCGCTGCAGAAGAAAACGCGACAGCATACTACCCCATACTCGACCGCATTTCCGAGGGCTACTTCGACGAAAAGGACACACAGCAGGAGCTGTACACGGCCTTTCGAGACCTCCTCCAGAGCGATGGACACATCACCGACCCCGCAGCTCTTGCCTCATTCGAATTCGCCCTGTCAATCCAGTCGGCTGCGCCACGGATAGAAGCACATTACCAATTCTACAAGACTTCGGTGGAGCCATCGCTGGAAGCCACACAGACCAAGGCTTGCGACATCTGGACATCGTTCCACGGGAAGCAATACTGCGATGTACATCTGGAGGAGTCTTTTGGGGGCATTGAGAGCGAACGGTACGTACTGGGGATTTACTCGATTGACAGGTGCTAAGTACTGGACAGGACATATCAACTACCCTTCGACCGCATACTTGGCAACAGCTCGGCTCTGCCTGCCATCCTATACGCCGATATAACTGCTCCTCGATTCAAGAAGTGGCACAAGACATTGAGCAAGACGGCCAAGGAAGGAAAGACGTCGTACCGTGTCCGGCATAAGCCTTCATCCAACGCGCCAACAACACCATTGATAGTCAACGGATACGGTGTCGAGTTGCAGCTGAAGCGGACAGACTACATCGTCATAGATGACAGGCAGGCTGAGCAGGGACAGAAGAGTGATGCTCAGAAGCCGATAGGCACTGGCTTGGACGACGATGAAGATGTCGCGGACCTTAAGCCCTTGTCCAAGGACGAGGTATCCGAACTAGCATTGAAAGCTGCCGACTTTGTGGCTCAAAGCGAACAGCCAATGGACACCCTCATGAAGCTTGTGCAGGACTTTCCAAAGTACTCATCCGTTATTGCAGCTCATAACGCGTCGGATGAGTTTGTTGAGGAACACTTGGCGAATCGCAACCAACTTCTTCCTGCTGGTTACAACGTCATATGGATCAACGGCGTACAGATCCCGGCTCGCGATGTGAATCCGTACTCGCTGTTGGCGCATTTGCGACGCGAGCGGAAGTTGATCAATGGAATACGCAGTCAGGGTTTGAGCGGTTCCGAGGTTGTATCTTTGCTATCACATGCTTCCATTGCGGAGAGCCAGACGGAAGACGAGCCTCAACGTTATGACTTCAGGGATACTACTGAAGGGGGCAACATCATCTTATGGCTTAACGACATCGAAAACGACCCCATGTACGAGGGATGGCCAAGTGAGCTCAGAGCTGTCAGTACAACTATCAACTACATTGATTTCGAACTAATCGTGATTGCAGCTGCTGCAAAGAACTTACCCTGGCCAGCTCCCGTCTTGTCGAAGGGACATTCACAACGCCATCGTCTCCGTTGACTTTACCTCTACTGAAGATGTTTCGCTCGCTCTGGATACTATAATGAGTCTGATCAGGCGTGGCATCCCCCTACGCTGGGGTCTCGTTCCACAGACTGCCACATCGGAGGCTATAGACCAGACTAAGCTAGTCTATCATCTGCAGGATGCATACGGATTACCTGCTGTGATAGAATACCTACAAGTTGTGAGTGTTGGTCTGTCTGGGTATGCACGTATTTTGCGCTGACATCACGAGTAGTCTGCGGCGAAACCCGACAAAGCTGTCTTTGACACAACGGTCAAAAGAACTACACTTATCGAAGGGAAGGAAGCGTTGGCATTCGATGATGTACTCAAGTCCGAAGCTCTGGATCAACGTATCTCAGGTGCCAAACAGTACCTGAAGCGTCTAGCAGCAGAAGGCCCGAAAGCTCCCATCTTTGTCAACGGTGTTCCCATTCCAGCGACCGATGAATGGCTCCAAACACTCAGCCAAAGGATCGGCATGGATCTGCGTCAGATTCAGAAGGGTGTCTTCAACGGCGTCTTCAATGACGATAGTTGGGTTCCGCAATACTTCTTGTTCCAAGCCGCTGCTAAACGCAATCCTTTGATCATCCCAGAGAATGAGAAGAACATCACGCTCATAAACATGGCGGAGTTTGAAGAGGTACATGGCGAAGCCTACAGTAAGATGCCGCGACTTGATGCGTCAGAGTCTGCTAGCAAGAGTGACTGGATTCATATCACGCTGGTAGCGGACTTCGACTCTGAGGCTGGGTTTGCGCTTCTTAAAGCTCTAGCAGATTTCCATGAGGCCAACCCGAATGTTGAGGCCGTCCTCATACATAACGATAAAGCAGGTGCGGAGCAATCCAACGCCTCAGAAGATCTATTGGCAACATACATCAAATCCGGTCGCAAGCTCACCAGCGAAGCCCTGTCTGGACTCCTGGGCAAAGAGGTCAATTATGGACCCACTCCCGCCAATTCAACCTTGTTCTGGAAAGTTGCTGAGCCGATATACGACGCTGTCGGTCTGAAGCCAGGACAAAATGGCTTACTTGTCAATGGCCGCTATGTTGGTCCTATCCCAGAGGACTACACGTTCTCACAGGATGACATGGAGACTTTTGTCACCTATGAGATTACCAAGCGCATTGAGCCTTTGAACAAGGCGCTTGCCGATCTTCAACTTATGGACAAGATCGCGTCTCCTCTAGACGTTGCAAAGATACAATCGCTTGTTGCGCTGTCCACTGTGTCAGATGTTCCAGAAGGCATATTCGAGACTGCATCCACTTTGAGGATGAGCACATACAACGACTGGAAGTCCAAGTACACCGCTATTGTCAGGGGCGACGAAGATAAAGCTGTTTTCCAGATTGTGGCTTCCATCGATCCGGCTACTGAACAGGCACAAAAGTGGGTACCTATCCTCAAGGTACTTAGTGACATGGATGGCGTACACCTTAAACTTTTCTTGAACCCCAAAGGGATGCTGCAGGAACTTCCTGTCAAGCGTTTCTATAGATACGTTCTCGAAGCCCGTCCACAGTTCACTCACGATGGATCTGTTGGCCGTCTGGGAGCTCACTTCGGCGGCATCCCCAAGGAAGCCCTGCTGAACCTCGGCATGGATGTGCCACCATCATGGCTCGTCGCTCCTGAAGAGTCTATACATGACCTCGACAATATCAAGCTTAGCACGACCCCTGCTGGCACCAACATCGACGCTATATATGGATTGGAGAGCATTCTGATCGAGGGTCACTCTCGCGACACCACAAATGGTGGACAGCCGCCGCGTGGTGCTGAGGTTGTCCTTGCCACTGAGCGCGACCCTCACTTTGCCGATACCATCATCATGGCCAACCTAGGCTACTTCCAGTTCAAAGCCAACCCTGGATTCTACAACATCAAGCTCAAGAGTGGCCGCTCTCAAGAAGTCTTCAACCTTGACAGTGCAGGTCCGATCAGCTGGGCTCCTCAGCCCGGTGATGAAACTACCGAGATCGCACTTATGAGCTTCCAGGGCGCAACAATCTTTCCCCGACTTTCACGCAAACCGGGCCAGGAAGACACTGATGTACTTGCTCCCGAGGAATCGCTCGCCTCTGAGCTGGTCGGCAAGAGCGCACAGAAGGTCAACAAGTTTCTCGGCAAGATGGGCCTCAACTTCGACTCTGAAAAGGTCCTGCAAAAGGGTGCCGACTTGTTCTCTGGAGGCAAGACAGCGAAGAAGGGCACTCAAGCAGACATTAACATCTTCTCCGTCGCGTCAGGCCACTTGTACGAGCGCATGCTCAACATTATGATGGTATCTGTTATGAAGCATACAAAACACACTGTCAAATTCTGGTTCATTGAGCAGTTCCTGTCTCCCAGCTTCAAGTCCTTCCTCCCGCACATCGCTGCTGAGTACGGATTCGAATACGAGATGGTCACATACAAGTGGCCTCACTGGCTCCGTGGACAAACCGAGAAGCAACGCGAAATTTGGGGTTACAAGATCCTCTTCCTGGATGTCTTGTTCCCCCTAGATCTTGAAAAGGTCATTTTCGTCGATGCCGACCAGATCGTAAGGACCGACATGTTCGAGTTAGTGCAGCACGACCTCGAAGGCGCACCTTACGGCTTCACACCCATGGGCGACTCACGTACCGAGATGGAAGGCTTCCGCTTCTGGAAGACAGGTTACTGGGCGAACTTCTTGCGTGGTAGGCCATATCACATCTCCGCACTTTACGTTGTAGATCTCAACCGCTTCCGCCAGCTGGCCGCCGGTGACAGACTGCGTCAGCAATACCATTCCCTCTCCGCCGATCCCAACTCGCTTTCCAACTTAGACCAGGATTTGCCAAATAACATGCAGTTCAATCTGCCCATTCACAGTTTGCCTCAAGAGTGGCTGTGGTGCGAGACATGGTGCAGCGACGAAGATCTTGCCAAAGCAAAGACTATTGATCTGTGCAACAACCCACAGACCAAGGAGCCCAAGTTGGATCGGGCAAGGCGGCAGGTTCCAGAGTGGAACGTGTATGATGAGGAGATTGCAGCGTTGGCAAGGAGGGTTAAGGGGGAGAAGAGGAAAGAGGTGGTGGATGTACAAGAGGAAGAGCAGAGGAGGGAGAAGAAGGAGAAGGATGCTGAGATTGAGCACAGTGAGTTGTAACATAGATGATACACGTAGTGCAGGGAAGCGCAGCTTGATATCAGTAGAGTGAAGGGTGGTCACAATATTGAAAGCGTCGCAAATCCGCAGAGGAACGCCTATGTCCCTCTTGCTTTGTTTTGACAACAGCACAAAACTCGTCTTTCAGATCATTTCGACATCGGTGTTCCGCTGGCCAGTCTAATTGTCATTCGCCAGACCCTCGATATCAAAAGGGCCGATCGAGCCGTCTTTCCCGACCACCACTACGATGATCGACCACACCACATGCGGTCATAACGTCCAGGAGGCTTGCACGCGGAGCGAACAATCCACAACCGGTTTCTGCAAATTCCCGAATCCACGCGAGCCCTGATGCGATGAGACATTAAACCACACATGTTCGGGTCTCGGCTCCTTTAGCGCGTACTGGTCCCCGTGCCGGTGCCGACTGTACCTGGGACTCGGTGGAGCAGGTAGGTTCATGCCAAGACAAGTATGACATCGGTGCTCAAGCGTCATAGTCGCAAAAGACGTAATGTGGAGGTGCCATGAGGCGCTGGGCTGGATGTGTAGGACGTAGGTATATAAAGGTGGCATTGACTTGTATTGTACAACCTCATCATATACTCATCAAACGAATCTACACCATTCTTCTCGACTGTTTCACCACCCCGAACAAATCAAACTACACAGAACTTCCGCATCAACATGTCTGGACAAGGAATCTCTCACCAGGGCATCACCGCCCCCGGTCTCAGCGAGGCGGACCAGAACATCAACAACACTACAGAGGACATTAGCAACAAGGCTTCTGGACACAAGGCCAACTTGAGCAACCCCAGTATGTTTCTTCTTCGTTATATATGATGGCATCACTACAGAAAAAGAAAACTAACGTCTGGCTAGACACTAGCGAGGAGTCCAAGAAGAAGTCTGCTGAGGCGCTCAAGGCGCTCGGTGGTGAGGATGCCTTCTACGGAAAGCAGGGTAAGGGCGAGTAAGGGATGAAGATGCTCAAGAGAGGAAGAATGCATTTATGATACCATATGAGATGAATATAATGTCTTTCAACACTTATTTACTGCCTTGGAGCAAATGCTCTACAAGTGCCGTGCTAGTGGAACCGGTATAGCTTCATCGTTCTGTTGGTATGTGATTTCCAGCGGAGACGACTGGAATTTCGTAGAGATTCAAGAAGGCCTCAAGCAATGATCGCGTTGACGATGCATCCGGCATGGTGTTCTCGTGGCACTAGGTGATGACGTCACCAACCCTGTTGTCTCCTTCCCCACACCTCCACCCCAGCCATCCAATCTCCCCCGACTCCAAAGTACCCTTACAAAGAAAAGCAACCACGATCTTGTCGCCCATCGATATCCTGCAAAGCCACACATCATCATCACCATGTCCTCAGACCACCCAGAAATACCCACCCTCCACTCCAAAGCCGAGTATCTCCGCGCCGTCATGTACGAAGGCGTCACGATCCTCGAAGGCACAGCGACTTGGTGCAAAAACTGCCACATCATCGCGCCCGAAGTCGCTAAGATGGTGACTGAGTACCCAAATGTCAAGTTCTACACGTATGATGTTGAAGAGTGTGAGGATATTGCGCAGGAATTGGGGGTGAGGTCTATGCCGACGTTTAGTGTGTTCAAGGATGGGGATATTATGGAGGGGGTTACGGGGGCGAAGCCGAAGGAGATTAGGAAGGCGATTGAGGGGTGTTTGTAGGTGCGGAGATTGACTTGGAGAAGAGGGAGGCTGGGTGAGAGTGAGAACAGCAATAATTCGAGAGGAGCTAACATACGTAGTCATACTGTCGTGAAGATTACGGCAGCAGCCATCGAGGCTCCAAGATATTTAGTCCGCTGGTAGCTTACAACCCCATTGTTGGTATGTCCGCGTCACAAAGCGGTGGAGATGCGGCCATCTCTCGCGGAGGTGAAGGCGGCTTAGAGGAGCGAAAAGAGCGTGTGCAAATATTTTCTTGAACACTGAGTCGTCATCTCCAAATTTCTCACTTGAGCTTTGTACGCCAACGCACTCCCAGAGTCACCATCGCATCACATCCTTTCCACGCACTGCAATAGATCGCCGTGACTACCTGGAAGCAAGAACTCACTCAATAACATCTCCGTGCAAAGAGTTCTTGGCATTCATAGCAGTATGGCAGAGCCTCTGAAGGTCGCAGTGCCCTCGAAGCTGAAGCTCTCGGAGCTAGGGTCAAGAATCAAGAGACTGATGATCCTAGTTGCGGAATATGAACAGGCGATCGCACGACTGGGCGACACGATCGAAGATGAGTGTATGTCATACATCAAGGCCAGATGTCAGTACTACCAGACAAAGCTCAGGGCCGATGAAAAACGATACATGACTACGGCGGGAAGGCCTCACATAGAACGTGTGCCTGAAGACTCTCACGTACCAGTAGTCTCGATCCCAGAACTATCACAAGTCATGTCCACTGAAGCAGAAGCGTTGGGGGATGTTACCACTATTGGTCTCTCACTCGTCCAGCTCACCACCAATCGCGCTGCCTTAGAGCAAGAGCTTCAAAACATCAGACAAGCGAAGGAACGAATGCAAACCGAGCCTATCAAGTCGATAGATGCCGTGGAAGACGACAATGAGATACAGGACCTCAACAACATCATCGAAGAGTATGGAAACAAAATCCAAGAGCATGAGTCCTGGATCATCTCCCTTCGTTCGAAGGCGTTGGCAGCGATAAAAGCGGCGAACCGTGCCGCTAAGAGTGACATCGAGATGCCTGGGATCGGAAGATGGTCTCCTATACCTGCACCCGGAACTATGACTACCACCCCTTTGTCTGCACCCACTATAGCCACTACTGCACCTACTGCAGCTGATACCACGTCCATCACGGTCACCACTGCTCAGGTTGAGGTCGCAGATATACCTTCCGAAGTTACAACCGCCGCGAAGGATCTCCAAGCCAGTACGACTTCGGATGTCGTAGCCACTGTCCCCAGAAGCACGACTGCTACCATCAAAGTGGACAAAACACTCTCGAGTATCACACTGTGTGCGCCAAAAAAGCAATACGCCAATGTTGAGAGCGTGGAGCAAACAGAATTTGCTATCGGTGACATCGGCTGGTTTCCCATTCTGCGCCCCTCACTATCTGAGTCTTCATCCGACATTCACACCGAGTTCGGCTACATCTGCGCTAAATCATATCCGCTCATCGTTGAGGAAATGCTGGAGGATTGTATGCTAGGTCTCATCATTTCTACATCAAATGGAAATGGCTTGCGTCTAAAATGTGCTTCTGTCAAAAGCCGAAGTGCTCTCCTCCTTACCGAGTCATCACAGAAACCCAGCTTTTCCGGCTGGGGCGAGGAACTACATCCTAGAACTTGGCTTCGGGTCAAAGGCTCCAGCGAATATAGCCCTCCCGCAGGCGCTTACGTTGACATGCTGAACGTGATCATGATACCCTATGACACAAGATTTCAGAAAAAAGGGAGTCTGATGAGCGAGGACTTCCTTGTTCTACAGCAGATGAGGCTTTCAGCAGTGCTCTCAACATCCGGAGCTGGAAAAAGAGGATTCGCGCCAAGGTTTTGGACGTGGTTTGGAGAATGGTATGGAAAATGGTGGATGGCAGCACGGGAATGAGAAAAAAACATGATGTTCAGAGCAAATGTGGATGAAGACATCACTCAATGAAACACCTGACTCAACCTGAGTGAATACGTACGAACTTCACACTTTGCGTCGAGAACAATGAGCTGCCTCTCAGTATGCGATTCGCGAACGTTAGTATATGCTGTACCTGTGCATCGAAGTTCTCGGTACTATCTACCTAGTGTGATTAAGTCTGATAATGTTCCCACTGGTGGCCCTCGTGTTCAGATGTCAGTCAGTCATTCGATAGCCGCCACGCTCAGTCCAATCACACGTGAGACCGTCGGAGCGAGCACGCAAGAGATAGTCAATACAGCCGACCTGACTACGTAACACATTATCAGTCATAAGCGTTTGTTATCTCATTTCTGCGCATAAAGCGCGTTTTATGTTCGTGAGGCGGTTAAGGTGCGGGTCACATCGCTCACCACTCATCGCCAAGGCAATGCTGCGTTTGCACCCTACACAATTGGAAATTTCGTATATACTCTCTTTCAGACTCACCGACGATAGCTACGATAGAAATCTCTTTCTCTTTCTTGTCGCTGATAAGTGTCTCTCACTTATAAATCACGTTCTTTAGTACACCTCCTTTACTACACCAACCAATATAGTCAACATGGACTTCCTTGGCAACACCTCACATCTTGATTACAAGCCTATATCGCCAGTATGGCCCACTGTAGTTCCTGAAGATATGAAACACGTTCAGAGCATGATCGCCAATGAAGCTCTCGCCATCGAGCTCGAGCAAGCACGGATGAGGTTACTTATCCCTCAGTACAGCAAGATGATGTGGGATGGAGCGTGTCTTGGTGAGCTATCACACAAAGAAACAGAACTAAAGGGAGCTTCAACGAATCTCAGAAGCCGCGTTCAAAATTATGAAGCTTATGTGGCAGGATGGAATAACACGGTCGGGAGCGTGGAACAGAAGGGAGAAAAAAGGAAGAGGGCTGCCGAGGAGGGAGGGAGTGATGAGAGATCCCCGCCGCGCGCCACCAAGGCGAAGACCTCCGAGATGAATACCATGTCTGATCCGCCTCGATTCGAAGAATCGTCTTCCGCCATTCCACGTCCTATCGTACAGAACCGGTATAAGTCTGTTCGCAACGTCGACCCCAAGACCATCAGTGTCGGCGATATCGGCTGGGCGCCGCTACCACGCATGGCCCTAAGCAGTTCGACCAACAAGACCATACCATCCGAGTATGGCAAGGTGAGCATCAAGGTCTATCCGTTTATCATCGTCAAGAAGCTGGATGACTGCATGCTCGGGGTCGTCATCTCAACTGCCGGAGGCCAGGGTCTCAAGACGAAGAGCGCCTCCGTACGCCAGCGAAGCTGCTACGTCACTGGACCCAACTTCAAGGGATTTGACGATCCACCTTTCGGCTGGGCGATGAGCCCTAGATGTCAGAACTTGGTGGTTGTGGGGACAGGCTATGAACCTGCACCAGGCGCTTTTGTTGATATGCTGGACAGTCACAAGATCTACTACAATTCCAGGTTTGAGAAGAGTGGGTGCCTTACGATCCAGAGTAGAGTCGACCTGGGACGAATGAGGCTGTCGGCACTGCTTTGGGGTGCGAGTGAGGGCTGATACCTGGTGATAGTAATGGTCTGTGATGAGGTCTTTGAGGTAGCCTGGTGTACGTCTAGCAATTATCGTCCGCCAGATGTGAATTGATTCCAACCACGTAGACATCTTCACTCTTCTTTTCCACATCTTTAACAATGCGTGAGTCCCTCTCTCAGTTCTACATCACGTTTTGTCCCCAAAAGTTCGTGTCGAACTTTTTTCCATACCCGTGCGCATAGTTGCAGTTCCCTAAACGTCCTACAATCTGCTAGAACGCTCCAGGGAGTTTCAGGATATTCTTCCCGCATGATCTCCTTTATGCGTTTTTCCCGTTGTATCGATGACAACCCAACAACACGGATATCAGAACAAGCCGAGAAGTTTAAAATAGCATCCACATGCTTGCCTGCAACATCATCTAGTTCGACGGCATCGACCATGATCATTCCACCCTTGGCCGGCCCAAAGTTCTGTAATCGTAACGAGCTTGGTGACGCCAACCAATCTACACTATGATCAATGGACTGTCATTGTCAGAATTGTTGCAATCATGGAGGTTTCTGGCGCTTGCCTTGATCTCAAGTGCATCCCCTTTGAGATAATGAAGGCCGCGTTCCCGATAAGTATCGCTTCCGGAATTCCTGCTGGCTTTTATCTGTAAGGGGACGTTTAAGCGGTACTCCACGCAGAGTCTTCTACGATCAACTATGCCAGTTCTCTGGATGTCATTTTCATAGATCTTACCCAAGTACCGCCACTCATCCAACTTTCGTAATGCGACGATATCGTTATAGCATTTGAGACTCAGCTCCTTAGGGCTTTGAGCAGTGTAGTTTTCCAAGCTCAAAGCTCCGATTGTTCCAACACGGAGATAGTTGATCGCGCTTGTGAACGAAGCACTGAAAGGAGCAAATGTAGGAGTTCCAGCCATTAGAGCAGAAGCCGAATCTTCCTCAGTAATTGGCGAGTCTATAGTACAATCTGAATCATCGTTGTACATAGTCATGCCATCGTCAGCGACAGTGTTCGCGTCGTCAGGTTCGATATCTGCTGTCTGTTTCATAGTGTTGTTCAGTGCCTTCGAATACACATTCGATTTCAGAACCTCGGATTCGAAAAGACTTCCGGAATGATGGTCACTGATGTCATCACGAATCGGCAGCTTGCTGAAGATACTGCTCGAGTCATCGGTACCCAGTATGGATTCCGCCGCTTCTATCGAATGAGCTTCTCGCATACGTTGAGTGTCATTCGCGATTCTTTGAAGCATTTTGCCATGCTTTTGGATAAGTTTCTTCATCTCGGTCAATGAATCCCTATGACACTTAGCCACCCGCTCATCATCTTACCCTATATTGCAAATGTTCTTCACTTACATTTGTAGTAGCCCAACCAGTGTGCTAATGGCAGCATGCTGTTGATGCAGCTGCTCCTGAAGCTCTTTGACTTCATCATCATTCCAAAGCGTCTTAAACTTTGCTTTCCAATCTAGTCTGGAGGTATCAAGGACACCTTTTGTGATCTTCAGCATGTACTTCTCAAGCCATGTTGAAAGCACCAGACAGCTTGTCAGAGTCGTGTCCAACGTCTCGATCAGTGCCGGCTTCTCCTGGAGGACATCTGTGTCACTCAGGAGTAGCGACTGGATCTGCGAGAGCGAGGCACCCGTGAGTTTAAGCTGCGAACAGAGCGAGGATACAGTAACAGGCGCGCGTTTCCACGCGTTACGAATTTCGTTGAGCTCTTTGGCAGCTACAATGCAGGTCGTTGTGATCCGAAGCTAGGGGTCTCGTCAGCTAGGCACTGCTGCTTTGATGGAGACCTTCCACTTCGCAACACTTACCACAGCTGTCGTGATGCTCAAAGGATCCATCTGAAAGCCGATAAAGCACAAAGACCGGTCTGGTATGCATAGGCAAGCTTGCCTTCGTAGCCCGTCAACGACCGGGTTACCATATGCAAGGGAGATTCCGAGGAGCGAGAGTAACTAGTCTTCCCTACTGCAGTGTACAACAGTACATACTAGAATAATACTAGATATTCTAAGTTAATGTAGACATCAGGCCTTAATATCTACATAAATAGTAATTACATTAGTGCTGTTGTAGGCTGTAAATCAGTAGAAAGCTCTGGCTCACCTCTTCAATCTCTGCCTTGTATGCGGTGGGGTGATTGATCAGCTATCTTCTGTGATTCATAGGGCAGGTACGCAACAAGACAAGTTCCCGTTCGTGAGGTGTAAGGAAAACGATCCCAAGCGCCATGAGGATGCGGTCCTCCAGGCTGATAAAGAGGCGTTTAGATACAGCCTCCTATTCGTGCACCGCCCCAATTTAGAACGTGACGCGCGGGGTAAGCCTCATCGCGTACACAGCCTCATCTTGAGGCCTCCCAGCGCAACCCGCGCTACAAATGGTGAGACCTAACAAACATATCGATGGAACTAAGAGGTGAACGGGCACTCGAAGAGTCGGGCCGCTAACGAGCATGGGGTGCCCCTTCTGTAACTCGTCCCAGATTACGTCACACGGCACGACATCAGCCATGGCTTTTGGACGTTTCGTGAAATTGTGATATGCCTACTACATGGCTACGCTGCTGAGCTTCCTGCATAAATGCAATGCTGTATAGTATGCCCATTGTCAGGCGCGTCCCGCAGAGTGCATGACTGCTATCATCATTACATACGTCTCTCATGAGCGACATGTCTATGCCCAACAAGACCAACATTCCAACCAGTGACATGGTCTCTGCATGTAAGGTCTACACTAATCCGCCCCTCACGCAAGACCTGAGTTGACGGGGCTTTAACCTCCCTTTCTAGGGGCGTTAGGCACAGCAACTGGCGCGCGAGCAGCTCCTCCCGAAGCCGCACCCTTCTTACGCTGATAGAAGCGCTCGACAACTTTACGGACGTGGTTTTCTGCCTGCTGCTTGTCGCTGGGCGCCTTGATATTGTCGAGCGTGTATGGGGCTTGAATAAGAACGGAGTCGCTAACGACGATCTGTGTGTCTGCCCATCGGGTCGGTAGACTGTGTTACGTGTGTCAGTTCAAACGGCCTGTATCTGTTTGTTCTGCTGTGACTCACGTTCTCGATATAGCATCGAACAGCTCCTGTGCCTCGGGACTAACTCCCTTGCCCTTCTGCATATCCTTCTTCTTCATCTCGCGGATAGTCTGGTCTTCGCGGGCTTGTAGCGCGGCTAGATCTACCTTGGAGATGCTGGGGAGCGCTCCATCAAAACCCGGTGCGGACTCAGATGCCCGCTCTCCTGTGCCAATGATCTCGAAAGATTCAATGTGTGCGAATGGGATGATGTGATAGTCGCCGGGCTGGCTGAAGATGGAGGCGGAGGGGTTCGGCGGGGCAGGGGCGGTGTTGATGGCTATGGCGTGGGTGAGGTTGCAAGCCGTGAAGAGGGTGCCCTCGAGGACGTTCTTGCCAGGGGCACATGTTACCTTGATGCTGGGGTGCGTCAGCTGATGTCCCAATTCCAAGATATCTCAGAGTGAGAAAAACGTACCGTGATCCAACAGCCTTGTATAGGTCGGAGTCTGCGCCAATAACATCTTTGCCCGAGCTCGTGCCGGCTTTGAGGTTCGGCGTCGCGACCTTACCCGCAACGCTGTTGCGCTTGTTGTCCGCCATGGTAGTCCTGCTCTTGTATCTCCCGTCTCTCGTCTAGGCGATTGTATATTACGGGCAGCGGAGGCTGGCTCGTTGCTCCGCTACAGATGTTTCGTCAGCACCCAAATATTGCCCAGATGTACTCTCAAGGACCTAACGCCAGAGACTCATACAAGCAGTGAATATACAATCCAAAGGAATGAAAGAAATGAAAACGCGACAACACACGCGCAACCGGGTGGGAGGGCAGCGCGAGTGTGGCGGAGCTATCGTAGCTCGGGGCGGATGGGTTGATGTTGTCGTGATGCGCTGCAACTTTCCGTGGTCGCGATGCCAAGCCTTGACGCAGGGCGCTTGCTCTTGGACTAATTATACTGTATGCCTCTGGACACGCTTTCCGTCCCGACTGTTTTCTAATCGCTGGGAAGCCGATACGCGTGCGACCTCGTAACAATGTCACTTCATAGTGGGGTGGATACTCAAGGGTCTACCCAGAGTTACCCGATGATCAATACCGGAACAGGCTAGCCGGCTCGAGTAACAACACAGCGGTCAAACCAAGCTTCAAACATTCACCAGATGTCTGCAAACATTGGACATGCGAATCATTATATTCATTCTAAATTTGAGGTATCACACTCCTCATGCTCAATATCAAACATGAACACGAGGCGACCTTCTGTTCCCCTCCAACAAGCAATGGATATCCCTTTTTAAGCGTTGTAGGTAGAAGCAGAGATGTTTCCACCCCTTCCGGTCCAGTTGACGTGGATGTCCTGACCCTCCTTGTAGGTCTCGTTGGCGAACTCGGGCTTGATCCTGAAGGTGTGGGCACCGAAGTAGTCACGCTGCGCCTGCAACAGGTTGGCGGGGAGGTCCTTGGCGCGGTATCCGTCGTAGAAGCTCAGAGCGGTGCTGAAAGCAGGGGTGGGGATACCCCAGAGGGCACCCTTGGAGACGGTGTCTCTCCATCCGGCCTGAGCCTTGTGGATGGCCTTGCTGAAGAAGTCGTCGAACAGCAAGTTCTCGAGCTCGGGGTTCTGGCGGTAAGCCTTGGTGATCTCCTTCAAGAAAACGGAGCGGATAATGCATCCACCGCGCCACATGAGGGCGATCTCTGGCTTGTTCAGCTTCCACTTGTACTCCTTGGCGGCGTTCTGGATCAGCATGAAACCCTGAGCGTAGGAGATGATCTTGGATGCGTAAAGAGCCTGCTCGAGGTTGTCGATGAAGGCCTTGCGGTCACCAGAGAAGCTGGGGGTAGGGCCGTCCAAAAGACCGGAAGCACGGCCACGCTCCTGCTTGAGCGAACTCAGGCAACGGGCGAAGACGGCCTCTCCGATCAGGGTAACGGGCATACCGAGGTCGAGCGCGTTGATGGCGGTCCACTTTCCGGTACCCTTCTGACCGGCAGAGTCCATGATCTTCTCAACAATGGCAACACCATCGTCGTCGTTCTTGTACATGATGTCGCGGGTAATCTCGATCAGGAATGAGTCGAGAACGCCCTTGTTCCACTCTGTGAAAACGTCGCCGATCTCCTTGTTGCTCATACCAAGACCGCGCTTCATGATGTCGTAGGCCTGGTTTTGTCAGTCGTGTTCTTTTCCTCGGTACAACCAGCTCGTCTCACCTCGCAGATCAACTGCATGTCACCGTACTCAATACCGTTGTGAACCATCTTGACGTAGTGACCGGCACCCTCGTCACCGACCCATTGGCAGCAGGCCTCGCCGTCGGACTTTGCGGAGATGGACTGGAGGACGTCCTGGAGAATTGTCAGATGTGCTCTATACGCGTTTCGTAGATCCGTACCTTGATGTATGGCCAGGCCTCCTCGTTACCACCGGGCATGATGGAGGGACCGTAACGGGCACCCTCCTCTCCTCCAGAGACACCAGTTCCGACGAACCGGATACCCTTGGACTTGAGGTAGTTTGTGCGGCGGTTGGTGTCGGGGTAGTGGGAGTTACCACCGTCGATGATGATGTCGCCCTCCTCGGCGCCTCCCTCGAGGAGGAGCTCGATGAAGTCGTCGACGGGCTTACCGGCCATGACGAGCATCATCATGCGGCGGGGCTTCTTGAGCTTGGAGACGAACTCCTTGATGGAGTGGGCGCCAACAATGGACTTGCCCTTGGCCTCTGTTGTTTGTTAGAGATGTCCGTAGCGATCCATGGATGAGCCTTACCATCGTTCAAGAATCGGTCGACCTTGGCAACGCTATCTGCCTGTCAGTGTATGTTCCTGGCGCGGTGTATCGAAGCGCTTACGTTCGGTTGAAGGCGACAACGGTGAAGCCGTGATCAGCACTGCCTTTTGTTAGTACTAGTCTGATGTGATTTTGATGTGGGTCGTGACTTACGCGTTGAGGATCAAGTTCTGGCCCATGACCTACGTGCATGGTCAGCATGGCTTCTTTCTCGATGAGTTGGAGGTGAATGTCTCCGGATAATTTGGGCCATTCCCTCAATGGCCGACAAGAACACGTGAAGACATGCACTTGATACCGCATCCTCTGGGAACGCGACCGGATTAGGGATTACTTACGGCCAAGCCGATGAGGCCGAAATCTCCGACAGGCTCAGAAGACATGATTGCTGTTCTCGTGTGGGTATAGGTGTTTGGATGAGAAAGTTGTGGCGGGGTAGAGTTGCAGCGACCGGGCGTGCAACACGAGAGGGCAATTGAGGCTTATAAAGCTGGTGATGGTCAAGAGAAGAGAGAAGAAGACTGGTGGGGGTCTTGTCGAGATAATGTAGTCGCCGGCAGACTTTGGAAACAAGCGGGGCACACTACTATTGCATCAGTTGGCTGCACGTCCCACACATCCCAGCATCACTCAGTTGACGGAGAATAGCTTCGGCCGCGGCGGTAAGGCTATTGTGACACAAGCCACTGTTGCCAATTCCGTCTTGTAAAACGTTTGCTGTGCTCCGGACATGATTGCTGAACATTGCATGATTAGAAAGCCGCCTGGTTAGGCGCGGCCTGGACACGGGTGGGTTTGCGCATGTGGTAGGGAATGCCAATGGCTGCAAACACGACTGCAGTTACCACAACCCGAGAAACGTGGCTCACGGCTTGCGGACTAGGGATGCACGCAAAACATCCAACGGTGTCGCGGTCAAATGCGGCTGCTTGTGAAGCTCCCGAATTCTCAAGTGCACCAGCCCCTCCATTCTCAGCCTTAACACAGCATTACGGATGGAGGGGCAGCGTGCAGGGATCATCGGACTAGGGCCGGGATGTGGTGGCCGGAGAAGTCTGGCGATGCTTACCTGATAGTCGTGATTAGTGAGGCGACGTCAAAGGCACGTCCGGCGATGAGTTTTTCTGATATTGCTGAAGCTTCATGGTTGTAGACAAGGTCGTGCCTTGCGTGGACACATGTTGTGCAGCGGCTGCCGATATGCCGGCAACACGTGATTCGGGGCCGGAGGAGCCAAGCGGCTCACTTTCTGCGACATGATTCAACAAATAACACCAACGTCAACGCCCCCATCTGACGCATCCCCACGGTAATTCAATTTGCACACCGGCCCGCCATCCCACTCTGCCCCTTTCAAACGCCGATCCGGTCGTCGCCCTCCTGCACCATCGCTTGCTAGACACTTCGGGAAAGTCTCGCCTGTGTTCCTTGACGTGTAGTCAGCATCAGTCTCAGTGAATCACCTGCGCAATACTGCCTGGGCGGTATTATTCCCTCACACGAACGCGTTCCTCCCAGAGGCATTTTCCACACAGCCAAAAGTAAACACTGCGCCTCACTCACCGGTACCACCGCCACATTCCGCGCCCGCGCTCCCGATATTCACCCTTTCAAAATCTGCGAGCCCTAGATTGCGACGCAACCTTAGTCATCCGACCGTCCTATCACCAGGCTACCCAGTTCAGTTCGCGATAGTAGAGCGCATCCCAACCAGTAGCTGGTTAAGTCATCACCTCGCTAAGGTTAACCTGGACTGACGCGCAGCTCCTACTTCACCATGCAGCCTCATCACTCTCTCCCGGCGCGACCGCCGACTAGCACATATTCGGCACCGCCTTCAAGATCAAACAACGCTGGCGCGCGCGCCCAAGGCAACTCGCCTATGTCTGCTGGTTTTACACCGCGCTCTGTGGCAGCTCATGCTCCTCCACAGGCGTTTGCTGCGCCAGCAAACTATGCGCAAGCCCCAGTGAGCGCCCCCTACCAAGCACCCGCTTACCCGACCAGCAATGCTTACAACAACTACTCGTACCCAGCCTATGCAACGGGTGCCCCTACTACGACCTCATACACAGCTGCCCCGACCGTGAACCGTGGGTTTGCTGGTACCTATGATCCCGAAGAAGAGGCTCGGATCGCCGAGTGGAACAGCGCATACAATGCCGGCGATGCGAACGCGAAGAAGAGCGGCGGCGCAAGCGTAGGCGCTCGACCGGAAGCATCAGCCCCTCAGGATGCCGAAGCAGCGGGACCGACAGCTGATGGCAAGCGCAAGACTGTCGTCCGCGAGGGAGGTGGAAAGCAGTGGGAGGATGAGACTCTACTTGAGTGGAATCCGTTGCATCCGCGACTGTTCATCGGTAACCTCGCGGGTGAAGTCACCGATGACTCGCTCCTCAAAGCATTTGCAAAGTACCCCTCCTTATCTAAAGCCCGCGTCGTGCGAGACAAGAAGTCCACCAAGAGTCGCAGTTACGGCTTCGTCAGCTTTTCAGACACCGACGATTACTTCCGCGCTGCCAAAGAGATGAACGGCAAGTACATTGGCAGCCACCCAGTCCTCATCAAGCGCGCCACATCGGAGGTCAAGGCTGTCACAAAGAAGGACGACAGACACAAGCAAGGAAAGAACAAGAACAACAAGGATAACAAGAACAAGTCTGGCAACGGCAATAACAGTACTCCCGCGGTAGTAGCATCTCCTGCCATGTTCATTCCCCGTGGCGTCCAGAAGAAGGGCAAGTCGAACGGTCCAAGGGTGTTGGGTTGAAACCTAGTGTGGTTAGTGACGACATTAACACGGCAACTCGATGGATTATCCAGATATGTGCAATGGCCCTCCACCACAGGGTATTTCGAATGCGTTCAAGGTTAGTCTTGCGATTGGTCTTCATCGTTTTATGTTTCAAGAATATATTCCCATCTTTTAGAGTTTGAGTCTCTGTTGTTTCTTGTCTAGCGTTAAATGGAGTTTCAGCAGTGCCAAGCACGAGCAATATGAGGATCGCTTCCGTCGTTGAGGCAGAACGCAAATTCGCGCGTTGATACGTATATGAGCAGTTGACGGCGTGAGGAAGAAAACATTTAATGCACTTGTACGTCCAAGTTGAAGGAGGGAAATCGTGGCAGAAGAAGATGAACCAGACAGAAAGCAAATGGATCATATGAACCCACGAATATTGCAAGTCTCCGGCAATATGCCAGTCACATTTCCTGATGTCCTTCGTGCCGATGTACTCAGTTTCCACTTGACTACTCACATAACGTCTTCACCTTCTCGACAACCCCGTCCCTATCGCCCTCAACACCCAAACAATCCAAAAAATCATAACTCATATACTCCCTCCTCGGCACCCTCGCCCTCCAACACAGCCTCGTAGTGTGATATCTCATCTTCTCCTTCCAGACCGCATCCTCACTCGTCCCCCACCTCGCCTGCCCACTCCCCATCCACGTATACTTCAGGCCATATCTATCATCAATCTCTAACACTGACCCATCCTCCTTCCGTAACGCCAATGCCCTACACGCCTCAATTTGATCCTCCAAACCAGGCCAATCGGGCAATAAATCCTCTCTCGTTTCGAACTCAAGATTGACCTCCTGGCAACTACTCGGCAGAACCAAGCTCGCCATGGTTTCCGCGAGTCGCTGTCGTTCCTTCAGTTCGGCGAGTAAAGGCGGAAGGAGGTAGGCGCATATCGTCCAAGTAATTCTCCTCCAGCGTAAATGGCTCAAGAGGAACTTATTGAAGTTGGACGCTTTCAGCGCAACGAGGTTATCGTGGAGATGGTATAGTTCTGCGCCTCGCTGCTTGGTGATGTGGTGGAGCCAGATGTCTCCGTTGTACAGCCATGATGTACTACCTAGGTACCGGAAATGGTGCGTGGAACTGCGCAAGGGGATTTGGTGGGCTTCTACATAGATAAGGCGACATGTTAGGAGCAGAGCTGAGTCGATTTTGGTACGATGAGTGTGTCGAGGGCGGTATAGTGGTGAAATGGAATGGGTGTCGATAGGGCGGGTGGGATCATGTTGTTGAGATAGCACGTGTTGGTAGATTGTGAAACGGATTTCTGCTGGTAGGACGGCGAAGAATAGAGATTGGAGCTGAGGATGAGATGTTGATGTTGTCAGGGCGGCAAGGTTTCGACGGATTTCTCGCGCGGCGCGTTGCCGGACGTAGCGGTCTTTGGGGAGAGATTTTGGCTGTGGCATCTTTCAATTGTCGTTGTTTTGGTGTACGTTGGATGTAGGTTATTGGCTATGACGTCGTCCGGTGAGGCAAATGATGGTTACACGTGATAGAACCTCTCTTTACCATGACAATCTTATGTAAACGTCCTTATCGTACCAAGAACTATCTCTTTTTATGTTTATGACCAACGTCTTGGCGCATTAGAAGCAGAATCGCTGAGTATCTGTCTGGCCGCAGATCTCCCGGTGCAGATGAGGTTCCGCTGAGGGACGTGCACCAGCTGTCGAGCTTTCTCTCAAACTTGACTTTCCCTACCCCACTTCATCGTTCACCGCATACGTAGTGGCCTACGACGATCCCATCCAAAAGACAAAGAAAGGTACTCGCACTTCACTTACAATAATGGTTCCAGAGTCGAGCCTCACCAGTGCTCTGAGCACGACGGAACAAATCGGCTGAGACACGGGCCTCGGGTGTCTACAAGACTATCTAATCTTAGCGGGCATTGTGAACTGTCTCTGCTCGGACCTACTCGGAGACATGATAAAAAGACGTAGGCCCACTAGGCTAAGTCTAGGGCAACAGTCATATATACAGAAACTGTTACCTACAAACGCCTACTCCAATGACTTTCTTACTGGAAACAAATGGCTTGTGGCCATCGACGCCAGCTTGCTTTGTGAAATAATGACTTGTTCACAGTGTATAACTTCGCCAAAGGTTTGACTCGATGCCGCCTATAACGCTGTCGCGGCAGGCAACGATCTCGAATCCTTTCACCTTGCGAACTATTCTCACACAAGGTCGCTGGCAGCTCAGACGGGGTATATACAAACAGCAACTACAGGTAAAGTCACTACACAGAGTGACTTGTGGGCCGATATCAAGGCAACACAACGCAAATGTTGGCCTGCCTATAACTACAGGCCTTTCAAGTTCTTCCGGACTCAACAACCACTCTCGACTCAACTCCCATACACTACTTGCAAACTCCTCGAGCAAGTCCATCAGTAAAGTCCGGATCCAGAACCTTACTCGAACTACCACAATGGCCCCTCAAAATAAACGACCAGTCTTGACCAGCACACTATCTGCCTTGTTGTCGACGGCTACACGTTCACGTGCTACCTCAAGGCCGGCCCCAGCAACTGATTTCAACGCCATCCTAGTCAAGTATGGTCTTACTCATCAAGACCTTAAGGAAATCGAGAGCGTGCTTATCGACGTTGCCACGGAGGCAGGTAACATCATGGTGGCTGCGGAGTACTCCCTCATCATGACAGCCCAGACCAAAAATAACACGTCTGACCTCGTCACCGTGTTCGACAAGCAGATTGAGGATATGGCCGAGGCTCGTTTGCAAAAGGCCTACCCCTCCTTCTACTTCCTCGGGGAAGAGACGTTCAAGGCTGGGACCAAGCTGGCCGACCAACCAACATTCGTGGTTGATCCAATCGACGGCACCCTGAACTTCACACAGGGTGTTCCCAATTGCGCGATTTCTCTGGCGCTTACGCTCGACAAGAAGCCTGTCGTAGGTGTGGTGTTCAATCCCTTTCGTGGGGATATGTACCACGCAGTCAAAGGCCAAGGCGCGTTCTTGACGAGGCCGACTACAGGAAACACGATCAAGCTTCCTGTACAACAGAACCCGAAACCGATGCCGTCGCTCAATTCCTGTCTGGTAGCTGTCGAGTGGGGTAACCAGCGCAGGGGCCCTAACTGGGCACTACGCACTTCCGTCCACAACGCCCTTCTGACCTCCAAAGATGAAGGTGGCGCGATGTGCAAGTCGGTACGGTCTAACGGCTCCGCAGCATTAGATTTCTGCTATGTTGCACACGGAATGCTTGATGCTTTTTGGGAAGGTGGAGTTTGGTCTTGGGATGTGGCGGCTGGGTGGTGTATCTTGGAAGAAGCCGGTGGTATCGTTGCGAGCGCCAATCCTGGTAATTGGGACCCAACTCTCGAGGGCCGCCTTTACTTTGCTGTTCGCAACGCTAAGCCCGAGGAACAGAAGGCTGTGGTGGAGGAGCTTTGGGGATTAATGGGCGATCGCAAGTTTGTGTTTTGAATGTAGTTCTTGGAGTCTTCACTGTAGATCAGGTTTTTCATGCTGGAAATTATATTTAGAAATCTTATACACTTTGACATTGAACAGCTTTTTTTACAAGTGTCAAACCATACAATGAACGACGATATCCTTCAGGGTAAAGCAACGGAAATCTTAAAAACTTGTCCTTTGCTTTATGCCCTCTAATCCAAGAGCGATATACTGTGGACTTTCCGGAATTCAGAACAAACTCCCCCCCAGCGGAGCCTTCGGCTATCGCTACTTCTAGTCAGCAGCGTATTAGTTTGGTTGTTCGGACATTTGTGTACCTGTTTATCGCACCTTCTGCATCAGTACAACGCTCATTCTATATGGCCTGGAAAGCACCAGTACCCATGTCCTAATACGTACGATTAGAGCCTACAAGAGTAACTGCGCACCCCAGTCTTTAGGTAGCTACGAGAGGCACCTACTTTCTCATTCAGCGTGAGACTAAAACAAACATCCTCCATCACATCCCCATCACAACATACCTTTACGCACAATCACCAAGCCTCAACGAAGCATCATTTGGTATCAAAACGTTATTCTATAACATATCCTCATTGCCGCTGCGGCATACTGTTCATTAGAACCACACACACACCACCTCAACTGCACCACCCTAGAATTCGACATCAGTGCATTTGTACGGTGTGCAGCCTCTGCAGACAACCCTCACCACACATCACCTTTATCATTTCGTACCCCACGACTACATCACCGCCCTATTGGACCATAACTACAATACATGCATCACTGCACTGACTGGGTACATGCCATTTGACGTTCGACCTTACAACAACCCAGCTCGACCTAGGCGCCGCACTCACTCATACCGGCCAAGTGTCATCCACAAACGCCGCACCATCTTCGACCAAGGTCACAACCCCAAAACACACTCGTACTCTGGCAGGCCACTCACTTCGCACGAAAGACTGCACGTTGCTCGTCAGCGGCTCCGCAAGTTCGAGAAGACACGTTCTCGAAAGGCGCAGAGGAAGACTTGGGCCCGTAACGGAATCTCATCTTCTCCAAGCACGCTAGACAAACTTCACCTCAAGTTGAAGAGAATCTTGAGTGGCAGATTCTGAGATTCGACACGCCTAGATCAGAAGACTAGAGTGTGTTTATGAGCACGACTGCTACTTCTGTAACAAGTGCTGTGTCTTGTGCTGTGTCTTGTGCTGCACTCCCAGCTCCAACCCAAGGACAGGGCCGAACACTCTCGAGCTACCGACCAGCACTTATCAACCCACTTGAACCCCGCGAAAGAAGAAGAATCATCGAAGAGCGAAGACAACGCAAGCTCAGGCGCCTCGAAATCAAGGCCGAGAAGAAAGCAAGCCGGAAGTTGAAGAAGGGACTACGCGCTAAGTTAGCCGGTCTCTTGAGCATCCTCCGTCTTTGGTAGACAACAGCACTTTTTCATGTCCTGTGCCGCATCCACAACCTGTGGGGCTAGTTCTTGTGCGACATCTGCGCCTGCGCTATCTGGTTTCGGACAGAACCATCCCGCTCCCAAGCTCACTGAAGAGCAAAAAGAGGCGCTGAAAAAGAAGCAAGAGGTGCGCGAAGAGAAGAAGCGACAGGAAAGGGAGATCCGATACAAAGCTTGGGCCGACACCAAGGCCAAACTCTCCGACGCGACTAGCAAGAAGGCTAAACTTCGTCTATACGCAACCTTGCTGAAGCTAAGACTTCACCTCTAGGCATGAAGTTAGTTTATGGCAGACTGTGTTAGCTATAGTGCCGGCGATTGTGGCGGCAGCAGCTCATTTGGAGACTCGGGTACTTCTCATTGTTACACCTCTCATCACGCAGGAGACGGAGGCACATCGCACACTTCTCACAACGCAGGAGACAGCGGCATCTACTCCATAACAGCCGACTCGGGGACTACCTATTACGGTTCAACGCCTGAGGAGGTAGCGGAACGTGAACGCAAGGGGAAAGAACGACAAGAGAAGAAACAACAGCGAAGAGAAGCCCGAGCCGAGGTCGCTAACACGATCAAAGCAAAACGTAACGAAACCACAAAGAAGAGCGAGAAGATCCGGTTGGCCGTGACGTGGCTCACGCTCAAGCTTCATCTTTGAGCTGCGCTACTGTATCTTCAGACTCTGAATGGATTCTTTCTCGGTGTCCGCAGATTGTGGAACGACATCCTCAGGCGATTACGGCACGACATCAACGGCAGACTGTGGGACTGCATCGGGAGGTGATCACGGAACGACATCTGAGGACTGCCGAACCGACTCGGGAGGCGAAACTGGAGGTGACTGTGGTGCCAATTCAGGGCAATATCACTCAACAGAACGCGACTTTACGTATACTGACTTTGCCGCTGGACCCCAACCGGCCGCTATAGGCTCTTCCAGTCCTTCAGGTCCTCAAACACAGTCAGATACTCGCACACCAGAGGAGATCCAGGCGCAAGAGCAGCAAGCAGAAGCCAGAGCGCAGAAGAAGAGAGAGAGGAAAGAAAGAGCAAGGAGGGTCTTCAACAGCGTCAAAGCCGTGGCAGAAAACATTGTCAAGGGCAAGTTCTGAGGCACCAGCCGATCTCTTGTGCTGCGTCCTGGATTCGCATACCTACCAGCAGGTTTAACCCAAGATCTCCTGAAGGTTGCACGTATGGGGGCGAGTGTTCGCAGTAGTCGTAGTGTGCGATTCTCTCACGATACAAGCCATCACTCTGAGGCCGACTTCAGCCTTTGGCCGGGAGTGTACGTCCATCCCGGGCAATTCAAGCACGCCTCCGACAAAGCTAGCGAAGAGGAGGCGTGGCAAAGGTGTCGCACTCGTCTGAAGAGATTGAAGGCTCGTTTGCGCAAGAAGACAGACAGACAAAGCCAGTCGCATGGCAAACATCGATAGTTCCGGCGTTCCTCGCCCTAACGAGGCTGAGCACACCTTCTTTCAGAACGTGACCTGCTACGTCCACATATACGCGCCAACGACTTTACATGCAAGCACCGGAAGTGCAGCGCCGGAGACGCGTGTCGCTGTTGGAAGTTCATATCAGTCGGGTTCTCCCCAATCGGTGAATGAGAACCCATTCACAGTCGCATCCAACCTCTACCTTATCAATCTTGAGAGAGCGAAGCGAAGAAGGCCGGGGAAGAGGCAAGCTCTCCTTGAGTGGTCGATTAGAAAGCTCCAGAAGTTACTTGACAAGGTGATCTAGAACTGGCAATAATCGGTCGTCGTAAATGCGGTGCCGCAGAGGCAATACTGGCAAATCTCGTCGACCTCGACGGCCTTTTGGCCGGCGTCGAGATATTTCCGACTGGGACAAACGGCGCGAGAGATTCTGGCGCTGGCGAAGAATTCATGTCCTGGCGTTGAAGTACTGGGTTGATGATGTCGTTCGTCGCTGACCCACGGCCACTCGGAAGTGAGCACAGACCGTCCGCAACAGTGCAGGGCATCGGAACTGCTGCTCGCCAGACTCCACGCCATGTTCGCCCGCACTACCCGCAATACCCTTGCGACAGCCTCGAAACAGCCGTACATATGTCACTCATGTCTGCGCCGAGTCAGGCAGTCTCAATTGGGTGCCCTACACCTGCCAACGCGTCACACGACACGATCTCTCCAGACTGAGACGCAGCCACCACCGCCTCAAAATGGCACCGCCTTTCGCAAACTGCTGAAAGACGCCGCAAAGCAACAAAAGAAAGACAAGAGCGCCTCTGCTGGCTCATCGAAGTCTTCGAAAAAGGGCAAAGATGCACGGCTAGAGAAGTGGGAGCTGACGGTCGGGATTGAAGTCCATGCCGAACTCAACACCGCGCGGAAGCTCTTCTCCAGTGCTGCGACCTCGATCAGCGAATTACCGAATACCCATGTTTCTTTATTTGATGTCGCATTTCCTGGTACTCAGCCTCACTTCCAGAAGGAAACCCTCCTCCCCGCCCTGCGCGCCGCTATAGCCTTCGATTGCGAGATTCAGCACAAGAGCAGCTTCGACCGCAAACACTACTTCTACCAAGATCAGCCCGCCGGATACCAGATCACACAGTACTATGAGCCTTTCGCGAAGAATGGAAAAATCACCCTCTACCCTCATGACTTTCCGCCTGGTGCTGCCCCGCAGCCAGAGCCCTTCGACATCGGCATCAAGCAGATCCAAATGGAGCAGGATACCGCAAAGACTGTGCAGCAGCCTCCTTCGACCCACCTACTCGACTTCAACCGTGTCTCCCATCCTCTGATCGAAATCATTACCCTCCCTCAGATCCACGATCCCACAGTTGCAGCCGTTGTCGTTCGCAAGATACAAAACACGCTCAAGGCTGTCAATGCCTGTACAACGGGCATGGAGTTGGGTGGGCTGCGTGCCGATGTCAACGTATCCGTTCGTCAACGCGGAGGGGAGTCTTCCCAAGCTAGCCACTCATACTCTGGTGTTACTGGGTTGGGCCAGCGGACTGAGATCAAGAACTTGTCAAGCACGAAGGCTGTCGAAGATGCCATTATTGCTGAACGTGATCGACAGATTGACCTGCTTGAAAGTGGCGGTGTTATTGAGGGCGAAACACGCGGATGGACTCTTGGAAGCAAAACCACCAAACGTCTTCGAGGCAAAGAAGGCGAGATCGACTACCGCTACATGCCGGATCCGGATATTGCTCCTGTCTTTATCGGACAAGTAAGCCTTGCCTGCAAAATTGATGCGAACGTTCTGCTGATTATTTCAGGACCTTGTCGAACACCTCCGAAATACCCTACCAAAGCTCCCCGATGTGACTGTTGATCTGCTCGCAAATACCTACGGGCTCACCACCAAAGACGCCATCACACTCCTCTCTCTCGACGATGGTGAACGCTTAGAGTATTTCGCGGACGTTGTTCGCTGCCAAGTAGAAAGTGAGCAGGTCGAGAAGGATGTTCCGTTGACATCATTGGGCAAAATCACCGGGAACTGGTAAGTTCGTCAACTGCGATGTCATAAATCAGGCTGACTCCTTTCAAGGGTACTGATGGAGCTTGGCTCTCTCTTTCAAGGTGAACCCTGGGACCCCGATCGAGTTCCAGCCGACTATCTTGCTAGTGCTATTTCACACGTACGTCGTAGAGAAGTCACGTCGCCGTCCGCAAAACGTCTGCTTGCCATCAAGTTTGAGGGCGACCCACGCAGCGCAACAGAAGTCGTACATCAAGAGAACCTTCTACTGCAGCCACTAAGCCAAGAAGAGTACGTGAAGTTAGCGCAGACGCTGCTAGAAGAAAAACCAGACATGGTGAGAGACATCACAGAGAAGGGTCAGGTGAAGAAGGTAGGGTGGTTCGTAGGACAGATGGTGATTAGAGCTCCGGACGGCAGTGTTGAACCAGACAAGGCAAAAGAGGTACTGTTGAACTTGCTGGGTCTGGGAGGAAAGGCAGAGTAGTGTTGTGGATACCCTAATGAAACACATCCTCATGATCGGTGCGCACCGCATACGTGGCTTGTGTGATTGATGGCTGTAAGGGTCCAATGTGCGGGTAAGAATTTCAGAGCCCACTGATGCTTTGTATTTTGAGGAAACTAAACTGCCAACTGACACACGAGCAGTGGGATGCCTTCTCTCGGTTCCGAACTACAGAAGCCACAGTGTACAGTGGTAGCCCAATAATTAGACAATCGGACCCACTCCTGGAGCAGGAGTCGCAAACGCGACACATTTCTTGCCGATCTACGACCTGGATAGACAAGAAGACGTCGTGCCATCATCTCAGATTCAACATCCGCAGTTCTGCACATCTGAAAGGTCGATGAAGAAGGTGTTCGAGCGACGGCCTCCGCAGTCCTTTTCACAGGCCTCCTTCTCCCACGATGTCTCCTCAACCAACGGCTCTCTACCTCACCCGCATCCGCGATCGCATCGCCGCTATCCGCGAGAACACAAACACAAACGCGACCTCCCTCAAGACCATAATTACCAATACCGTGCGCCGGGACAGTCTGGGTCGCCGAGGGGAAGCCGCTCGCCAGAGACTTGCGGCATCTTTAGGTGAATACTATGATGAATCACAGGAGTCAAAAGACGACCTGAGGGATCTAAATCCAGTGCGGGACCATTTGAATGGTTGGGATGAAGAAGATGGAGAGCAAGACTGGGACGTGAGGTCCGATAGTATGGAGCCCCTGACAGATAGAGAGGGAGAAGAAATCGAAGACGGCGATGACGAATACGAAGAAGAAAGAGAAGATTGGGAACTTGATATGGACAGAGAGCATGAGCAATGTATGGAGGTTGACCGCGGTATGAGCTTGGAGAGCCTTATCGCAGAAGAGAGGTTCCCGAATGGAGAGGTGGAGAGTGAAATGTATGTCGCGTATCATAGTATGAATAGTAGGGCGATGAGGAAGATGAGGTTGCATGAGGTGGAGAGAATGTATCAGAGTGGGGAGACGTATTCTACGGTACGTCATTAATTCGTGAACATCTCAGAGGGTGGTGGTACAGCGACTGATACTAACTAGGATATGTAGGTCAATAAGACGAAAAGAAGCGAGGTACAAGACATGCTCCAAAAGTACAGCGAGGAAGTGCCGAATTTCAGAAGACAAGATGACGAGGACGACGTTGTTTCAACCCCCTACCCTGAAGACGACGACCTCATACCACTTACCTACCAACCCAACCACGGATCACTTCCAACCCCCAACGATACTAACAAAGTAAATACAAACTCCTCGTCCAAACTATCAATATTGACAAACCTTTACCCCGAAGACGCTCCAACCACCCAACCCCAACCCCCTCCACCCACACAATCCCCACACTCTATCAATCGCAACACCACGCCTTCTACGAACCGGTCATATTTCCCTATATACCCTTCAAACCGTACGATATCGCCCATCTCACTGTTCGTCGCATTGCGCCACGTCCCATTCCCCGTCTCCCCCTCATCTACAAGAAGTCACGTACAGTTCCCCATTGAATCGGGCGCCTGTGCACACAACAACGATGTAGAAGAGAGAGAATATGCTCCAACTCATCCTTACTACGATATGAACCAACAAGAGACCCAGGAATACTGGCATGGTCTGCAACGTTATAACACGGAGAGTGAGCGGCATCTGAGGCGAGGGGAGGCACCCACGAACCGCAGACAACGCTCTGCATCCTCGCCCGTCCAACACCGTGATGAACGTACTCTTGAATCCGCAGGAGGGGAATACGAACACCATGTAGGTGATGCACTAGAAGGCGAGCAAGGGGGACAGGCTGGTGAGAAAAAGGTGAATTTAGTGGGACGATTGTTAAGCACTCTCACATGTCGGCCTGGTGCCGTTTCGCCGAATGATGCTGCTGTGCCTGTCAAACATGACCAGACTGTCGGAATGGTATCTATTGTACCAAGAAAGTATGCGATGGCCTTTCTGTCCAGGAAGACAGGTCGAACGCAAAGGAATGAAGAAGAAGAAGAAGCGAGACTTAGGGAAAGATCTCTCGGGTTACAAATACCTCCGCCTCACGAAAAGACGACTCGGGATACTGGAAATACCAGTAGGATTAGAGAAGAGGCTCAACAGACCCCAAGAGCCAAGAGAGGACACGAGGACAAACAGTCAAGATCGAAACCTCGAGTCGTCAACGTGGGAAGTCAAACGCCAAGTGTTATTGGCCCGCCCGTTGACCTCTCGAAGATGATACAGCGCGCACCCGAGAGCATCAGAACGTCGTCGCCATCACCCGGATCAGATGCTGAGCCTCTAAGGATGAACGTTGAGCGTGTACCTAGACAAGCACACTCGGACTCGAGCTCAAGTCTCAGCGACCGTTTACGGAAGACGAAGCTTGAAGATTTACCTCTCCGCTTTGGAGCAGCAGAGGAGATACGCAATCTGATGCTTACTCTTGAGAGAGATCAAAACGGGTCAACCAATATCCCAATTCAACATGAAGATAGACTATCAGGTGGTGTCAATTCAACCACTAAACTACATACTGGACAGGCAAACGAACTACCCGGTGGTTTCTCACGCCCAGAAAACGTAAGTCAGAATCTCACACAACCCATCCTTTTGTTCCTCGTCATTCCTTTTCCTAAATTAACAACACTCATCAGTCCACCATACCCCACAAATCCAGCTTCTCACCTTCCCCCCGAGAAACCCTACAACGACACTTCAATACCCAGCGCCAAGCCAACAGGCAATATGCTCAGCGTGTCCGCGCTGCCAAATCACATTCGAGCAATCTTACTCTACCGCCGAATTTCCGCGCACCAGAGATACATGCTGATTCGCCATCTATTTCACTGGAGCCGAGTCGTTTCATGAAGCTGGCTAGTGCTGAGGATACTGGTGGCATGAATTTGGTGGAAGAAGACGATGATATGGATAACAGTACTGAGAAGCAGTATGATGATATTGAAGACGACGTTGGCATGGATGATAGTGCTGAGTAGCACTCCGATGATAACGAGGATAGTTACCCGATATGAGACGCTAGTATTGACGATAGGGCAAGCATTGGGAATCCTCGATATGAGGTGACGACTAAAGCCATGCGAAGTTTTGATGGAGAAATTACACTTAAAATCGAGTGAAATGCTGAAAATGTGATTGAGTGTTATCTGTATTGCCTACTGTAGCGGACTATCCAGCACATCCAAACAATCGTGTGCAATCATTGACATAATATGATCGACAGCACGATTGCTGTGGATATGCGTCGCAAAGTCGTGATCAAAGCGATTTGCGATCGCAAGCCGTCACCGTTGAATCGGCGCGGGTAGAAACAAGCGCGAACGCGCTGTCCACAAGATCAATGAGTAGGTCTAGAAATGGTCAGAAATGGTCAGGAATACTAGGCTTGTGGTGGTTAGCACATCATCCAGGTTTTCACATCACAGCACACATCGCAAGAACATCACAACATCACCAGAGTACGCGGCAGCCGAACGATAGCGCCGCCATCCAAGCACCGCATGGTCCAGACATCGCATGAGCGAAAAAGCCACCAAAGGCCAAAGGTTGATTCAGGAATGGTCATATTGTCTATGAAACATTCCTCAGCCACCACGCTGAACGCAAGTCTACGCAGACCTGTAGGGTATACTGCGGACTTGAAGATCCATCCCAATCATTGCCGTTATCCTTTTGTATGATTCCGAGACGCCTTATCATGCACAATCGTATCGTGGCGCTATTTATGCGACGAGCTGAACGACACCACCGGCCTCCTTGATCTTCTTCTCAGCCTCAGCGCTGACGTAGCGGGCGCGGACGACGATGGGGACCTCGGGGAGACGGCCCTTTCCGAGGAGCTTGGAGTAGCCGTAGTCGAGAAGGTTAAGGACGGGAGCGTTGCCACCCTTCTTGGTGAGGTACTCCTCGCGCTTCTCAACGGGGATGAGGGACCAAAGCTTGTCGAGGTTGATGACGGGCTTCCAGAACAGGTTCTGCTGCTTGTGGAAGTACCTCATACCAATCTTTCCGAAGTAACCGGGATGGTACTTGTCGATGTTGGTGCGGTGGTGGTGCTGACCACCGGCCATACCACGACCACCGGGATGCTTGCGGTGCTTGCTGTTCCATTGTTAGCACTTGTCGCATTGCGCAAATTCGAGCCTAAATCTCGCAGGTGTGAATTACCCGACACGTCCGTGACCGGCGGAGACGTGACCCTGTATATTGTATTAGCAATTGATATGATTGTAGGACGAGTACGTGACATACGCGGTGCTTGCGGGTCTTGGTAAGGCGAGTAGGCATGTTGACTTGACTGTTGGGTTAGTTACGTTCGAGCGGAAGCTGAAAGTTCAAGGCGCTGTTTTGTCTAGGTGGGTTGAAAATCGCAAGCGAGGCGCGCTAACATCGGTATAACCTTTCGCCGATGGTCACATGAATGGCACTGTCTCCCAACCAACTGCCATGCTAGAAGTAAGAACATCAAAACCGACACCAGAGAGAACGTTGAACTGAATAATTTTGTTTGGTGCTTCGGATATGCATTTGCCATTCCTTTATAACAATGTTCATCAAATCCTCGCTTTCGCTATGCAATACACACTCTATCATCGACGCCAATTTGCTTCTCTAACCCCAGTATGGCGTTCGCAGACCCACGAACGTCGAACCAACACCGTCACCTGAGTCTTCCTTCTTGCGCTGTCCTGCGAGCTGTTCAAGCATTAGCAAGATTGTTTCGCAGTGTTGAACTTCAGATCAAATTACCTCTAGTTGTATATGCCTGTGGACATGCACAAGCCAGTCAACATAGCTCTGCGCCTCATTGTTTCGATCCTCGTACAACAACCTTGCAAACTCATACTCTGCACCGTCAAGACCTTGTCGTGCGAGTTGTATTGTGAGCGCCTTGGAGGCTCTTGTACCTTCTAGGTATTGCAAGATATTCCGTACTTGAGCATTGAGGTGCGTCTCGAGAACAGGGAGAGTGGATTGGAAGGGATCGAGCGCTTTCAAGCTATTGTTGCCTTCGCCGAAGAGGTCTTCTAGCAGGTTGGGTGAGACTTGCGTGTGTAGCCATAGTAGGCATATTTGACCGTTGTCTACAATGTATGCGCCGCCTTCTTCAACCTTGGAGAATGATGCACGTATGCTTTCGGGCATGACAAGATGGCCCTTTTCGTTTGCGAAGCCATCACGCGCATCGAGGTTATGGATTGCAATAATTCGAGGGTAGAGATATAATGACATCTCCAACGGTCCCATCGACTTGATCATCCGCATGTCATGGACTCTCCGGTCGGTGGGCTCCTTGCCTCCCTTGAAGGCTCTCGATTTGATCAGTCCAAGGATGTACATGCCGAATTCTTTCAGGTTCTCCGGTAGCACAAGCTGGCCTGGTGGGTTGTTGCCAGTGAAGTTCTTCCTGTAGCCCGCAAGAATGTCGACAGTCTTTTCCGTCAGCGCTCCCCGGATCTCCTTAAGATTCTTCTCGGTCATGCGAGCAGCAGCTTCCTTGGCGATGATGTTCACCACAGCATCCTGGTCGACGAACTTCATGCATTCACCAGTGTTTGGGCTGACACTAGCCACGATGTTGGTGCACCGTACTCGTCGCTCACCGTTCGCAGCCGTATATAGGAGCGCGCTCTGGAAGTGCGCATCAAGCTTGGGATCTAGTTTGCCATCGTAGCTGAACATAACGCCGATAGCCTTATCAGCGTCGATGACTCCAAACTCTAGATCGGCGCCAAAAGTGTGGTGGTAGAAGTTTCCGTGATAGGCAGAGACCTGCAGGCCATTCGAGCAGCGAACCTTCATCAGCGCTTGATATCCGGTTTCTCGTGTGACTGTGTGCTGAATCTCCTTGGACAGCTTGAGCGTATCCCTTGGTGAATGGAAGTTGGGGTAGTAGAACACCTCTCCACCTGTTGCAGCGGAAACGTGACCTAGCATGTGTTAGCAGGTAGCACCTGTCGGAAGAATTCCTGGCTTACCAATTGTTGCAATGTCAAGGTAGCCTCCGCTTGGTGCTGCAAGGAAGAAATCCACACCAATGCCGTTTTGCACCATCTTCTCGGCAACCTTCTTGAAACCAGGATGTTCGGTCTGGAGAAGTTTCTTCTCGGCATCAGTGTTTGATGCGTTGCCGTCATCACGTAGCATCAGTCGACCAGGACCCCAAGTAGGAAGTGCAGCCAAAGAGCACACTATCTTTCCACCTGTGGCTGACAAGGCTGCTACGGCAGAGTTTAGAGTGGGAAGCAGGGCCGGTTCAGGATTCTTGACTTCGGAGAACATGTTGGGTAACTGTGCGAGAAGTGATGTAATGACAGTCTTGGACTCCACAGGATCGACGAACAAGCCTTCGCTGAATGGCAAGAAGGGATCCTCGAGATCGGACATGACCAGCATTTGAGCACTCGACAAACTGGCATTGAGGTTGTAGAAGTGCATCTCCTTATCAAACGTCACGATGCCGACCTTGGCGCCCTTTGGTATGCGAGTCGCAGTTTCGCTTTCCTCTCCTTCAGCTCCTGACTCGCCATAAAGTGCTTTCATGATGCCCTCACAGAACCCATGAAGGAAGCCACGGTTTACAGCCTCCGCAGTCACGTCGACCAGGAACAACCACCGTAACCCGACGGGCTCCTTCGACCAGTATTCCTTGGGGACCAGGAAGTCGACAGTGCCTAGAGTGAGCTCTGGACGCTGTAATCTGTCTATCCGGACGCCAGATTGATCTGTAGGCGCAAAGTATTCACCAGGAACGTCTCCCGGGTAGGTACACAAGTTACACACGACCTTGTTTCCACCAGCCTTGAACTGCATGAAGGGATTGATGTATGCTCGACATCTTGCACACCTTGGTGGCCCCGTCTCACCAAAGTCCAGTACAGGTATAGATTGCTCTCCTTCTTGTTGAGGAGCCAGCGGTTGTAGTATCATGCCAAGCGGTAACGAGGTCGCAGAGAGGGCTTGCGCAGTAAGTGGAATGTTGTTCATCGTCAATCGGGCAAACTTAGGTGAAGAATTGCCCTGGTCAAAGGCAACGAAGGGGACCGTGGCGGGAGGCGGCAGGTGGTGCTCCATGGTTGGGTAAACATTTTCTAGGTAGTATCTTGCTGGCGCATCTCGCGACTTCGGTATGCTAGGTATCTGCTCGGGGTCTACACGTCCTTGAGCTGATCCGACCGCCGCTCCTCCCGTCTGGTGTGGTGGTGCTGGCGTTCTCGCAGCATATTGCATGGGCGAAGCTTGCGCTCCAGGAGAGAAGATGGGATTCACGGGCGCGGGAAACTGGCTCATAGCGGGGGTAATCTGGGGCTCCATCCATTGCGCTCCTCCAACTTGCGGCGAGTTCTGGTTTAGGAACTGTGACGGCATACCATTCTGCGGCGAGCCAGCAAATGGTTGTGAATTCCCTCCAGGCCCCTCGAGATTATGATATGCATGTCTGTTCTTCTTCTTATTCTTAGGCTGTGCTGCTTGATCCACGCCCAATCCGACTGCTCCCATCTGCCCCGCGAGGTTGTTCACATCTTGGTCGCCCTGATACTGCTGTTGGCCCTGCAGAGCCGTCTGATCCGGAAAGTAACTTTCCTGCTGGACTGGCGTGCCGTATTGCGCTGGCGTGCCGGCGTACTGATTCGGGGGTGGAGCCATTGCTGGGCTTCCCGTCTGTTGGTAGCCAGCAGGGCTCGCAGCGACTGGCGGGCGCCACGTGTTGGGCTCGTCTTGCCTGCCGTTTGCATTCGGAGGATTTGGAGAGCCAGTGCCCATGGCGTGGTACCCGGCGAAGTCGGACATGGTCGCGGCGCGGGGATGTTGCGGTGGATTCGCTGGACGGGACGATTCGAGGCGGGTCAGGCGTGTGGCGGAGGAACAACGGGGCACGGAGTGGTATTATAGATGACCATATCACGGGGCGGGCATGCTGGGGTGAATGTGTGCACAGGCGAAGGGACAGATCTCGAGGAACCAAGGTTGATGATCTGTCTATTTTCTAGACCTCTACTTCCATCGAAAGAGCGCGTCCGTGCGCGCTTCCACATGCAAGAACGAGACAAGGGTCCATTCACTCGCGTGTCACCAGCAGACTCGGAATGTTTCCGTCGAGGAACAGTGTGGTCTGTATTATCGAGGGCGACAGTATATACAGATGATCTCCTCTGTTCATCCAACGGCACAAAACCTTCGTACCAATGAACATCCAAGTATACCAAAAGTGACCTGTCGGGAATCACTTGGCACTTCAATTGCCTGTGCAATACCGCGCGGCGGGACCATGTATATAACATCCCTGGGTTATCCCTTATCAGCCCATAGGTACTAATACCGCGCGCCCTTGGTGTGCCGGTCGAAGTGGTCCAGACTATGAGCTGCAGCCGTTTACCATATTCATGATTTGACTCTCCGTGCCTTATTCCAGCTTATCCAGGTGTGCCAATCGCGTCAACACGACCTGTTTGCTCGTCTCTTCGATCTCGCCTGCCAGGAACACTTCGTCGAGGATCGCATACACCTTATAGAAGTTAAACACCAAATCCAGCTCACACACATTGCCAAAGAATGCATCTAGCACCTCCACAAAGAAGTGGATAGCTTCTAGATATGCCAGTTCGTTATCATTTGTGTCGACGCATGCGCAGAAGAAGAGGCCAGCGTATCGGCGGTATATGATCTTGGACATGTTGCGGAACTCGACGAAGTTGGATTGATGTTTCTGGTCGCGGGGCGCGATAAGGCGGTGTACCTGTAACGAGTCTTAGTCTCATTTGGAATATCGGTATGTGGAGGTTGGACGATGGCTGCTCGGAGGAGTGGTAGAGGGAGAGAACCGCTGAGGTGGATAGATGGGTATGTAGGAAGGTGTCGCATACCTCGCCCTTTAGCTTGATCTTCTCCTCATCCTACACAGTGATTAGCAACTTCATCTACCAATGAACTTTGACGTCTCGACTTACACTGTACGGCGCATACCACTTCGCCAACCGCGTCTTCCCTCTACACGGCGCAACACATTAGTCTCGGCCCCCTTCCAAACCAACATACGGACTTACTGCCTGTTCTGAATCAGAATAAACGAAAGCACCATCTTCGCAGTGTGCCTCGTGGAATCAGGCTCGGCGCGCTGTAGGAAGAAAGAGAGAGAGAGAGAGCGCAGGTGTGACAATGACGGCAAGCCGCGTGCTTCCCTGCAGCGTTCAGGGCTCACTTCCTGTGAAAGGAGCTGGCTCGTGCGCGGGACAGGCACAGGTCCATCCCTGCAGGAACGTGGGCGAACCGAAGTCCACTTTTTAGCCGCAACACATCGTAATGGGGTTTTCCTTTGTCATGAGAATGCAGCATTTTGCAATTTGCATAGTCTTATTTGTCTGGCACATATGGTACTCTTACGGGTCGTTGACCTACAAAGACCCGAACAAGTGAACGGAGGCTATATCTCATACTGGACAAGACTGATAGCCCACCCCTCTACTTTGCACACGATGCAACGGGGCAAAACCTTCTATCAACATGTCTGATTCGTTGAGACTGACCTGGTCCTCCAATTCCGTTGTCACGTGTCTCGGCACCATAGGTTTTTGTCCAACACAGTTCTTGTCAGTCGTACTGTGCACTTTGGAGCGCGACTTGACGCGTCGATATCGTGTTCTGCTAACCAAAGCCCTGAGAGAGCCTACAGTTGACGTGTCAGAATGAGTTGATAGAGGTGTGTTACCTGGACAATCAAGAAGAGCTGGGTCGATGGTTTCCATGGCTACATCGCCGTCGCTGTCTTTCTCATTTGGAGTGTTACCGCCTTGTCCCTGTGTCTTGTTCTTCTCCATAGTATTGGAAAGCTGACTGGCACCGCGTTCACCAGCACTTTTGCGACGCTCCGCACTTGCTAAGAGTGTGCCCCAAAAGTCGGTCTTGTCCGCTTGCCTCGGTGTGTGTATGTTACCACAGTTCTGGCGCGTGAGTGTGCTTCGAGGCATGAAATTGACAGGAGCAGTTAGTGACGGCATGGAGTTGACTTCGATACTAGGGAAAGACGTTTCGACAGGTGTGTGGATACCGAATCGCTTACCCCAACGACACTCGGATGGGTAGTCACACGTGTTCCAACAATCTTGCTGCCTTGGGAGTTTGTCCTGGCTATCTGCCTGTGAACCTGTATATGCTATGGCCTTGCATTTTGGGCCACCTCGGCGCCATCGACCCACAGTCTTCCAACCGGAGTAATCAAACTCACTGGCGCAGGCGCGATATTTCCGGGATTTACGTGGGCTGTTGGACTTTTGTACAGACTTGACGGTGGTAGCGCCGCTGCAAAAATGGTGCCCATCCTCGAGACAGCGTCGTGTCACGCCTAGGCGGTAGCTATGACGGCATTGGTGGCACTTCCACATCCATGACAAGGGACTTGTTGGCGCCTCGATAGGAGGTTTTGGGTAAACTGCAATGCTTTGTTGATTCGTCTTCTCATCTCGTTGTCGATTTGGAAGAACAGGTGTGAGAGGCGTGCGCGGAGAAAACGGCGAAGGTGGTATGGAGAGAAATGAAGGTTTGAAAGGTGCTGCAGAAATGCGGAGAGGATTTCGCAACTGATGGTAAGGCATCTCAGGTGTTTTCGGGGTCTATTGGGCTCTTCACTAAAAGTGATGGCTGACCACGATATCTGCAAATAACAGTTGTTCGTTTCAAAAGATCTTACAGTGGTTGTTGCAAGTAGATTGTTCGTGCAAACTTGATAGAAACACGAGCTTTACTAGCTTCCACCATCGAGCAAAATCTGTCTTTTCTACAGGCATCCCTAATGTCAGGTGCTGTCGCAGCCTGAGCTGCGCTACTTCTTTGAAACATGGGCGAAGAGTTGTGATGGGCGTCGACAAAGCTGTGTTCGACAGTGGCCTTTGTTATCGCAACCCGGTTTTACGCTATGGTGGTCTTGTGCAAACCACACGGCGGTTCCTTTGTCTGATGTACTTGCCTCGAAGATCTTTTGCTAACGTCACGGGCATGTCTTCGCTTTGTTCACTTGAGCATGCGAACAGCATAACATCGCCTTGTTAGCGTGTTCCATTCCTTTACTTACTCGAAGCCGATGACTACATGTCTCATTTCTAATTCTGGATCACACCACCAGATGCCAAACCAGCTCTTAGCCGGTGGTGGAGTTTTGCGGAACCCACGTATATGGCAGGCATCTCGATCTCCACACAAGGCACAGCCTCCCCCACACCCATCCGCCCCTGCGGGTACCTATACTTACCCAGAGATAAGGTCGCAAACGGCGCGATTTTCAGATCGGCGAGGTATGGTAGTTCCCGTGCTTTAACATTTGGTTTTGGGATCGAGACCAGTGAACGTCGGGAGACGAAGCCAACAAGCTTGGCATGAAGTGGCCGCGGTAGCTGGACCAGTGAACTTCCGTATGTAGATAATGGATGTGATATGGAAGGCATGCAACCTTCTCAAATGTTCCTTGATGTTTAGATAAGGGATGGTTGGCGTGTTGGCGATATCGTGACGGGCGGTGAGCATCAGCGATTCCTACGACGAGAGTCTGCATCGACCTACATCGTGCATCTGTCATGATTAGCTTCGGTGGTAGCGCGGTACTCTGACATCATCTTACTAGACAATCCGGGGTTCAATAAACATTGTCGATCGCCGTCCTGGAGGAGCGGGAAAAGATAAGGAAACATGGAGAGTTGGCTTGGCACAATTGCATGGTAAACGCCTTGCGACAAAAGAAGTAAGTCGATCAGGCTTAGATTGATAAGGAAGCTGGGCGTTGCGTCCAATAATGTTCCGAGTGATTGAACATCCTTTGAATTGTCTTGTAGGGATTTGGAATAAGCAAGTGAATATGTTGACGTAGTATGGTGTTCAGTGTATCCATTCTCGAATTATGTACAATACATGGGTAAAGAAAAACTAGTCGAAGGTCTAAAGTATATGTCAAAAAGCACAGCTCAAAGACGGGAGCGCAAGTGGTATCTCGAAACAGTTTTGACTCAAAAAGGTCGCAAGCAACAAATCCAAATCTGCAATGCAACAAAAGCTTAGGTTTGAACCTGCTTCTCGTGCTCAGAGCCCATGGCCATAGCATGCCTGTCGCCTGCAATGCCGGTGTGCTCGTGGCCTGAGCTGTGTTCCGAAGGTGCCTTGCCCTCAAGCATCTGGCTGTGCTGGGGAATACCGTGACGCTCGCCTTGGGGTACAGAGTGCTCGCCGTCGATTGGCTCGCCCTTGGCGGGTGTCCAGGCGAGGTAGTCACGGCGGACCTCGACGTAATCGTAGGCGAATTCACCGAGCTGGTCGTCGTCCATACCGAGGAGCTCAGCCTCCTCAGATGCGCGAAGCTTTAGGCCCGGGATCTTGTCGATAACGAAAGCGAGGATGGCGGAGACGACGAAGGAGTAGGCGGTGACGGCGACGATGTAAGCAATCTGCTTGTAGACTGCGGCTCCCTCACCGGTGATGGCACCAGCGGCAAGTCCGTTGTTGACACCGTCAAGACCGATGATGTAGTCGGCACCGAAGATGCCGTTGAAGAAAAGGCCCCACATTCCAGCGACACCGTGCTCAGCGAACACATCGAGAGAATCGTCGATCTTGATCCAGAACTTGACTAAAGTTGTGTTAGCGAGCAGTACGCGAGCGGACTTTTGTAAGAATACGTACTCTTGGTAGCAAAGTTAGCAACAATACCAGTAGTGATACCGAGAACAACGCTAGCCCATGGAGGAATGAAACCAGAAGCGGGAGTGGCAGCGACAAGTCCAGAGATGACACCTGAGCACCATCCAACCATGGACCACTTGCGAGCTAGGCGCCAATCGAGGAGAACCCAAGTCATGGCGGCGAACATGGCGGTAAGGTTGCTGTTCCAGCACGCCATGACAGCGCGAAGGTTGGCACCGAAAGCGGAACCACCGTTGAAGCCCAACCAACCGAACCATAGGAAGACAGTGCCAAGGGTGATCAGGGAGACGTTGTGAGGGCGGAAGTTGAGCATCATCTTCTCCTGGCGACGTCCGAGGATCATGGAGTAGGCCAAAGCTGAGCAACCGGAAACGATCTCGACGGGACCACCACCAGCGTAATCAAGTCCACCCCATACGAAGAACCAGCCGTTCGAGTTCCAAGCCCAGTATGCGACGGGGCAGTATACGATCGTGGCCCAGAACCAGATAAAAACCATCATAGGGATCAAGCGACCGCGCTCAGCAACGCAACCGACGACAATGGCAGCAGTGACAGCGCAGAATTGCATCTAGAGACGTGTTAGTGCATAAGATCACAATATGATGACGTTTGCCATACCTGGTAGAAAGAGTACAGCAGCTCAGGAATCAGAGGACTACCTGGGCTAGGAGCACCAAGGACACCCTTAAGACCGAACTTGTCAAGGTTTCCGATGAAACCGTTTGTCGAGGGGCCGAAGGCGAGCGAGTATCCCCAAAAGTACCATTGGAAAGTAATGACGGACGCGGAGAACATGCAAGCCCAAATAAGGGAGAGGGCGGACTTTCTTCGAGCAAGACCGGAGTAGAGGAATGCGAGACCAGGAATCATGATCAACACCATGGCCGAGGCCACGAGAATGTAGGCCTGGTCACCCGCGGCGTACCATTGGTTAAGGTTCTCGGTGACTGAGGTTTACTGGTTAGTGTTCTGGTTGCGCAAGATGCGTGTTGCGCTCGGCACGTGCACAAGTAGCATATGGGAACTTGTACTCACGAGAATCACCACCAGTGATATCATCGGTGCCATTGAATTGGGTCGGAGGGCCGATCCATGAGTACGACATGGTGGGCGTGTCCTAGGGGATTGACGGGGTACTAAGGATATACGGGGTCCTTGAGTACTATGGGGAAGGAGACGGTTCCACGGTAAGGCCTGTGGAAGGGGAAGAGAAGGGGATTAAAAGCTGGATCGGTGCCAGTAATATACGGCTGCTATAGGGAGAAGTCGGAAGCCCTACTGTAGATTACGGTAGATGCGCCGGGACCTTTATGGGTGGAACTTGCTGTACTACTCTTATCTATCCTGGTCCACGGGCCAACACTTGAGGCAAAATAGACGAGGGTACATCACCCACAGCCGCGACCGTCGTGGGGTTCGCGTTAGATCCAGCCATGGAGCTTTGTTCTTTTTCTGCCGCGATTGATCGCACCGCTGCGTCATTGCTGCTCCTAACGATCTAACGCCTTATCTCGCCGCGCGCGCAACATGCAAACATGTGACGGAGAGGCGTAGCAGATAACGAGCAGCACCCACACCGGCGGCCACGTCGCGTTTGTCTGTAGGGACAGGCCTCGCAGCGGCGCCTCTCTGGCATGGGCTCAACATGAATTCGCATATGCTATAGCAGGCAACTCCAGTTTCATCCGGGGCGGAAGGCTTGGCGAGTGGGTGGTCAATGTTGCGTGGTGTCAATTGCATTTCTGGCCAAAGATAAGAACTCGTTGTCGCCCAATCAGCGTCCACTTCGGATGCTGCGCACGCTAGCTGCTTTGGGTGCCGCATCTTCGCCGGCCGCCCTGCGACGCGTTCTCACTAGACACCAGCGAACGCCACCCCGTCCCTGACGATTTGTTTATGCGATTCACGTACGTTGTGTGCGATAAGACGACCACGGCGGTTTGCTCGCCATCCTGCTCGCGTCTAGTGCTCCTCACCCCAGAGTCTCGCGACATCGATCCACGACACGACAGTCGGGTGAACATCGGGCGCCCAACGAACTTTGAGAAACCCAATCTTTGGGCTTTTCTGGTCTTGCCGTTGCGACACGGCGCTACTTACGCACGCCCTGCAGAAAGACCGCGGCGTGCAAAATCCGGCTATGGTTGAGCAGATCGAGACACCCGTCCGACCGGCCTGCATCTGTGGTTCTTCGACTGACCGCGGCCACTGTGGTACCGGCCAGTAACAGGTACCCACACGGTCAGCAGTCTAACCTCGTCAAACGCCCAAATTGGGACTATTTTCAGACGATTCTCTCAGTTATTTCCAGTGAGCCGGGCTACTTGCCGGAGAGTGAAGACTATCAGACCCTGTTTCCCGATGGCCATGTCCTCGCGCGTCCTAAAGGCGACCTGGATACGCCTGTCAACAACGTGGACCGCCAATAGAGAAGCAATGCAATCAATGCCCTTTGTCTCTGTGTCTCCGCGGCTGACACGAAACAACGTCAAAGTGGCATAAGCAGCTGAAGCCGTTGTGTTCTTTTGCACCACGAGCCGTGGGGCGTGGCAGGAGTAGGGCTCAGCTGCATGTCAGCCTCCCGTACCCGCCCGGCGACCCTTGGCGGCAAACTGTCGCGAAAGCATGTGAGTCTGCTCCCCAGAAGCGAGGCAGTGGGGCTCATGGCCGCCGTGGTGGGCTCGTGGAGAGGTCGATACTGTAGTACATCCTTCTGGCGTGGGGAAACTGGAATTGGACACAGCAGCATCGTTGGCTCTCACGCGACTGTCCACTTTCCACAATATTTCACACCCTTGATTGACATTCCGCGCCAGCATTATTGACGTGTGGGATTGCACTTGTTTATCTTGAATGTATCGCAGGTTGTGCAATTCCAGCACGTTTCTAAGGATGCGAAAACGCGCCGGGCCAATGACGGCGCTCCGAAGCCGGAGCCCTGACTACGCGTCTGAAGTAACCTTGGATCGGATCATTGGTGCATCGCGCCCTATCAATTCTCCGACCGGTCCTGTTTCGCTGACGCCGGAGTATATGTCTTATACTGATAGCTTGGTGTAAGAGCGCGTCAGCTTGGCTGCTCCTTTTGCTCTCTCATTGACGTGTGCCCTTTTACTATCGCGCTGGGCAATATTGTTGGCGACATTGAAAGTTCAGTAGAGACGCCGACCTAAAGATACTATGCAGCGAGTTCGCCATCGATCGCCGTTCTTTCCACTGTCACGAATCGGCTGACTAGTTGGGAAGAATCTCGAATTTTACAATTCCACAATTATACACAATGCACACCTTACGCCCCACCCACGCCGTTCCTCGAGGCGCCTGTGCAACGGAAGTAAGTCTGCGGTCGCACGCAGTTCTCCGTCGGATGACGAACAGCAAACATGCCGAAAATATACACATTCCACAATCAATACGTCGCATAAGAGTCGACCGAGTCTTGGTGTAGCACAAGCCTAGTTTGTGCAAGTCACGGTCGTTGCACTACGCTTCGTTCTTACGCCTAAACGCTAGACGATGACCATGACAAAAGCACACAAGAAACGAGAGATAGCCGTTCAGTTGACTACGCGCATAGTTTCTCATACACTGCTGAAGTCTGTCGAGTTGTACCACAGTAAGCTCTTCAGCACTCATCGGGGCAGAAGCAGCATCCCTTCCCGACCTAGACAAACACTCCGTCCCAGATGGTCCAACAACCCTCTTCTCTCGGTAGTCGCGTTGTGTAGCTAGACCGACGAACCGCCATCTATCGAGATGTTTTGCCCAGTGATACTCCTGCTCAGCGCCAGGACTCTAACCTGATCCGCACAATCTTCTACCGTAGCCAACCTCTTCAACTTGGTGTTGTTGATCGCAGCATTACGCTTCGCTTCTGGAAACTTGAGCCCCCATTCTGTGAGTAGCATACCCGGACTGATGCTGTTCACACGAATCTTCGGTGCCAGAATGACAGCAAGACTCTTTGCAAGATGAATTTGCGCTGCTTTGGTAACAGCATAAGGAACGCTGCTTCCACTAGGCTTCACACCCGCCACACTCGCTGTCGAAATAAAACATCCTTCGTTTTCGGCCAAGGCATCTTTCGCGGCATATGCTAGCCACATGTGCGTTTTTGCATTCATGGTGAAACATTTGTCCCAGTCGTCATCATTGACTTGCTGCTCAATGTCGGTAAAGGTCGTCATGCGCGTCCAGCCTGCGTTAGAAACGACGACGTCCAACCGGCCCATCTTTTCGATTGTTTCTTTCACAAGATTTTGGACTGACGGTTTTGAGGACATGTCTGCTTGGACCAGGTGGAAGCGTGGGTTTGCTTCTGAGGATGGGCCTGGTATGGATGATAGTTCCTTCATGAGAGATTGTGCCCGATCCGAGTTTGATGAATAGTTGATTACCTAGGTGACGTTAGCTACCACTCTCAGTCTCCAAACATGGGGAAATATGTGATTCGAAGCGTTTTAGACATACCACACGGAAGTCTGGCGCAAACACGCGTGCTATCTGTGCCCCCAATCCTGCCGAGCTAGCTGTGATCAATGCTACTTTTGTGGTCGCCATGATGAATTATTGATGATACAGGGAATAAAGATACTGAAGCGAGATCTTTTGTTATATATTGGAGAGCAAACGGTCTATATGTATCACCGCGGGGTGGACGCGCGGGGTTAGCGTTCCGTCATGTGGATGCAGCTGCGGAACCATTCCGTAGACCCTTGGATATCTCAACAAGACCTTCCGTTTCCCGAACATCATCCTCTGTAAATGTGATTCATCGCCGAGAGAAGACACACCCCATTCTTCGCGCTCTTAGTCCTTCCCTCGTTTTACCCATCTCAGTGTCACCCTTTCCTACGAGCTCCGACGGACCGAGCTCATGAATACGATATCCATCTGGATGGTACTTTTCATCTCCAGGAACGGCGCCTCCAATAAGTCGCAGTAACAACGCCTTCGGTCCCCATCTTGTGATAAATGTCGGCTTTATATACCAAGGGTGAGCAATGTATTGGCCGAAGTGGGCGCGTCCAGTCTTTCCATCGAGTTCTGTGAACCATTCCTTACGTAGGAAGTGCGGTCGAGGGAGAAAGAAGTTTCGCAATGCAAATTTCCGAATCTCGACGACAGTTTCAAGGATCTGTGTGTAGATAGCTGGTGGCTGTGGTAACCTGGGGCATGGTCAGTATGATACACACATTATGCGAAAGGGCTATTTCTTCTACTTACTTCATCGCCTTCTGTAAACGTGGCTCGAGCAACGAAGAAGCTATAGTGAACCCATATGGTTTGAGAATGGAAGGCACATTGAATAAGGCGATATCGAACGTGCCGCGAGCAAGTGTTGCATTCGTATCGGCGGGCACCATATTCCGAGTTTCGTAGGCGAGGCTCCACGCCTCCAATTCTTCGAGCCAGTGCAAACCGTCTCGCCATCCTTGGCCAGCAGAAGGTAGAGTATCGTACGATATCTTCATTGCCTCACCAAGATCTTTCCAGTAGACGCCCATGGCGCATCTCTCAAAGTCCGTTACACCTCGCCACTCGTATTTGGCCGTCCATCTGATTGGCTCGAGCACGAAAAGACTAAGGGTGTATAACATATCGTCATTCGATATCTTCCCAGCCTTGATGTATCGACCATGAAGGTAATTCATGAGTGCTATGCCACTGATCGCTCTTTCAGAGTCTGGTTTGTTCAGCACTACCTCGGTGATCACGACGCCAGTATCTGCGGCTCGTTTGGATGCAGTCTCAGAATCTGACAATTGTCCTGTTGCGACCAGCAGCTTAGAAATGCTGGGGATGCCATACGTCTTGAAGAGAGCGAAGAACACGGAAACAGAAAACACGGTCGGGAACTCTAATTCGGCAAGAGCGAGCTGCATGGAATGCGCATCTTGAAGTGTCATACGGCTCCACGACGAGCGATCAGGGTACTGAATGGTCTGTCAGATTCCTGATTCCATCAGTGTTGGCCATACTTTGCTTACATTGAGGCGACGAGAAACGCTATCACGACGTCTATAACGGAGAACGCGAACAAGAAGCCAGTAGGCACCGAGAGCGGTACATATCCAGATTTTGGAACTGGAAAACGGGAGAAGCATGGCTATGGTGTAAGCTGACAGTTTGAATTCTGTCGCCTCGGCTGCGTTGGCTCTCGTTCTCGTAGCCTACCTCAGTGGGATGAAGGTCTGGGTATGCTGAGCATGAATCGGTAATACTGACGAAGCTGAAAATTGGCGCGATCGTTCGCGGTATGAAACTTTCTGTACTTTCCTTCCGAACAGATCTGACGTCGATTTACGTGATGAAGTATGGATGGCGTGAAGGCGCGTAAAGATGGAGGTGGCTATACAAGGCTCAGATAGGCTAATACAATCTAGGGAAAGCGCTCCTTCCGTCTGCCCCACACACACCAGGCTGGAAGCGCGGAACAGTCTGAGATCTCGAACTGTGCCTCACAGTTGAGGGGAACATGAACACCCAATAGAGTTGCCTCTGGCTATTTGGCCTATTGAAACACTAGCGTAGATTGCAGTACATGAGTTTTGAAGTGTGTCTCTAGCCCAATTGTAGGTATGACAGGATTCGCGAACTCCTCGGAGTGTAAATCTAGGCGTGTAGTTTACTCCCACGATTGATAAGTAGATGACAGACCCCTCTTCCAAACCTTTCCGATCGACGTATGGCACATCCAGCAGAGCTAATAATATCTAGGCAGCACCAATGACCGACCTTCGCGACCCCTATGTCCACCCTTTTGGCCCCAATCCAACTCGCTGGGACGGGTCGTTGCAGCCATGGGCGCCTGTCGCTTATAAGATCTCGCTTTGTCAGTTCGATGATTGGAGAATCGCCACACACATCTTATCCCTCCGGTTACACGACATCGATTCCAGTCACGAATGTGTCTCAGCCTTGCGCCCCCGCGGGTTGCGTTCAACCTTCTATGATGTATCACCGTCTGCAATGCGCTGAGGCGCTCTTCTGGCATAAGCCCAGTTACTCTCCAGCTTGAAATCTTATGTGCTCGACCATGTTGAACTGTCGTGGTGCTGATTCTACTCTCGCTCAGCTCTTCTCCGGCGCGTTACAGCTCATCGGAAGCGATAGAACACCGATATTACCTTCTGTGAGCCTTCTACATTGGAATCATGTCTAACAGCACAATCACCACCCTGATGTCCCGCCGAGGCTGGGTGGGCGGACCAGACGAGAGAGGTACGCTGGATATCGTCTGGAGTTGCGTATCAACGCTGTTCATCTGCCTTTGGAGTATGCTACACCTAAATATACCCTCCCCAAAAGACACTTTCTGGACTATCTTCTGGCGCAAGGCGCGTTGGCTCTTACTTGGTGTTCTAGCACCTGAAGTGCCCATGCTCTTCGCCGCTGGTCAATGGGCCTCCGCGAAAAGGTCCGTCAAAGCTATGCGAGATATGGGCTTCGATGAAGAGGAATGGTCGCTTGAGCATGCCTATTACGCAGACAGTGGTGGGTTCGAGTTACGGACTGTTGACCGCGAGGCAATTCCCATCACCGCCAAACAGGTCCACTATCTGATCGAACATGACATAATTACCCTACCAAGAGTCACTAAGAAAGAGATATGGGACAAGAGCAATGCAGACAAGGTCGCCAAATTTCTTGCCTGTTTCCAAACCGCATGGTTGACAACTCAAACAATTGCACGTGCGATACAACATCTCGCTATCACACCGTTGGAATTATCAAGCATTGCGTTGGCTTTGACGTCTCTTACGACACTATGGTACTGGTTGCAAAAGCCGTTGGATGTTGAGACACCTACGCTCGTTCATGTGGAGAAAAGCATGAAGGAGATAATTAGTACTTGCGACGGTGGTGGCGCAGACCCGTATACGAACACTCCGCTGGACTTCATCGAACCAAATGCGTATATCGCGCGCAAATGGAATCCGCTCCTCTTCAAATGGATACTTAGTCGCAAACTTTAGACCAAACCAATTGAGCGCATTCCGAATGATCGAGACCCGCAACTCTCCAATGTCTACCAGCATCTGTCGCTGGCTGTGGCCACCGCCTCTTTCGCCAGTATCCATCTTGCAGGTTGGAACTTCAGTTTCGAAACCGACTGGGAAGCATGGCTTTGGCGTGGCAATTGCTTAGTGATGTGGGGTCTTCTGGCTACATATGGGACGACAGAAGTGGTGGCTTGCTGCAACGAAAGATTCCAAAAGCTAGGCATGGATACGATGGGAGGTTACAAGATGCGATGGCCTGCATGCCTTTGGTTTATCATACCCGCATCGCTGTATGCAATGGCTAGACTTGCGTTGTTGTTTGAAGTGCTGTATAGCATGCGCAGTCTTCCGTCTGATGCTTTCGTTGAGGTGAAATGGTCTTCCTTCATCCCTCATATATGAAATGGAACTGGGTTATGACAGTTCATACATGCCAAGTGACACACCACGGGGCCTGATCGGTAACATCAAAACTGCAGAGAGAAGTACGGGATAGTAGCGATCCATCTTTGTACTCTATACTGTCCCGTGTTTCCGCACTACTTTGTGCCACCCCGCTTTATTCAGAGTCCTGAGGGTCGTAAGAGTGCATTAACAGCAAACTTGCACAATGTGCAATACAGGTTGAAGCCTACGAATAATACATCGCCTGTAAAACCATCGGGTAGAAGTGCATAGTCGGGGATTTACCAGCGCTGGTGAATCTACGCCCGATCTCACCGGTATTGCTGAGCTCAGCGATCGCGCATCCTTTATTGGGCGCACCATTCGCGGGGTGCAGTGAAGGACGAAGTGGCTGACCAACAAGATCACCGCACCTACAAGGCTGAGAATGCACTCGAATTGACAACTCATGAGTGCATACAAGACCCCGCGTCTTGCAATCAGTGACAGCGCATATGGTTTGAGCCTCATTTTTGAAGTCATGGCTGAGGTGGATAAAGGGAGGTGTTTCCAAGGTTGGTCCGGCTTTCTCCTAAGTACCAACGACCGCCACCTAGTGTCTTCGCAACATGTCTGTGAGCGACAACTCCACCTTGGATGTATCGCATGAGAGCGACGGTATGGGCGGGTACGCGTATGGGACGGGGGACATGGCTGTCAGCTCCGAAGAGAAATCGTAAGTTATATACCATCAAACACCTGCAGAGAGGTACTGATGCTTTCAAATAGCCCATATGCGACCACACAGATAGTCGCACTGGACGTTGGACCAGAACCGACCCGGTTCCTTGTACACGATAGCGTCTTGAGCCGGAGCAAGGTTCTTGCGGCGAAGTCTTTCCCAGTGGCTTTCGTCCAACAACCAGTACTTCTCCCGGAGCTGGACCAGAACACAGCACATACTTTGATCCACTACTTGTACACTGGCAAATTCCAAAGCCTCAGTATCTTGGCGTCTTCTGACAAGATAATCCCTGAGTTGTACAAACTGGGTACTAGTGTATATTGCGCTGCTGCTCGTTATAAGTTACCAGGGCTTGCTGAGTTGGCCCAGAATAAGATGAAGTCTCTCGACGAAGAAATGAGCATCTTCGATATCCTTTCTGTAGCGAGAGATGTTGCATTCCCTCTGCTACCAGAGGATGATGTGTGGTATCCAAGCTATGTGGAAGATTCACTCAACAACGCCATGGCAGATGATCCAGAACCATTCCGAAAGCCGGATTTTATCACATCGGTGGGGTCTGACAGCAAGCTCTTGCAACTTGTCTGGAAGACTGTGATGAACAACTACGCTCGAGCGCCAGCGACACCGGCAGCCAACAACGAGGGAACCAGCACTCCAACAGCTGAACTTGTGCCAGAGCTACAGGAGTCGATTGGTGGTGAAAGCACTGCCTGTGCAGTTATGCCAATAAAGACCGACGAGGCAGATGAACCCGCAGTAACAGCAGTTTCCGTACCCCCTCCAAGGGACGACGTTACCGAGGCACCCATTGTAGAAGACATCATAGTTCCAAAGCCCACCAAGGAAGCTGCTCCAAAGGCGGTAGACGCTCAACCCACAGAAGAAAAACCAGCAACACTTGAGCCTTTCACAGACGAGCTAGACTTCAAGTCCTCGAAGACCTACCAACAGATGGGCAACAAGAAGCCAGAACAAGTCAAGGCTAGCGCTATCTCTTCAGGAGAGACCAAAGCACCTGCTCACGTACGCTCAGACTCCGTGGTGCAGGTCGAGCAGCCTCTGGTAACTCCTATTGACGGGCAGACGAAGGCTGATGGCGGTGCGCTAGTAGTAGATGAACCCGAGCAGGTAGTGGTGACTGAGCAAGGGGACTCGAAAAAGTTGGAAGATGTTGCCCCGCCAAGCAAGAAGAACAAGAAGAAGAGTAAGAAGGCGGCGAAGGCAGCTGCCAACGAGTAGGATCGCAATATGTGAAGATTCGTTGAAGCAAAGCATATACAGTCTAAATTCAATAAGCTTGATGATCTGTCGCAGAATGTCCAAGGTACTTTGAGCTTGTTGTAATTGACATTGACTCGGGTTCCATATCTATGATGTGTTATAACGCTGATACATTGCGAAGCTGTAGGAAAATAGGATGAGTGGCGCAGTGGCCAAGTTATCGTGGCTTATCTGTATTGTTTTGCTCGCCGCCTCTAGGCTGCATTCCACTTCAAATGCCCATGGAGAGCACTTGAGCGAAGTTGTGCGTTGATGATGTGGCCGGCGAGGCACTTCAGCGAATTAGGTAGCCACAACACATGGTCGTGCGCTAAAATGTCTCCACCGTTCCCCCACCTCTGCACCGCACGTAACGTTCTCCCAGCCACAGCCATGGTATGTCGGGTAGTGAAGCCTGTACGGACGCTCCTGTCACTATCACCACCTCGGACAGCTTCAGAAGGAAGCCACCGCCGCCCATCGCTACCGCACGCCATTCGTTCGACTCGAAGTGCTAGGTACCCTGGGTCCACGCCTCTTCCGAGAGTCCGATGTATACGTTTCTTGCTGATATCGCCGAACGTCCGCGATACCCACCCAGTTAGTAGTGTTCGATCTGGTACGGACGATTACGAGCTCTTGGTCTGTAAAGTATCAGCCTTGTCCTATAGGACAGATGCTCACGCCAAACGTGCCATTCGTAGGTATTCTCCCCCATTTGTGCCTCCAGAAGTCCGATCCCTTCATACGGCTTTTGCAAACCATACCCATGCCTGACAGTAGCAGCATAACAAACAATGAGACAATGGCGAGAATAGCTTCTTTGGACCAAGAGCGATCCGTTTCGGTGGTGGCAGAGGGACTTGTCACTGAGAGTAGTCAGCATACACGTGGGTGCAGAGATTGTATTACAGTAGATTCAACCATAAATCCACCCCATAGTATTCGTAATAAATACTAGGTCACTATATAGAATTGCGACGTACAATTTGCAGACATGGCTGTGGCGTGGCAACCTTGGAAACAATCACGTTCTGTGTGCTGCGGCGTTTATGGAGGATGTCTATATAATTTGACAGGCACTTGGAATATGCACAAGCGGTGTATAGAATAGAGCACAGCAAATACTTGTGAAGTTTAGTATTTAAAAGGAAGCGTGATGATGACGGCGGGCAGTATGTACAGACGCTTGGACCATGGTGTTCATATGCTATGCATTCCCGACCACTCAGAGACTGCCGTTGCTAGCTTGAGTTGAGAGACGCTCGGACCATGGTGCTCATATGCTATACTCCTCCGACCACTCAAAGACTGTCGTTGCCAGCCCGAGGCAAGAGTGTCCAGTAGGATCGGAGCGTCTCCTGTGCTAACGAGATTCTAACGCTTTCTGTATGACTACCCGACGCGCCTGGCGCGGTGGGGGCCCGTCTGGCAAATCGTGGTGTTGTTTTCTCGTCCATCACTTGCTGCCCAGGTGGGGACACTCGGAGGAGCCCGAAGCCCGCCACGTTCAGAGCGTTTCCTGTCACGTGCCATCTCCAGCTCACAACGCCCTTGGGTCCTCAGTCTCTTGTCCTGCGGGTTGCTTTCCTCTGTCCTAACGTTGAAAAAATCCTTGGTCATAAAAATAATTTGCATTTGTTAGTGAAAGTCGCAGGCTCTGGAATTGAGTTTCTCATTACAAGGGCAGTCTTGTCGTCCTTGAGATGGAGAATTAGATCCAAGCGATGTGAATTCAAACCCAAAATCAAGGCAGTATCGATCAGATCTCGACGATCAGCCAATTCGCTATCTGTGAGGAAGGGTATGCAGTGTAGATTCAGGATCGTGAGTAGAGGGCAAGAACCGCGAAGGCAGAGAACTTACCAACAAGATGCGTAGAAGGGCAGCGCGTCAAGACAGAAAGAAGTGACCAGTCATGGACCATCGCACACTATCGCTTTCACATGATTCATGAAATGAATCTTCCATGCATGTTTTTCGGCTGAGCATCCTTACCTACGTACTGCGATGCCTACTAGCATGGTGCGACAAACCACACGAGGTCTTCAGCCTTCCAAGGTTACTCCTATGTCGCGCTGCGTGACATTAGGGTATGTGTATTACGGATAGGATAGGTAAACTCGCAATGCTCAGCTTCGCGCATACAGAAATCCTACCTGGTCACTGTCTTCTTCACTATCGTGCACTGGTTTGGAAGAACGATTGAAAAGAGGGGACTGCGTGTTCTTGTTCTGCTCTGAAAAGCTGAATGCAGCCCAAGACTACTGTAGGCGATCTCCCAGAAAGTGTTATGATATCCGGCTTTGCGTCCAACACGATGATAGCTTCGAATTTATTGCCACGTAGACAAGATGCCGTCCTGTCTGTCCATTACTGCTCCACTAACCCTTCCAGATTATCGCCGCCGCCCCTCAGTTATTCGGCTCGAAGATCGCGATAGCCTGGGCCCCCGCCTCATTCGAAGCAACGACGTGTATGTATCTTGTTGATACTGTCGAACGTTTACAATATCGACCCAGCCGGACATAGTTGGTCTGACATGAATCCTTGCTAGCTCTTCATCTGCGTAGCATTAGTCACTGTACTGAGCAGGCAGCTGCTGCGCAACTTACTATTCATGAGTAGTCTTCGCCATCTTGATACTGTCCAACGATTGGGACTCTTGAGGCAATGTTTGCACGCCAGACCTATGCTGGACAACAAGACCATGATGAATATAGAGACAAGGGCGAATATGGCTTCTCTTGACCATGGCTGGCCATCTTTAGCAGTCGTAGTAATTTGAGTCACTAGAAGAGATCAGTACGACGATGACTGCATCTACTGTCCTCTTTCCGTAAGAGATACAACCAAAACACAACGTATAGCAATCTGTTTGAACTGACAGGAATTGTGCCGACGTCATACGTACAATTTGCGGCCATGTCGTGAAGCCGGCGGCAATAAATATCGGTTATGTAGAAGACGTTACGATGTCAATAGCGGCTCCGACGTTGTGATCCTGGGAATCGTTTAAGCTAAAATAGGACAAACAGAGTTGGATTTGCTAAGGAGTAGCAAGACCGTGATGATAGGATTAGAAAAGGGTGCGAGCTATATACACTGACTGCAGGTGGGAGAGGAGAGTGGTAGGATGATGAGGTTCGGATAGACTAAACGTGCCGACGATGACCAAAGTAGCCAGTTGGAAGGTACTTTGGACGGCAATCGTTCTAAGTGGTCGATCGACTCGAGCTATTTGGGTTATGGGCCGGGCTTTTCGGAGCAGGGGTCGGATCAGCACAAAGAGACAGGCTTCGGTTGATCAAGTAGTATTGTGTTGGGCTTGTGCGCATATTTGAAAGATCATAATGTCGATAAAGACGAAATGTTATATCAGAGGGCTGGAACATGGATCTTTGAGTAGAGACAGTCAGCGTGCGACTTTAATACTAACAGCAGGGTTCCTTCGAAGACCAGCCGGCGCGGAGGCTGGCGATGGCAACTGGCCCTGGCAAAGACAGGCGGGTGGTGGCCGTAAGCGTAGCAATGGCTGGCGTTGGCTGGCTCTGGCGCTGGCTATGCCTACACGTCGACGCCATGAAAGTTACACGGTGAATATGATCCACGATGCCGAGCTCCACACGAATCATCCGCAAGCTTTAGGTATGATAGTGGACTGGCGCCGTCATGATCCGGTCGTCATCCACGCTTGAATTCCTGGACCGGGCCTAATTAAGACGTGCGGGACTTTGGAAGTGTTGTAGGCCATGGAAGTGTAGCCACCCCACCATCACAATCTTGTCTCTGGTGTAGCCACCCCACCACCACAATCTTGGCTCTGGTGCGTGCTTCGCGGGAGCGGCATGCAAGACTTCCTGCAGTATGAATGCGCCTTGCACGGTGGCTGCACGTTCGAAGATGCTGGTACACAGTAGAACATTACATTAGCTCTTCGTGGTAGTGGCAACGAATGAAGGATGGTACTAAGCGGTGAACAGTCTCAGGGATTCGCGGAACCTTGAATTTTGTGGAGCCCCGGCTCGGCAGCACAATGACGAAGTAGCATGTACGCTGCAAAGTGCTTTCGCGACGAAGTACAGTACAATCTACAACCAGTCAGAGTAATGGAGTATACTATGAAGGAAGAGACTGCAAGTCACTCGGCCAATGAAAGCCTGCTCGTCTTACGAAGACCGACGAGGCATACAAGATGTCACCACAGATGAATGAAGTGCTTTTGGTAGAGCGAGGTCAAATGTAACCGTCTCCGTCCTTCTCTCTAGCTCCAGAAGCAACTTCACCGGAGCCTTGCGGGCGAATGACTTTGTTGACGAGGCCTGAGGCGGTGCAGGCTGTGGTACGTTCTAGCGAGCCGGCATGCCGTCAGCACAAAAATCGACAAGCTGGCTAGGTAGCTTTCGAGCCCATTGGCTGATGTATAAGAGTCCCAAGAAATCAAATTCAGCATTTCAGTCAAAGTGAGATACTGTTCATGGCCAAATCAACGATGCAAGGTACACAAATCTGCGGCAAGGAAGCACGATGCTGCTCAAAGTGATCATTTCATCTAGGCTTTTGGACTCATATCCACAATAATTGAACTTGATGAGCCTATGCTACTTCTTGAGTCACGAAGAACATTCGTGGAAAGCTGTGGAGAAAACAGGACTGAATATCAGGATACAGACAGCTACCCCTACCTGGGTATAACAACGCAGGAAGGGCGGAGATGGCGTATGGTGCGACAAGGAGCTGATTGGTGCGTAGGCGATAGTCAGGAATATGCAGCATTGGTTTCAGCCTTGGGGACAGGACGCCAGAAAGCGAACACAGCTTGCCTTCCAACGAACATAGTCCAGATGATTAAACGTGGGTGACGAGCGTTTTGGATTGCTTGTCCGGCTGTGATTAAGCTTGGGTATGAAGGGCTAAAAGCCGGTGACACTGAATTTCGATGAAGCGAAAAAGCATTTTTTTTACTCATTTCATTCCCTACCCAGAACTATTCATTCTCGAAGAATATCATACCGATCCTACCCTCAGCGACCCGGCACTTACAGTAGTTACATATGCACCAGGCGCTCAAGGTCATGGAAAGAAGGTATATACATGAGCAATCCAGCCCATCCGAAACCCTCCCAGCGGACAGGTAATAGCAAAACTAGTAAATATCCTCAAGACATTATCGACTAAAGTATCTCGCCTCGCCTGCTCCAAGACCGACCACATAGACATGACAGGGGATGGGTTATTGCGAGGCTTCGGGGTATAAGCATCGAAAAGCAAAGAGGTCTAATAGCGACTGGACTTCCACTCCACACCTTGTCACAGAGTAAGTGCCTATGCAGAACATGCAGTGGGAGCAGCCGCTACTGAGAATCGAAGCTAAGCGAAGGGAACGCGGTAACAGATTCGCAAGGAAACCAAAACCGCAAATTGTAAGGAAACGCAAGGGAAACGATAATAATAAGAAACCGCTCAAAACGTTCCTCATAAAAGCACCAGCCTTGGATCAACCCAAGTTTACATGGCCATACCAGGGACCGGCTTCCGACTCGGCATGGGAAGAGGACCGTTAGGGGAAATGGCGTTGGGGTTCATGGGACTAGGCCCAGGAGCTGGACCTCGTCGCGGGTTACCAGCCTGGCTCGCGGAGTTGGATCGAGGACGGCCACCCATTTGTGGAGGAGCCATCTGCGGTCCGCCACCGTATGGGCCAGGAGACATGGAGCGTGGTGGACCGGCGTAAGGCGCATTGCTGTTAGAACGACCACGGGGAGCACCTTGCTGAGGAGCGTTGCTGTTGGATCGCATGCGAGGGCCTTGCATTTGCTGGGGCGACATCTGGCGAGGGGACATTTGACGAGGACCGGGGCTACCTTGAGGCATGCCAGGGGAGTTCATACCACTGGCTGGAGACTGACGACGGGGCTGAGGACCACCGGGACCCATCTGTGGGCGGACAGGAGGGCCGCGCATGTTGCCTTGTGGAGGGCCTTGACGAGGAGGGCCATTACGAGGCTTGACTGGGTGCTTGGAGAGACATGTGCGGGGAACAACACCTTGCTGCGAACGGTCCATACGAATGCAGAGAGCCTGTAAAGAATTAGTGATATTGTTTGGTCAAAAAGAAAAGCAAACTTACCCAGCCGTCATCGTACTCGTGGAGCATGCGAACGAGTTGACCAGCGTGTAGATCGAGTTCATCTTGCATGGAAGGCTTGAAGTCAAGTTGAACACGATGTACATTGTTAGGACCAGGACCAGGAGCAGGGCTTTGGGGACGAGCGCCAGCCATTGCGCCAGCGACAGGAGGGGGACCGGTAGGGGCTGGGCCAGGAGAAGCAGGAATGTCCTCGGTCCATGCTGGGCTTGCCGGAACGCTGGCATTGTTGGCGGCGACTGGTGGTGGAGGGGGAAGTTCAGACTTAGGAGGCGGGCTCGAAGTCGCGACTCCTGCCAGCGCAACCGCGTTCACATCAGCTGCAGCGATAGCCGGAGCTGGGTTGGCGAAGTCGGTACTGGGCTGAGTGGAGTGCATAGCGGAAGCCATTGGAGAAGCATTGGGAGGCGAGTCGGGAATTGAAGCTTGCTGAGTATCGACCGCGGCATTGTTTCCGAAGGGGTTCGCTGAGGGAGGGCCGGATTGAGTCTCGGGGTCTTTGAAGGGGTCGGCAGCTGGGGCATTCGCAGCACCACGTCGTTCCCAGGCGCTTGTTGGACGCTCAGCAGAGGCAGAAGGTGAGAGGTTACGGTTCTGGGATGAAGCAGCGGCACCACCGGCAGCAGCAGCAACATTGAGCAAGTTTCCTCCGCTCTTTCGCTGCTCGTTGAACGCTGGATCAAACTGGGTAACTGGTCGCAAGCTGAGACGGGGTGCGGTTGAAGCAGTGCGAGCAGAACGGATACTAGCAGCCGGAGCAGCACCAGCCATAACCTGAGGAGGTGGTGGGTGGGGTGCGTTGTACATCTCGGTCTTCTCATTCTCCTGTGCGGCTGCTGCAGCCATTTGCTTCTTCTTGCGACGGTACAGAAGCAAGATACCAGTGAGTACGGCACATGCGGCAAGGAGTAAACCCAACGCAAGACCCGCCTTCGCACCGGTAGACATGCCCTCCTCAGAGTCTGCTGCGGCGGTCGACGAAGAAGAAGCGGTAGCTGAAATGGTGGCCGCTGTGGCAGATGCGAGACCTGCGATTGACGAACCGGCGCTGGGTGTAGGAGACTTGGTTGCTACCATAAGGGTCGAGGCAACCTTGAGCGGGCTCTTGGTTGTGCCGGTCTCCTCCACGATAAGATCATCGTCAGAATCCTGGGTTGAAGACGGCTTCCTTGCGGTTGTGGTAGGCTTTGTGGGCTTGGCAGTCTCCTCCGGCTCTTCCTCTTCCTCTGTAGTGGTGGTCTCACGAGCACGCGTAGCAGGCGCTGGCAGTGCAATTCCTGGCTTCTCGGTTGGCTCTGGCGCGTCGTCTCCTTCAGTCATTACCATGACCTGCGTTACGACCACGACCGGACCGTCATCGTCGTCCCCACCACGTTGCCGGCGCATAAGATGCGCTCCGGCGTGTTGGTGCGCCATGGCGTGCATTATGGCGTATCAACAAGGTAAAGTTGATGTGATTATATCTTATGTTGTTTGTTTGTATGGCTCTCAAGTAATTCCGCCGTAAACTTTACTATGACCAGCTCTTGCGTTGGGGGCTCCGTGTAGTACGTGATTGGGTATTACGCGCAAGAATGTCTCGAGTGAAGTCGGCTTGTTGTAAGGAATGTGGTGCTCGAAGGGCGCACAGATTTTGGATGTCGTATGTTGGGTGAACTAGGCACTATACAGAAAAGAGTGTGTAAGTATGGGTATGTTTGGTAAAGAGTGAAATGCAGCAGGCCGCGCTTGATGAAAGAAGGACAAGACGACAACCTGGCCGCAGGAGTACGTGATGTCGTGAGAGGAATTAGAGAGGCGGCGTGGAGGTGAAAGAGTGTCGGCGCAGGACGCGGCAGAGAGACAGGGAAACAAACGGCAGAGCGCCAACCAAGCTCGAAACGCCCGCGTGCCTGGCAAGGCCGAACGATGAGAGCTGATCCGTGCAGCCGTACATCTTGCCGTGATGCGCATTAGCCTGAAGTTAGGGCCAGGTACGCGTCAATCGTGATTGGACCTCCCATCTAATTTCCTGGGGGCGTTTGGCGCTCGAGCTATTTTCTGCCTCAGCCTCGCGTTGGTGTGCGAATGGCGGTGCAGACCCCCTTATCGAGGGTGATTATCGGCACGTTTGAGATGGCGACATGGCTTGAGCCGTGTTGAAGAGATCCTTCATGTCATCATAGTTGATTGAGGTGGTCGATGCGCCTTGTCTATATGTGCCACAGGTGTCCTCGTGGCGTAATATTGCTTTGACTAGCATCGCCCACTGATTTGCCCATCGAGGGTGAGTAGGTCGAAAGAGCAGTCATGTGGCGGCCCAAGGTATATCCTGCGCGACCGGTAATTACCTGCAGATGACAGATGCAAGTCTGGGTGCCTCGTGCATGGAGTTGCTTTCCTCGGCCGGTTCCCGTCGAGTCGTAATTTCGCTCGCCATCAAAGCTGCATAAAGACACGGCAGAGCCCGGGCGATGGCAGCATGAACGCGGTAGGCGGTTGCATGTTTGCGATAATGGCTCCCAGCGGTCGCGTGCTTACATCGCGTCTGCGTAGTCCGCGATGTCCTGGGGCATAAGGCAGAGGAGGTGCTGAAAAGAAAAGTGATTGACAACCGGAGATTTCCAGCGGTGGTATTAGCAAGAAGCAATGACAGACCTCCGTCGCGCAAAATCGGTTCTCGAGGTCATTGGCAGCGAAGTGTGGTTCTACATCCGAATTCCGCGATCATGCGCAAGTGTGGAGAGTGCAGGTGCGGGTACAAAGCCGAAACTGGACACTCCACAACTCCTGGACAGCCCAAAGGCCCGTCGTCAATCCCAGTTGTGCTTTTTCGACGACACAGCTTCTAGAAATATAGGATGCTCAAATCGATTAGTCATCATCGAGACAACTTCAGCCTTCCTAGCTCAGTGGTAGAGCGCGTCACTAGTAATGACGAGGTCGTCAGTTCAATTCTGGCGGAAGGCATTGTTTTTGCGGAGCGCTCTCTACTGGCGCACTAAGAACAACCAACTATTGAATTCATTCATGCTATGTAGTGCTCAAAATGGCTCTTGTTTTTGCTTCACCATCAATAGTAGCGGCGCACTATTTCGTCCACATGTTGTTTTTCTTCGTGTGCTCATCTAAGCAATCTCCCGTCATCAATGCTGCGAGAAAACCTTATGCTGGTGTTCAATCATCGATCGAGGATATCACATTAGATCATTTAACAAGTCGCTCCGGTTCAATTCTATCCTTTCTCATTTACCTGTCTTGTATTTTTCTAGTACGTGTGTCCACAAGACTAAATTGTACCAAACCTCGCAAAGATGCGATTGCGCGACGGGGTACATACGCGGTACATAGAGCGTGTCGCGAGAAGAGCGACCCCATCACAGCTGCTGAAGACGCGCTCCCGAGTGCTGGGCATCCGATTCGCGAAGTTTGGGAAACGAGGTGGCACACAGAATATCCAGCGGAAGAGGTGGAAGCGGCAAAGCGCCGCTTTGCGAAGAGTTGAGAGACGCGCATAACCCTTCAAAAGATATCCTAAGTAGTGAGGGAGGAGTTCTTGCATGTGAAGCTTGCCTGCAGCTGGCCTGCAGCTGGCGGGGAAAGAGGCGCCGAAAAGCTGGAGCTTGGGTGCAGAATAAGTGGGGAGGCCTGGATAGTCGATGCGCTACCGGCGTCCAGTCACCGATTCACATAGCTTTCTTGCATCCCATCTTTTTGGACTTCCTCATGATGCATCGAAGCCAATTAGCGACACTCTGAAGCAAGTCAGGATCTTCATCGGAATTGCCGCTTCCGCATTGGATCATTGTGAATCCAAAATCAACCGCAGCGTCGCACATCCATCTCGGTCCACCATCAAACTGCCACCCAGGGTCAGAGCTCCATTTGATGGCCAGCGCTGCTCCCATTCAGAACAGGCCATACCGCTCACACAAAGTACCGGCCTGTACACGCTGTCGCTCGCGCAAAATCCGATGTCATATCGACATTCCTGGAGAACCATGTCTATCATGCCGAGAAAGACGACTCAAGTGTCAATATGTTGAAAGCTCAACAACCAGTTCGCCTACAGATGATGGCTCTGACCGGCGGCCTTCCAAACGACGGCGACATAGCGAGCCTGAAGATGGCCCTTCTCGACCTCGCTCAGCCCCCATCTTGCACAAAACCAACAACAACCCTTCTGCCTCCATTATGCTTGCGCCGCATTTTGCTGAAGACATTGACATCTTCAATCGGCATATCTCCCAGCATCGGAAAGCAGAGGGTGAAGTGGAATCTTCCAATTACCAGACGCTTCTACATGATGCGAAAGACCCAGTGGTGTACTTGACTGTCCCAAGGTTTCGCACAGGTCTACCACCCAACAGTGGTTGTGGAAGAGAGCAATTGGAGATTGTTGAACAGATCATGGGACCTTTTAAGCGCGAAGTGGTGGAGCTATATTTCAACCACATTCATTATCATTTCCCCATCCTGGATGAGGAGATGTGTGAGACGCTGCGCACGGGTCAATATGGCAAAGTACCAAACAACTTGATGTGTGTGATCTACGCACTTGCGTCACCACACTGGAGTAAATCGGACACGTTAAAGATGCACCCCAAACCGAACTCATACTACGTCTGGAATAAGGGTATCTCGGCGACACTGGAAGACTTTCTCAGTCCTGGGATGTCTACGATACAAGCCGCTGTACTCGATCAGGTTGGGCGGCCTTCTGTTTCCATCATCGGCAACATCACTCTCTGCGGTCGGACGGTTTCTTTGGCTCAGACATTCGGATTGCACAGGGATCCATCAAAGTGGAACATTACGGAGAATGAAAAGTCTGTTCGAATGCGACTCTGGTGGTGTGTCCTCATCACCGATCAGTGGTCTAGTGTCGCATATGGCGCACCGCCATATGTGTCCAAAGGCTACTACGACGTCCCGCGGCCGACTGTGACGTCGCTCATTGGAAGCAAGGCGACCTCTCAGCAAAAGCAGACTACTACCTGCTTTATATATCTATGCTCTCTGACGGAGCTGCTTGCGGAAATCTTGCCTTTCGTCTACCAGATCAACCCAGATCGAATACAGCTTGCACGGGAAACCGATCGTTTCAAGCAGGAACTGAACGAATTGGAAGGGCAGCTCCCTGAATGGCTGCCTCTTCCGAATCGCCCAGGAACGCCTATGTTATGGCTCTCGTTCCTCTCAATCAGGCTGGTACTTGCCCGTGTCATCTTCCGCGCAGCAGTCCTCGACGGAGACGGTAGCATAGGACGGAACAGGATGGATCAGTTACGCATTGCCTCATCGGAAGTTCTTGACTTCATATTGACCATGGGCGAAACGCAATTCCTGGACTTTTGGTTGCCTTATGCGACTCATCTCTTGGTACATGCCATCACCGTCTCGCTTCGTTGCACCGTCGAAACTCAAGACCCCGAAATACGGAACACGTCTGTCGCGCGCCTCCAACGTGTAATCGCGCACATTCAGCATGCGCGAGATAACTATGACTGGGATCTTGCAAATTATGTTTTGGAAAGGTGCGCTGATCCGGTGTCGAAGATTGCATCTTTGAATGCGCGAGAGGTGCCGCAGCCGTCGGAAACGGAGCCCACCAGCATTGTTACTAATGGAAATGGGAGCGAAGTACCGGTAATGCCCAACTTTGACGACGCGAGCTTCTTACTATCGGACATATTGGACCCGAACGCTTTTGATTTTTCTTGGGATGCGTTATGGGACACACCATCTGGAATGACGAATTTTTCTCTCTGAGCCGTATCAGCGGCGTGTCATCTAGTCATGTACGATTTTGAGCCGTTGGCGTCTGAGTATAAACAAGTACTTTCCATCGCACGTGTGGCCAGCACAGGCCGTTTTTCTTTGCGCATTCATCCTGCTGCCCCGGGCGGAAAAGGAGGAATGAACTTACCCCGCACTAGCGTTATACTCTGCTGCCATCCTTCAGTAAAGGATTGCACTGCCACCACATCTGCTCAGAAGCATTCCATTGTACGTATATGTTGGTCACAGACCGTGACCTCAAACTTACCTGGTAATGCTCTTAAGAGCAAACGCCCGCGCAGCTACGCACGATGGCCGTACAGAGACAACTTTGGAAGCGCCGCCACTAACTCTGGGACCATGCGACATTTGCAATCGCATCTTCGCAATTGTTAGCGCTCCTGTCCAAGAATCTACGGAAGAAATATTGGGAGACCTACAGGATCTCCTTCGAGGGGACTGTACGCATGTTGCTTTATTCGAGAGCGTTAGAAAAGCTTGGCCACAGGTGAAGCACCCTAAATATCGGGTTCAAGATCCCTTCATCTTGAATATCAAGGCAAGAAAATGGATGACAAATATCTCCTTCGAACCAATACTTCCATCCCGTAAAACGCGCCCTGACGATCAATTACGAAGCTGTTGGGAACTGGTATGTAGAGAAGATGTTTCTGGCCATCCTGGGACCTCTTTGTACGTCAACGAGCAATGGATCAATCTCGATGCTCTCCGGCGTCGCATTTCGCTTTGCGATATGAATCATGGTGAAAGATGCGGAAGAGGTCGCTTGTCCAGAAAAGAAGACATGATCAGACCACGATATCTTGTTGATACCCACCGTGCTTGCCTTGTAAATGGAGAGGCGGTCCAGCCAGAATATGTTGCGCTGAGCTACCAATGGGGTCAAATCGACAGCCTTCGAAACAACACCCAGCTCTGTAAAGATCTCTTAGTTACAGGCTCACTCGCGACGGAAGAGGTTGCCTCAAGGATCCCACAAACGATTAGAGATGCGTTCGCAATGGTGAAACTTCTAAACTACCGCTATCTATGGGTAGACTCGCTTTGTATTGTGAGTGCGCGACTCTCTCAACCTAAGCTATCCATGACACTGACCGCTTCTTGCGCGATAGGTTCAAGACGACCATCAGCAACTACGGTCTGAGCTGTCCCAAATGCATCGAATATACAACAGCGCTACTTTTAACATCGTCGCGAAAGACGGACTTGATGCAAATTATGGGCGTAAGTGCCACTATGCAACTGTATGCAAAATATACACTAACTTCATATACCGACCTTTAGTGCGTGGTCTTAAAAGCACTACTGCACCCCGGCGCCACAAGCGGACATATGCCAGGTTATCAAACTCGGAGATCCTTGTTCAGACAAACTCCATGTCGCCCCCTGACAACCGTGTTCCTAGCAAGTATCAAGAAAGAGCATGGACATTTCAAGAGCAGCTTATGTCCAGGCGTGCGATTCATTTTGCGTCAGGAGCCATTGAATGGCAGTGTAACCACGGAAGCCAAGCAGAGTACGATCTCCTGTTACCTGATCACTTGCACAAGCGAAGTGACTTTCAGTTCCAGTCGATCACAAGAAATATGCCAACACCAATGGGACTGAATACAGCAATAGGACTTTATAACCAACGTGAGTTGAGTTTTCCAGAGGACGCATTTGCTGCGTTCGCTGGAGTGCAATCTATGCTGGAACGCAATCATGCGGACAGGTTCCTCTACGGACTGCCAGAATTCTGGTTTGACATAGCCTTAAACTGGACGCCATCATCGCATGAAGGAATCGTAAGACGTGTGCCTTCAGAGCAGCATCGATCGTTCCGGCAGCCCTATCAGCTACCTAGTTGGTCATGGCTTGGTTGGGCAGGACAGGTTGCATTTCCAGCGGACGCAGGACTTAGGATGAACGATCGCTATCCCAACCCTTGCTTCACAGTACCTGTTGCGACGTGGTATACGACGCCTATCCCATCATCCACTGACCGAAGAACAATCGGCTCGGGATGGTACAAGCACAGACTATTAGTGCGTGATACTTCAGCCATACTTCCAAACGGGTGGAAGCGCATTTGGATGGACGATGAAGATCTGAAAAAGCTTGCATTAGGGAAAGGCATTGTACCGGACTGTTTATTGGAGCAGCAATACTACTTCAAACACGATAAGGCGAAACTCAAGTACCGGTATCCATTTCCCACCTCCTTGCCTTATCGAGGCGAACAAGAAGCACCGTCGTTACGAACAGCGTATCTCTTTGCCAGAACCGAGCGTGCTTACATGTGCGGCCAGACTATATCGCCTACGCGCGTACGGTACAAACGTGATGGGTACAGTTTTTCCATGTGGCTCATACGATCAAATGGTCAACATGTTGGCTACATACAGCTCCACAACAGCAAGGACATGGATGCATTTGGACCATCTGAAAGCCCGCGCTCAATGGAGCTTGTGGCAACTTGCAAAGGATACACCGCAAATGTATCAGTAGTCGGAGAAGACTGGAACGTGTTTCCAAACGAAGAAGGGGCTAATGAACAACGTCGTATAGGAAGGCATCTTTTCAGAACGCCCAAGGCATGCTACTTCGTACTGTGGATCGAATGGATCGATGGTGTTGCCTACCGAAAGGCAAGCGGCGCGGTTGCTGCAGAAGCCTGGGAGCAGGATAAAGAGGAGGATCTTGTAGATCTTATCTTGGGGTGATAAACACATCGCGCCGCATACCCACCCTATACAAGAGAAAAGCCGAACAGGTAGAGATAGTAAACTCTACTTTGCAGCTTACATTAGCTCCTAACAAGAGAGATTATAGAGATTAATAGTATTGTAGGCTTATAGGTTCTCTATGTATGCCTATATAGCTCTAATACGCTTTGTTGTAGTAGGAAGAAGTACCCTGCTTAAATAAGATATTTAGTTTCTCTCTTTGGCGTAGTGTACTGTCGAATTGGGCACCTTGCATTATTGATGGCGTCTCGTTGGAAAATGTCGCAACTGGCACAATTGTGTGGTAAGACAAATGGATGCATAACCAATCATAGCTGATGTATGTCTTCATATCCAAGACCCCCATCTCACACACTATGCCTCCTCCTCCCCTTTCCACCCATTCCAGTCGCGAAAACAGGTGCATACCCTGGCCTCGCCATCTCCAAACCCCCAGCATCAAGCCAAGCTACGATAGCAACATGAACGTCATCCAAGAAACTCCAGTCATCGCTACCCTGAATCTCGCTGTTGGTGTTGTCGTTCTCAAGAGGATTGTCGTTGCTGTAAACTGAGCTAGGACTGGGTGGATGGATGCTCGTATGTGGATCTTCCTTCTCCTCATCGTCGCCCTTCGACGACATGTCGGGAGCAATATCCATCCTATTGGACGCGTCGTCTATTTCTGTATACGTTGGGATTGTCTCAGCAAAAATAGTTTCCAGTATGGAGGATGTACTGTCACTATCCCCCGGCAACGACGAAGATGAAGACGATAGCATTACATCCCCTTCCCCAGTAGGCGCATTATCTTCCTTTTGAGATGGCGATGCGGCATCATCGTGGACTCTCTCAAACTCACAGAACCTACAGTTTGCTGCACAGCTTAGTGGCATGTTTCGTGGAGGGAATAACAAAGGTCGTTGTGGATTGACTGTTCAATGTGCGTCAAGGTGTAATAGGATTGACTTATGTAGATGTGAATATGAACAGTGCTGTTCATGTGGGGGAACAGTCAATACATTGTAGTTCTTATGTGTTGAGCATAGCTTGAGAGAGGTCATGTCTCTGACAAGGTCAGCCGGATGATTCAAGGGCAGTTGTCTTGCGTATGGTCTCGCACTTTGCATTCAACGGGTGAGACACGTGAACAAGACTGTCACTGCAGCAAAAGCTTGGTTTACTATGGTATCAATTCTATCTCTCGTTTAGTTACTATCTAACGCACTCGCTCGAACATAGAACCAGTCTGCTCAACCGTCCATCCTCCACCCTCCAATTCCGCAGTCCACCTATACACACCAATCTAGTCCATATCAACCAAAAATCACGCCTCGATGCATGCTCGCGAGATGTCCCTCATGCTGCAAGCGCTTAGCACACACGCCCAACGCTTACTCGCACTCCATTCGCCGTACGCTCGCTCGGGTATGTGGAACAGGATATATCTCAATAAAACTCCGGGGTATAGGATACTTTCTCCCAACCGCTAAAACGCCAGATAAAAAGCACAAAAAGTGATGAAGGATCCAGAGGTGAGATCAACATTCGATGATACATCGGGGAAAGAAGGGTTTCCTCGAAAACAACAAGGGTTTGGAGTTTGGAGTCTTGGTACTAAAAATCGATATTAAAGAACGGGGTTAGGACCAAGCCAGGATCCAGGAGTGAATTGAAGGTGATTGGGGAAAAGCAGGCACAAGTTTCGCTGACGTTGATGGCGTGAGGTTGCTGTTGTTCGCTGGAAGAGACAAGGTCGTTGTTCAGGCGTGTTCAGGTGTATCGAGAAGAGATGTCCGCTTTGCGAAAGCCTATCTCCACACGGGTCTATCTCCCTGGCTCGATTGACGACCGCTAACACGACTGGAAGTACGGCTTTCAGCCAAGCTATCAAGCCTGCTGCTGGTGCGCTTAGGAGGGGTTGTCTCTATGGCCTTGGAAGCAGATGTAGTACGCGACTTAGGTGTAGGAAGTAGGCTGCTGCGACGGCTCGCTGTGACACTCGGAGGTCGTGATGCGCGACGGGCTGCGGGGCTTTCTTCCTTGGCAGGGCTCCTGCTATCCTCCGCTACTGTTGAGACGCGACGGCTGGATGCTGGCGTGCTTGATTTCACCTGAGGTGAAGAAAGGGGTGTAGAACGTATCGGCAACTTGCCCTTTGCAGGAGTAACAGGGGAGCTAGTTGAGCTCGCTAATGACCGAGTGAGGCGCTGCTGTCCTGGAGTAGTAGATGCAGAGCGACTAGATGTGGGCGGCGCTGTCGTCGACGAGCGGCTCAACGGGCTTCTCAGGGGTATGGATGAACGGCTCGCTGAGCCTTTTCGGGATCCATCCGGCGAGTCTGTGTCTTTCCGGAAAGGTGAGGGTGTAGTCAGAGACGATGGCTTGAAGTTGTGCCCAACGACAGTGTCCCGCATGTGGTAAAAGTCAGAGGTCCAGCGAGGTTTGGCAACAGGTCTTTCAGTCGGGGTCTTTGCACGTGCCTGGCTAGCTGCAGTACCGGACATGGCGCGAGAGGGTGTAAAGTCCAAGCGTGCCGAGGATGTAGATTTGCGGGAAGCGACACTTTCGCCGCCTAGGGGTATGCTCGAGTATCGCCGGTTAGAAGGTGCTGACAATTTCGAGCTCGCGACACTTGACTGACGAGGTTTCTTGTTGGCGGGAGTAACAGCAGGCCCATGCCCACTACTCTTACGGCTCATGACGACACTCGAAGCGGGAGAAGTACCTGGAGTGTCGAGATTTGAGTGTGGAAGTGAGGCTTCTGTCAGTACTGTGGACACTGAGTCACGGAGTTTGCGTGATCTGGTAAAGTCGTCCAAGATGGCGTCCATGTTTCCAGTCACTTCCTCCAAGTCCTCCACCTTTGCGCGGACATCCTGTTGTATACGCAGGATCTCACCGTTGACAGTGGACCTATGCTTCATCTCAATGTCAATCAGCTCAAGTACACGCCTCATTGACGGAGGATAGTGGTCCCTCTTGTCTTTGTAGGTGGCAATACGCGTAGGCAGTTTCTCCTCGTCGCTGTCGTCGATGGCTTGCTGCAGTCTCTGGATGCTCTTCATGCACGACTCGTACATGGCGACAGCTTTGCTACCCGCTTGACGGAAGCTGTGCACCCATTTGTCCTCACCCAGCTCCTCTCGCAGCGCGTTTGCTTCGGCTTCGAGCTTCTCCTCTGATGCCTCCAGCTGTTCCTTTCTTCGTACGAGTTCGTCACACGCAGACGGGAAGATTGTGCTCGCGCGCATCTGGAAGGCGTTCAGTCGCATAGGAAGGAAATCAAGCGAAGCACGGAGCGGCTGCAGCTTTGCGAAAAGGGCTAGTAGGCGTGAATTCTCCTGTTCGATTTGCGGAATGGGTGAAGTGGGCGAGACGATGGAGAGGGCAGGCGGCATACTAAGCCGCTTGCTGTTCAGTATAGCCTGCTTCCGGGGGATCTCTTTAACAACGGTCTCGAGCTCGGAAATGTCGAACTTCTCTGGGGCTTCAGCGACCGAGTCGGAGATGACGCGATGTCTGCGCTCCTCCATCTCAAACACTAGACGACTGAGGTTCTCGACCTCAACGCCAATTTCGCCCAGTACGTTGTTCCACAGCTCTTCCCACTCCATGGCCACTTCGACCTGGTTCTTGATGCCCTTGAGCGTCTGCTTGATCTCACCCCAGTTCATCACGATGTCTTCCATTTGGCTCACAAGCGTGGTCTGGTCTTTGGTGGGTAGGAGCGCAATGTCGGGACGCGACTGCAGATCTTCGATGGCGCTGATGTAGACGTTGACGAGCCCCTCGAACTTGCCAATCGCGGCATCCACCTCCTCCAGTCCTTCCCTTCCCGCAGCTGCGGCCCATTCTACGTCGTCCTCTGCGTCAAGGCCGCTAAGGACATCTTTCGTCTTGGAGACCCACAGTCGGATGTCGTTGGCCGCCTTGTGCAGTGCGCGTCCGGCCTGGACGGACGTGGGCAGGGCGGTGATTTCGGACGCGATGGTCGTGGGCGGAAGCTTCATGGAGGTCAACTGCTGGATCTGATTGGTGAAGCTGACTTTGGAGAGGGTGTAGATGGAGCCAGCGCGCGGGTAGTGGCGCTTCTGGAAGTAGGACTCGATGTCGATGCCATTGTTGTCGTCTAGGACGGAGGGCTCCTCTTCGGCGACTGGGGCGGGTGGTGAGGGAAGGGGTGGCGTGTCTTTGGGTGGGGGCGCGGGTGCGGCGGGCTCTGTTTCGACAGGCGCGATGGGCTCTGGTTCTATCTGGGGAGGTGCGGCTGGTGGTGTGGGCTCGGGCTCAGCAGCGGTGATGGTACCGCTGAGGGCCTTTTCTGGCTTGGTGACATCGGGCAGGCGGTACTTCTGCATGTCAAGCTCGATCTCGGCCTCGGACTCGGACGGGAGGACTTTGTCGCTGGTGGAGACGACGCTGCTGTGGTCGCTGTCGAAGTCGGGCTCCATGACCAGCGTCGGGACGCTCTCGCCCGTTGACTGGGGCACGAGCGGCGTTTGTGCTGCAGCACCCACCAGTGGTGGACCCTGACCAGCTTGCTTTCCACTCCAGGCGGTGCCGCGGCGCTCAATCTCGAGGCTGCGGGCTTTGCGGAACTCGTCCAGGCGGCGCAGGCGGTCTTCTTCGATGCGGCCGACGTCAACAGCACTCTTGTTGTTGTTGTCGTTGATCTGGTTGAGAAATTTCATGCGTGCCAGGAGGCCTGGAGATACATTTCTCGCGAGCTTGGTGGTACTTTCAATGTGGGCAGGAATGTGCCGAAGCGGTTTGGGCGAGGAGGGTGATGACGAGGTGGTCGTCGGTGGTGGGTTCGGCGGTGTCTTCGCTGGCAAGTCAACGGCAGTCGCGGCGGGGCTGCTGTCGAGAACTGAAGGCGGCGTGGCCGTGTCGCTCATTGAGCATGTCTGTGTGGACCTCGAGGAAACCTCCAGGTCGCGTAGAGACAAAAGAGGAGGCTGCGCAAGACTGGATACGCTGCATGCACGGATACCAGATCAATCGGGAGATGAATCGACGTTCTTTGGGATGGCGCCGAAATCGCGTTAGCCTAGTTCGTTCACGCGTTGCTTCTGTTTACCACAATAACGGTGTGGCGCAACAACAAAGAGTCGGTCTCTAGAGCATGTGCAGTGGGATGTGTCCTGTAGATGGTCTTGGAGGAGACGTTCCCACACCTCTCAAGACACCCGTTCACAAAACGTCCCGCTTGTGTCTCACCGGGTACCGCTGTACCCAATTTCCGCCAGCTCCCCCCTGCTATCAGTGCTTCCATTCCCACTCTCATCTCCATTCATTGGCACTCAAGCTGCGACGCCACCGTCTGTGCCATCCTTTCTAGAAGCGCTCGGTCGATCTTATCATTTGTGTTATACATGTTCACTATCAATGCTATGCACGACATGCGGGACCTGCCCTTCTGGTCGCTCTCGTCTCCTCATGTTCCAAGGGCAGGGACATTGACGGGGCCATGGGTGTCTGGTGACTCTTGTTATAATATATATGTAGACATTATTTACATTCGACTTGTCTGTATCTAACACTATAGGACTGCAAGTCGTTCATGCAAAAGGGGTATCTATCTCAAGTCGCCACCTGTCGGCGCACTCTGAGCGGAATGGTAAAAGAGCCCTGTTTCCAACCAGGGAATACTCTTCAAGAAATTCTGTGGTGTGGAGTTGAGATTCGGGGGGCATAAGCTTCGTGCAAATTAGATAAAGGTGATGTGTCAAAACATGGACATGAAATGAAATAGATCGAGATCCATAGTTGTTTGCCGCAATGGCCACTTCACAGCGCCTCGTAGTTCGGGTCGATCTGTAGTGTAGGGGTTCTCGTTTGGTTCTTCTGCTTTTGCCATTCGGACGTGATTTCCTCACGAACGCCCTGGCTCCATTGCAGAATGGCAGCGTCGAACTTCTTCCACGCTTCTGCGTCTTCGCCGTGGACCACGCCCATGACATCAACGTCGAGCTTGATGTCCCAGCGCAGTTCCGCGGCTTTGACCCAGTAGCGCAGGTTGTCGGCGCAGCGGTATGGCTTGGCCGTATCGGTGTGGTACGTCTTGATCTCTTCAAAGTGTCGTTTTGACCTTCGGACGAGAGTGTTGTGGAGATGGACTAGTCGCAGGCCGTTTTGTAGTTCAGCAAGGAAGGGCGTTGGGAGCTTAGCGTCGGCAGCGCTGGTCCACTCGGGAAGCGCGTCGAGACTGGTGTCGAACGACTTGAGGAAGAGGAGTTCCCTCTCGCGTTCTTTGCCCGTCCAGTCACCCTCGCGCCACGACCAGTTCTCTCTCTCTTCTTGTTCCACGCGCTCCTTCTCCTCTTCGGTATCAAGCAGTGTGCTAATGTCGACCACCCATTGCCTTAGTTGGGTGACTTCGTAGGGCTGCACACCGTTTCCAAAGTTGCGAATAGCGAGGCGCTTCAGAACCTCGAGAGTATCGTATAGTTCCTTTCGAATTGTCCGTTCTGGTTTGATGGCATACAGTCGTTGTGGTTCTTCGTGTGCGGTGTAGTAGTTCTTCGCGGCGCGGATCGCTAGGGTGGTGACATCCAACAGATTGATGCCTTGAACCTCGTGCCAGCCCGAAGCTTCTTCCCCGCCATTTTTCGCCGTCTTTCCGTCTGGCTGGACATCAGAAAAGCCCTTCTCCAGCTCGTCGAGATGCTTCGTAGACTCAGCAAGCGACTCGCGAAGTTCGCGGCGAAGGACGGTCATGTCAGGTGGCGGTGGGACGTAGACGGGGTTGTTCTTGTAGGTGCTGACGGTGGGTGGGAGCATCATGGGCTCGGGGTCTTCCCATGCCATCGAGGCCGTCTCGTCGAGCGGCGACTCAACAAAGCCCTCTCCAAAATTATGTTCAGACATGCCGTCCGGGGATGCAAGGGACAGCGACGAGAAGTCGGCATCGAGGCCAGGCGAGAGTGGTTCGTTGCCGCTCGCTGTCCGCGAGCCAGGCTTGCGGCCTTTGGCGACGCGTCCAGTGGCCGTGTCGAGCAGGCCGGTCCTCGCAAAGTAGTACTGCAGATGTGCGATGGTGCCCAGGTTCATGACGCTCTCTCTGTTCTTGGCCGACGTGGAGAACTCTGTGCCCTCCGGCCGCATGTATCCACGTCGAGTGCCGCCAGCGGACAGACGCGAGCTCACTGAGCGCGCCGACGAGACGGACGAGGCTGTTGAGACGGAACGGTCCAGGGGCGGAATTGCGCCGATGGCCAGAGATGGGGTCGCCCATGGGTCGGGCGAGGTTGAGCGTGCGGGTGGGGAGTTGGGCGTGTCCATGGTGGTTGACAGGGGTGGTAGGTGCAAAGCCGTCGCAGTCGTTAGACTCCTTATCAGCAGTGAGATTCGGTGTTTTCGAATCCTAGGCATTTACGGAGCGGTGGTGGGTTATCAAGCACTTGTCTTGTTTGTGGAGCCACCTGGGCAATGTGCGGTTGTTGCTATGTGAGTCGGAGTTTCGAAAGGGGCGTTTGATTACAGACGCGAGATTGTATCCGAAACGCGTGACTAGCGCCCTGAGCTCCCTCACCGACGCAATTTCCGTATAGCCGTGAACGCATAGTCGTTGCGACCATCGTCCAAAGTGCTTATGTGTCCAAAAGGAAATTCTCCTTTGCGGCTCTCGATGCCTCCCGGCCAACTAAGCGCTTGCTTCTGGCCCCGCACCCCAGGTGAAAGCCTCGCCAGGGTGCCTTCCCGACGTAGCGTGTACTTTTCGCAACTGCGATGACGTCGCACGCCTGCAGGAGCATGAACTCATTATATGACGCCCAGGCATCTGCATGAACTTGGTCTAACCAGACACAACCTCACGTAACACTCTCATCTGTATGAGGCGCTTCTTTACAACCACTGCCAGAATGTCCACCAAGCGAGTGCGTTGTCCGCCCAACCTGCTAGTGGCAAAACTGATCTAGGCACAGATTCAGTACAAGGTCGAAGGCCAGGTGCAGGGCGTCAACTTCCGCTCCTTCACGCAAAAGCAAGCCAAGAGCATCGGTGTCACTGGCTTCGTCACCAATGCATCGGATGGAAGTGTGCGTACTCGCATCGTACTTGACCCGATGGCTGCTCACACAGAACAGGTCCAGGGCGAGGCTCAGGGCAGTGACGACAAAATCAACGAGTTCATCCAGCATCTGAACAAAGGACCATCGGCAGCATCAGTCTCAAAAGTTGACCATTCGGAGATCTCCAGTAGGGATGGCGAGAGCAGCTTCAACGTTCAATAGTCTGTACACCTCCCCCCAAAAGGGTTGGAGTGGGCGTAAGCGTGGCGACATCCATATGAGCGTAAATATTGTCGCTTCATCTCTCTACACGTAACCGTAGCCCAGAAAGACACTATGATGAGGCACGACATGTAATGGGATACATGATACACACGCACTAGGCAGTATTAAATACAAACTTGGTCTTGAACTCCCAGGCTATTCAAACATCGAGCCCAAGCTCTAGCAAAGCAACACACGCCGTACACTGACGAAGGTACTTGCTCAAAACGCCTCCTGACGACTTGTCGTGAAGACCCTTGGACGTCCCTTGCCGATGGAACGGCAGACCGTGCGGGCTCTCTTGATCTGTCATTGGTGTGATGCTAGCAATTTTTCATCCTAGGTGAAGCAAGAACCCGTCACTAGTCTGACGATGAAGCCTAGACGCCTTCGGGGTTTGGTGAAAGTCGTGATCGAAGACTGGAAACACAATGTCTCTTCTTGCATGGTACTATTCCACTCTCATTGGAAGCGCAGCCACAAAGCAGTGCCTTCTCCTGGGCTGACCGTGGATCCGAATACGAAAATCAGCCTGAAGGTACATACGAAAGAATTCCATCATGTTGCAGGCTTTCCGATGTTGCGCTATCAGCCCTACAGTATCAGAGTGGGTCTGACGGCGAACAACGAAACGACGAGACCCCGAGTTCTGTAAGACTCCGACGAGCATCTCCCGGAACCAGCGGCCACATGTCCCAACCACATAACATTGCCTTTTCATACCACTACCAACAAAACATACAGAGTCTCCGCATGATGTGTCTAATGAATGCGCACTTCTTTTTTCTGTGTCGCGAAAGCCTTCTTTGAGCTTCTGACAGGGGTAGGTTGAATGTCTTGGCAGAGCTATTCCGATTCCTCCCGTCAGCTGAATCACCACCTCGCTCAGCCGTCGCAAACTCGTCTTCGCACGCGACCGTAGACGCCCGCTCTCGACAACTTGCTGACACGCTCGGCCTCTCATAGGAAGCCTAATTGCTCGCCGAGCCTGCCGGACGACGGGTATGGCGCCGTGTAGCGGCGGCATCTCTGTACATTCCTATTCTACCCTGTGATGACTGAGCGCGCCGGACAGGCACGAGTACCGCGTGGATGTCTTTTTTTAGTTGTCAGCGTCATGTCTTGTTTGATATAAAGGACGAAGTGTGCCTCAGTCTTGCCTCATGCTAACCATCAGCACTTACCATTATAGTTGACAACACCCTTTACACCAAACACCACTCTAAGATAAACACGCGCCTTTATAATCGCAGATGATCTCCACCAGAGCAGCAACACGGGGATCAACAACCTCAAAGCGGGCTACAGCTCAGCTCATCAAATCCTTCAAGAGCTACAATGCCGGCTATCGACCCACCTTCGTTGCGGTACAGCACTTCCAATCGCAAGTTGGCCAGAGGCACTTTACTTCATCACCCAACGGTGGAGCAAAGATCAAAGAATTCTTCGAGAAGCACCCGACAGAGAAGGTTCGCAAGACGCATGCAGCATGGCCTCACCCAGGTACGTACCCGCCGAAAATGTAGTACCTATATGTCTAGCTAACACCAGTCAGTATACACCGAAGAGCAGATGAATCAAGTCACAATTGCCCACCGCGAAGCAAAGACCATGTCTGACAAGGTCGCCCTCATCGCCGTCAAGATCCTACGTTGGGGTCTCGATAAAGCAACTGGATACAAGCATCAGAAGGCTGTGGACGTGGATGCTAAAGATCCACTGGCCAAGCGAAAGGCTTTTGCCATGAACGAAGAGAAATATCTGATCCGGAACGTCTTTTTGGAGAGTGTTGCTGGCGTGCCCGGCATGGTAGCTGGCATGCTTCGACATTTGCACTCAATGAGACGAATGAAGCGCGACAATGGATGGTATGTATTCTCGCTTATTAGTACAATAATATGCCACTGACACACTGTTTGCCAGGATCGAGTCCCTACTCGAAGAGAGCTACAATGAACGAATGCATCTTCTCGTCTTCCTGAAGATGCAACGGCCAGGACGCTTCATGCGCCTGATGGTATTGGGTGCCCAGGGAGTTTGGTGCAATGCCTTATTCTTCGCCTACCTCTTGAGCCCTCGTACCGTCCACCGATTTGTAGGATATCTCGAAGAGGAAGCCGTCATTACATACACCCGCCAGATCGAGGATCTTGACGCAGGCCGCCTGCCAAAGTGGGAGAAGATGGAGGCACCCGAGATCGCGGTAGACTACTGGCAGATGCCTGAAGGCCACCGCACAATGCGAGATCTGCTCCTCTATAGTGCGTATATCCCTGATCCCTTCATGCAGCACCTCCCACTAACACAATCCTAGTTCGCGCAGACGAGTCCAAGCATCGAGAAGTTAATCACACATTCGGTAACCTCGATCAAAAGGAAGACCCTAACCCATATGTGAGCGAGTACCGAAACCCAGAGGAGCCTCATCCGACAAAGGACCTTGCGCATATGAAGCCTACTGGCTGGGAGAGACACGAGATCATCTGAGTGTTTCCGCTTTGATCCGCTTGTCAGCGACATGTTCGGCATGCACGGCGTCTTCGGTCTCCATTCTCCCCTCTTCTAAAATTGTATCTTCGGCGTTACGGGGCATATTGGACTTTGGAAAAGCGATACCCAGACCACGATGGGTATCATGAGTAGACGCATCATGTATCCCTAGACTTTCGGACCTTCTACAGATCAGTTTCAATTTCAGCTTCAAGCGGTGTAGAGTTCATCGGATCCGCATTTCGATATACAATAGTCCAGGACAATAACCGGTGGTGTTGCCAGGTACAGCAGTAACTTGATATTTCTGAGAACCCCAGTCGACGATATCCGATGCAAAGTCAACTGACGGATCGAGAGAGGGCCGGAGATTGGGTAACTTCGAAGAAGGACCGCGCGGATCCGCCAGGGCGAAGCTGACGCTGACTGGCGGGCTTTTCCCCCGAAGCCAAGCACGACAAGAGTGCAACGTGGGCATGAGCCTCTCCTTTGGCATGCAAAACGTCGCTTTAGGAAAGCGGAAACTACCCGGTCAATGTCTTCCATGGGAACCTCCACACAAGCTCCAGCTCATGCATTCATGACGAGTCAGTCACACGGTGGCGCGTCGCGCGCAGCCTCGTACAGCCTCAAAAGGAACCTGCGCAGTAGTCTGCTGATCTGGACGAGTCCTAAGACCGCCAAATGTCTGAGCTTTCCTAATGAAGCTACTGCTGAGTATGATTCAGTAGTACACGTTCATCTCGCTGTTCATTTTCCGATCTGGAGTGCGATCGCTGAGCTTTACAGTTTACTGAATTTAGTGATCCTCGGGAATAAGGTAACATCGTGGTGGTATTGAGGGTCCCTTTTAGTTTGCGGCTCGCAGCCACCTCACTGTCGATATAGTCTATTTCAACTAACAGGAAGTGTTTAGCAGGGAGCCATTCCAATCCCGCGCTTGACCGTTGTAACGACTGGTCTACCGTTCTTCCGTGGTTCGAGGCGGAGCTAACCCCGCACTTGCTGCCACTAGCCTCAATGCCAAGTTCTGACCTCCTCTCAATGTGAGGCACAGCGACTACTGCACCCCACATCCGCATTCTTCCACGAGAGACGTGCTATAGGCAGGACGTCAGCGCCGCACAACCCCCGCAGAGAAACGCAACTAGTACAGCTTGCCGCAGCTACATGGGCTGCCACAGCTATCATCCTTGAAGGTACTTTGAGCTCTGGCAAGCACGGCATAGAGTGCTTGGATCTGTCTCGCAACTGAGCAGTATGCGTCAAGGCATAGCGTTCAATGATTTCTCTATACATCTCTTCGACACTGGCTTCCATTCCGATTGCTTCTCATTCGCTGACAACTCACGTCAAACGCCTCGTTCTTTTCTGTCAATGCGTGATACGCTGGAGCTCAACGCCTGAGGACGCTATACCGGTCTCTGAGCTTCGGGTCCGCAATGCTCACCCCCGTGAGTGGGCCTGCATACGCAACCGAGCATGTTTCCTTACTGGACGTGAGGTTTCTCCGCACCCAACTAGCAAACATGCGACAACCGCAGCGTCTACCCCAGTCCGGCCTTTATCCAGTCCCGTCGGGACGGTAGGTACCCTTGCGCGAGTACGTAGACCAATCACCACGTGCGAACCTACCCTGTGGAAGTCCGGCAGAGACGCAACCTACCTTGCGGATCCGCAAGTCTAACATGATGCTCTGCGTCGAATGGCTCTGACGGCGACCCTTGCGGTCTTATGATGTAGGGTCTTAGCCAGCACCTAAGCCTTTTTAGCTCGAAAGGCTGGCCAAATGGTACATGTCCCCTCCTCTATGCATGCATTGTGCTGCTACCGGAATTGACGGCTGATGGAAAGCGCATAGTGCCACAGCCTGGATGGCGGTCCCCTCCTTGAAGCCGAAGATCCTGGAGATGCGGGGTCTGAACAGTTTAAATAGATGTCGTGTCTCCAACTGAGAAGAGCATCATGCCCAGTTGACTTGCTCTCCTGCGGTCAACGAATCAACAACAACACAGCACCGTTCCAATCATATCTTTATCTCACAACAACAATTCAAGATGACGATCCCAGATGAGGTCGACATCATCGTGTGTGGAGGTGGTTCGTGTGGTTGTGTTGTGGCTGGACGTCTCGCCAATCTCGACCACAACCTCCAGGTCCTCTTGATTGAGGCCGGAGAGAACAACCTCAACAACCCATGGGTTTTCCGTCCCGGTATCTACCCGAGGAACATGAAGTTGGACAGCAAGACTGCCACCTTCTACTACTCTCGTCCCTCGGAGTGGCTCGATGGTCGCCGAGCTGTTGTGCCTGTTGCGCACATCCTCGGAGGTGGATCTTCCATCAACTTCATGGTAATTTGCTCTAGCTAGAGTTACAGATGAATAATACTGACTGTGCTTTAGATGTACACCCGTGCGTCAGCTTCCGACTACGACGACTTCCAAGCCAAGGGATGGACCACTAAGGAGCTCATTCCCTTGATGAAGAAGCACGAGACCTACCAGCGCGCCTGCAACAACCGCGACATTCACGGATTCGAGGGACCCATCAAGGTTTCCTTCGGTAACTACACCTACCCGATCAAGGAGGACTTCCTCCGTGCCACCGAATCTCAGGGCATCCCGACCACCGACGATCTCCAGGACTTGACCACTGGTCACGGTGCCGAGCACTGGCTCAAGTGGATCAACCGCGATACTGGACGTCGATCTGACTCGGCTCACGGCTACATTCACAGCACCCGCGCCGTTCACCAGAACTTGCACCTACTCACCAGCAACAAAGTTGAGAAGGTCATTCTGGAGGGTGACCGCGCTGTTGGCGTCAAGGTTGTCCCAACTAAGCCTCTCCACCCTGAGCAACAAATGTCCAGGACTATCAAGGCCCGCAAGCAGATCATCGTTTCTGGTGGTACTCTCAGCTCTCCTCTCATCCTTCAGCGCTCTGGTATCGGTGACCCAGAGAAGCTCCGCAAGGCCGGCGTCAAGCCTCTTGTCGATCTTCCTGGTGTTGGTCTCAATTTCCAGGATCATTACTTGACGTTTGCCACCTACCGCGCGAAGCCTCACGTTGAGTCGTTCGACGACTTCGTTCGTGGTGACCCCAAGGTTCAGGAGCAGGTCTTCAACCAATGGAACATCAACGGCACTGGTCCACTCGCCACCAACGGTATCGAGGCTGGTGTCAAGATCCGACCCACTGAGGAAGAACTCAACATGATGGACAGCTGGCCTTGCAAGGAGTTCCGCTCCGGCTGGGACTCCTACTTCAAGAACAAGCCCGACAAGCCAGTTATGCACTACTCAGTCATTGCTGGTTGGTTTGGTGACCACATGGTTATGCCACCAGGCAAGTTCTTTACCATGTTCCACTTCCTCGAGTACCCATTCTCGCGTGGTTCCACGCACATTGTCTCGCCCAACCCATACGAGGCGCCCGACTTTGACGCCGGTTTCATGAACGACAAGCGCGACATGGCTCCTATGGTCTGGGGTTACATCAAGTCTCGTGAGACTGCCCGCCGCATGGACGCTTACGCCGGTGAAGTGCAGGCTATGCACCCCTTCTACGCCTACGACAGTCCCGCACGTGCCAACGACCTCGATCTTACCACCACTAACCAGTACGCCCTTCCCGGTAACATCACAGCTGGCATTCAGCACGGATCCTGGACTTCTCCTGTCAAGAAGGGCCGCGCTCCCGAGCCCAACTTCTTGAGCTCGAACTGCCAGGAGGTTATGGATGATCTCCCTTACTCGAACGAGGATATCAAGCACATCGAGGACTGGACCAAGCGTATGTTTTACCTTTCGATGATTTTTCATTCACTTACTAACGTACCATAGGCCACGTTGAAACTACCTGGCACTCTCTCGGTACTTGTTCCATGGCTCCCAAGAACGGCAACTCCATCGTCAAGCATGGTGTCCTCGACGAGCGCCTTAACGTCCACGGCGTCAAGGGTCTCAAGGTTGCCGATCTGTCCATCTGCCCCGACAACGTCGGTTGCAACACATACTCGACTGCACTTCTCATTGGAGAGAAGTGTGCAGTGCTTACGGGTGAGGACTTGGGCTACAGCGGCAGCGCGTTGGACATGAAGGTCCCCAACTACCACGCTCCAAGGGAGATTGCTGGTTTGTCGCGCTTGTAAAATTCTGATGGGCTAGGATGTCTGTTATATAGTTTCATGATTCAAATGATTTAATGCAAAGCTGTGTACATAAGATGTTGCTGCCCGTTCCATCCGAGATGTTGTGCTGTGGCTGCTGACTTACTCTTTGGACGATGTCGTGATCGCGCTAGTAACATCTTCACCTCGCTCATTGGCCGTTCATCAGTCACTAGTCTGCGACCCACATGGCATAAAATGTTTAGTCGGGGGTATCGGAGACACCACACGCTTCACTGTGTCGGCCCTCTGTCTGTCTCTACATCCACTTTTCCTTTACTTTCTTAGCCATCGCGGACTGTCGCCGAAAGTTGATACCATGTCCGCACTAGCTCGAAACCGCGGACCACAGATGGCGGCCACATATTCCAAGATCACGCGACCAGCATTCCAACATTCTGTTCGCAGTCTTGCTACAGTATCACCAGTGCAAACTGCAACACGCAACCACAAAATCGTCGTTATTGGTGGCGGCTCGGCAGGCATATCTCTCTCACATCAACTGCTCCGAAAAGGAAACTTCTCACAAGACGACATTGCTATTGTCGATCCTGCGCAATGGCACCATTACCAGCCTGGATGGACGCTCGTCGGAGGTGGTTTGAAGAAGAAGGAAGACCTACGCCGTCCGTTGAAGGATCTCATAGACCCTAAATTCAAGTTTTACAATACCTCTGTGGGAAGCTTCGCACCCGAGGAAAACTACATTACCACCGGTACCGGAGAGAAGATTGCATACGAACAGTTGGTCGTTGTGCCTGGTATTACGCTCGACTATGGTAGTGTGAAGGGCTTGAAAGAGGCGTTGAACGAGAAGGATGCCATGGTGAGCACTATCTACGACTACGAGTATTGCGACAAGGCGTATGAGAATGTAAAGAAATTCAAGAAGGGTGATGCAGTCTTTACTCAACCAGCTGGTGTGGTAAAGTGTGCTGGAGCGCCGCAGAAGATCATGTGGCTTGCGTTGGACTACTGGAAGAATGCTGGACTCTACCCGTCGGATATCAACATTAGCTTTGCTACCGGTCTACCTTCCATGTTCGGTGTGCCAAAATAGTAGGTTTCCTACCCACATGTAATGTGGAAGATACATACTAATCCCCTCCAGCGCAGCAGCTTTGGAAAAACTCCGCGTAGAGCGCGGCGTGGACGGCCTCTTCCAACACGACCTAGCCTCCATCTCCGGAAACACAGCAACATTCAACGTTGCAAACTCTGAACCCATCAAGAAGCACTTCGACTTCCTCCACGTCGCACCCAAGAATGTGCCTTGGTCTTTTGTCAAATCCAGCCCCTTGGCCAACGAGGCAGGCTACGTCTCCGTTTCTGACTCTACCACTCAACATACCAAGTACCCCAACGTCTGGTCCATCGGCGACGCATCCTCTTTGCCTACTTCCAAGACCGTTGCTGCTATCACCGCCGAAGCGCCGGTCTTGGTGTCTAACTTGCTTTCTGCGATGGCCGACAAGCCGCTGGAAGCCAGCTATGATGGTTACACATCTTGCCCGTTGCTTACTGGGCAGAAGGAAGTTATGCTTGCTGAGTTCAAGTATGGTGGTGTGCCCAAGGAGACCTTCAACAGTTTACTAGGTATTGACCAGGGCGTTCCGAGGAAGGCTTTCTATTGGTTAAAGAAGGACTTTTTCCCGTGGGTGTATGGAAAGTATCACGTCAAGGGTGAGTGGGCAGGACCAAAGGGACTGGCTAGATGAGAGATTACTTGATGGGGAGGATGATTGGAGATCCGTGCTTGTGTCCTGTTCAGGCGCCGCGGGTGTTGTTGAGTTATCCTGACTTTTGGGATTGAGACACTTTGTCTTGAGATGACACATTTAGCGCTTTTGTTCTTCCAGCTATGTTCAAGACCCAGCTGTTTCCGTAGCATAAAAGTCGAAGAAGACATCTCTTTGTCATCTCCATAAATTTCCACGCATATAGTAGCGACATCACGACGAGATGATCATACAACAATGATCCCAGCAACTGAGGCATATTAGTTACTCAGGAGATGCCCACACTACATACTCCCATGGAACAAGAAATGGCGCGCATACCGTATCTCACACTACATTCACCTCCACATCCTGGTCCACATTGGGCGGCCAGCACGTCCAAGGGTCTCGATGATGGAGCTCGACCTGTATGTGAAAGCCTTCTTCATCCTTGTGCAAACAGCACAGCCTCTTCACCAAATCATCATTTTGAGCTTGTTTCAAGATCTTACCAATTGGTCGCCCGACTTTGCATCGTTTCTTGTTGGGGTCGGCGGTGGGTGCCACGGAAAAATCAGCCATACTGTCTAGTTGGTCTACATACCCCAGAAGCCACATTAGTCCTTCATCGTTGAGTAGCTGAAGGAACCCGTCGTAAGAGAGAGGGTCTGGTTTTGTGGTAGGTGGAAACTTTCCTAGAGCCTGCTGAGCTGCTGTTACCAATTGAACGCCCTGCTCTCCCGGCCAGATATCGGTCTGGCGGCAGGTCAAGTTGGCGTAGTTGAACTTCTGGAGAGCAGCTATTAGACCCACCGTGGCCTCTGAGATCATTTGATAAGGCTCTGATATTTCCTGTTGAGCCGACTTGGCATTTTGATGCTCCTCAACGGGTGTACCACCAAGCTCATATGGGTCCTGCGGATTCAAGGCAATGAAGGTATGCGATGATCGATGGCCTTTACCTTTGCGAATTCTATTCAACCAGTTGGATCCGGACGAGCTCTCCTGTATACTTGGAGCGTTTTCGGGGACGCTGGGTTCGTAGAACTCGTGATGGATTGAATGTGGCATGGCGTAGACGACGACCTATTTTTATAACTCTGTGACTGTCGGTATCTGGCCGACATAGTAAAGGAAAGAGAGGAGCTTTATGTATCCAGGTAATTAAGTTTCATTGGAACGGCTGATGACAGTCATCGTTGGCATTTGTACATGTACCATACTAACAACGATGCTTGACTGTCTCAACATGAGCCATGACGGTTGTTGACGTAGCTTCCAACGTGTCGGATATCTTGGTCAGGAACGATGATCGTACTATGTAAGAGTAGAGAAACGATATTTCATGCGATACAGATTCATCGCGTGTATTTCGAGGTGCTCTGGTGGTCAGCAACAAGCGAGAAGCGCAAGATCTGCCACGTAAACACTGAGTCGTTCATAACAATAGCAACCCTACCGCCACGTCCCGAGCAGCTGTAGGCCGACTCAGATATCGCGACGTCATGAGGATGACCCGAACCGGTTGTCAAGCATAAGATAAAGGCAGTATCTCGGATAAAACTTGATAGGGTCAGAGACTCATCACAAGTGTGACCACGATGCCGTTGACACCAGGCTGACCACTCGCACCGTCATCCAGAACTTGTGGACATATCTGAAAACCAACTTTCTCGTAAAAAGCTCTTGCACTCGTATTCGACTGCACCATGTCAAGATGTACTCCCACAGCACCTGAGCTCTTCGCAGTGTCCAAAAAGCTGGTTATGAGAGCTGATCCCCATCCTTTTCTCTGATACTCTGGCAAAATATCGATATGTAAATGCGCTGGGTATCGTTCCAACATCTGTGGCCATGGTTGCAGCATGCTGCAGTCCGCCTCATACACGGCCTTTCGGAAATGCTTGACATCCTGTCTCTCCATCTGTGGATCTCCAGTCTGAATGTTTGGGTGTGGTACGAGTTTTGGGTCTATAGTCGGAGTGAACACGTCGCGCCAGCGCTGCGCGAAAGACGTTGTATCCACTGCGCCGATACAGTAACCCACCACGCGTCCGTCACCGTCGTCTAGTACGTGACATGTTTCTGGGGTCACATCCGCGTAGACTTTGTACCAGAGGTGTGAGCCTACAGTTCGCGCTGGTTCCCAGTCAAGGCCAGGGTCGATGGTTGTCAGGAACTATAGTTTCTGTCAGGATGATCGTCGTCTAGGAGATGACAACATAACACATACTACGTGAAGACCATTCTGGTAATCAGTTGATGGGTCGTATACTCGAACGAAGGGTGTTTTAGTCGGCATTGTCTACTAGAACGCGTAGGGAATATGGGACAGGTGGGCACTTGAAAATGCTGACGCGCAAGCTCGATGATGGCGCTTATACTCTTTCTGATTATAGACCAGTGAACTGCTAGGGGAATGTATGAAGTGATATAGATCAAGCAACGTAATTACGAGGTATTGTTCAGGTCCAGTCAAGCAGCATTTATTGTGCAAAAGAAGGCACACGGTGGTGATGAGGGGTTCAGCTTGCGCCCGCCTGGTGATTGGCCGCACAGCGCCGCGTCGCATAAATGACATGCTGGAATACGAGAGTCCAAGAGGCTCTCTAACATCGTCCCGCTTCGTATGCGAATCAATCGTCGCGTCAGGAAAAAGGTAAGACGCGTGAACACGATGACCCACATGATGACAGACCCTTACGCTAAGCCACTTTTGGAACACCAGCTCAGTCAGTGATGTCACTTCCAGCACCGTGTCCTTCACGCGCACCTAAATGAATCAACAACGTCCGTACCAGCTACATTGTCACCAGTCAGCAGAGCACTAACTTAACCATAGTCATACAACCAGCGATTTTGATTTATGGGCGGTATTTGAAGCTTAAGCAGCTGGAACGCGCCGCATCGCGCCTGAGTCTGGCTTACAGTCTGCGCAACTCATATCTTCTACACTGCCATTATTAGGGTCATCACCATACATACTGAAGGAGCGTATCACCCGGTTACGATTGCTTGTTTACTCATAGCAGATACGAGATCGCGAACAACGTGCAATATGGAACTCGACGAACAAAATATTGGATTTCCGTCATAACCTATGGAGCGAGGCTTCATATGGAAGTCAACATCGAAGGAGCGGAAATGTCAGCGTAGAGAGCGAAGTGACATCTGACAGAAACGGCCTCCGACGAGTCAAACCCATTATCAGATGCGGTTGCGACGACAATCTTCGCAGACATCGACATAGCAATAGCGACATCGCAGGATGTACTTATGATGGCGCGCGTCACACATCTCGCATCGGAAGCCTCTTCTGGGCGCTCCATAAAAGACGCGCTCAAAGCGCCGAGAATGCTCGCATTCATGCCTGTCTTGTAACTCGGCGAAGACTCTGTCAACACGCTGGCGCCTTTCTTGGGGAAGTAAGTTCGGGGCGTCTCGGTCCACGATCTCTTCGGCGCGCTCTTCAATGCGATGAAGATCTGCGGTGGCGCAAGTACACTCCTTCCAACGAACACCACAGATATAACAGAACTCAGCGCCACATCGACATCTGCGACGGATTAATATTATTCACACCTGCGAAGCGACGTGGACTTACGTAATGTGATTGCAGCCGCTACGCAAGTCTACTTCTCGATGGCAGGCATTGCAGGTTTGCCAGCCCATCTCGCGAGCCAATTCTCGCGTCTGTCGTAGCAAGGGATCATCTGGGCAGTCAGACCCTGCATGGAACTCGTGGTTGCAGATTGCACAAGTTTCTGCACTGCATTTCGGACACACTGCTCGATTCGTACCAGGTTCGATACGATCCGGGACGATAAAGGTGGCACAGTCGGGGTTGCTGCAGTACGTCTTCTTTTGGGTGGCATATTCCATAATCGCCAGTTCGAAGGTGGCCAGTTCGTTTGGCTCCATGTGCCTTGCAATCAGATCAAGCGGAATCTTTTGCTTGCAACATCTGGGGGGGTAAAGGCTCTCATCTTTTGTCGACCGCATGAACAGACCCTTCATGCAATCAATACAGTAGCGGTCGCCACATTTTGCTGTTACCATAGAGGCACGAGGGAATCGGTCGTAACAAGTACAACATTTGAACTCTGTAGAGAGTTTCTTGATGGTATCGGCCTGGCGCTCCACGTAGGACATAGCCGGTCCAGCTTCGGTCTCGTCATCTGAGAATTCGACGACCGAAGCAGCAGCGATATTACCAGACACTGTGGACATCCAGTCGTGGACTTCACCTTGAAGATGGTCGTGCACGGACGAGGGCGGGGCCTCAATCTCAGGGTCGTTGTTGCTCAGCTCCAAAGCGAAACGACGGTCCTCGTGAGCCTGAACGTCTTGGGAAGTGAGATCCTCAATCACGACGCTATCGGAGTGCACAGCCGCACCAATGCTCTGGGCAAGCTTCTGGTCCGCAAGAAAGTCCTCATAAGCTTGCAATTCAATCTGAAATTTGCTGTAGGCAACGTCCATGTCTGGTGGCTGATCAATAGGATGCTTTCCTTTCTTAGCCTCCGAGTAAACACCAAGCTCCTCTAACTGCAGCGCAAGAGCAGCTAACTCGTCGTCTATGCCGCCTGCATAAGACGTCTGAGGGACGATAACGGACATGGTTACTAGTATTAAGGTGTGGAAGTCTGAAAGAATTTCCGTGTAGTGTAACACAAGAGAATGAGGGCGAGTGGAGGTCAAGTGAGGTCAAGGGAAACGGGGTTTTCACGTTTAAAGGATCCTGCGCAAATGCGGGGTTGTTGCTACAACGTATGGTAGGCTACCAAACTGCTGAAAGACCCTATCGTGAAGCAGAAAGATCCGATTAGCTATGGGACGATGAAGCTTTGGTTGAGGGACTGATCAAGACCGAGTTTTTCAATTTGTGGTTAGATCGTAGATATGTTATCAATACCCCAATGACGGAAACACACGCACACATCACATCACAATACATGACTACACATCCACTACCTTAAAGAGAGAAATTGAACATCTCTTTAGAGCAAAGTACTTATACTTACTACAATAAAGCGTGTTAAGACCTTTCTGGACATAGATAGAGAATCTAGAAGTCTACAATACTATTAATCTTTCTATAATTTCTTCTTAGAAGCTAAAGTAGGCGGTAAACTAGGGCATGTTATCCCTATACCCGTTCGAGTTTCTTATTGTATACGGTAAATCTGTTATTAACATACTTTGAATTACGTACTAGACAGGAACAGCTACTTACTAAGACTACGCACCCTTACCCTACCCAAGCTTACACTCGCTATCATCCCATGGTACTAACAAGCCCAAAGTCCCCTTCAACAAACGATCCATGAGGACCAAGCGAGTACACCTGCGGCATATCCGCCCTAGCAACCTCCTCAAAAGTCCTCCCATCAAGTCCCACAAGAATACTATGTGTCCCCTCCTTGTTAATCGTAATCGTAATCACAATCCCATCATCCTCCTCCGTCGCCCCAGGGCGCTGAATAAAAATAGGCTCTGTAGGACAACTCTCGCCATGCTGCGGAATCCAAGACTTGAACGTGCCCGTCTGCCAATCCGACTTGAAGAGGTGTCCGTAGAAAGAAGCGTGGGTGATTCCGTTGGATACGCCGTTTCCGAGACGGCCAATGGGGACTTGGGTGCCTGGTGCGGACACGCCGTTGCCGGAGACACCGTAGACGTAGCGGTAGTTTGGATCCATGGACGCGGGTTTCGAGATACGGGGTAGCTCGGCCATCATGTCTGGGATGGCGGCTTTGACTGTGCCGCGGGCGATGACGGCGGGGTCTTTGGTGTCTACGGCAGCGAGTTCGTAGCGGACGAGGCGGCCGACTTGGTATGGTTTTAGCGGGTTGATGACGTTGGAGATGGCGTATTCGTTGTAGGGGTAGTGGTCGGCTTTGTAGCTAGCTATGTCGACGTGGACGTTGGTGTGGCCGGTTTTGGGGTCGACGTAGTCGTATGCGTTTGCTGTATGGAAGAAGTAGAAGTTGGGGATTTCGTAGGATGCGACGCTGGTGGGGTTGAGTTGGGGGGTTCGAAGTCGTAAGTTGAGACTGAGGTACTTACAGTTTGCCATCTGCCTTGTTTAACACGTAGAAGTAAACAGGAGAGTCATGCTCGCACTTCATCGCTTCGATGATAGTTTTTGTTGGATCGCTGGTATCCATGGTGACGGGCTGTTTGCATATGAGCAAGAGAACTTCATTATCCTAGATTTTGCGAATCAACACTTACGTTTCTGACGAACACGACGTACTTGTCGGTCATGGCGAGAGCATGCGTGTAGCATGGTCTGCAGGGGAGAGCGGATTTCCACAAGAGACGTGCCGGGTTCGATGCAACGTCGAGCGCGAAAACATACATGATGCCAGCTGCGTCGATCAGGTAGTTATAGGTTTGACCTCGCCTGCGGTCATGAACAGGGTGAGCGCAGCAACCAGCTCCAGCGAGCTCGGGATCAATGGTCGCATGGGTAAGCAACCGCTTTGGTTCGAGAGTCTTCGCGTCACAGATTTGCATAGCATTCCAGTCAGTGTGGACTAGAATCTGTATTTAAACATGAGCTCGGTCGGGTTCATTCAAGGTCTGACAAGTGTTGCTTACCTCCTGAGTGGCAGGGTCTTCCGCCTGGATACCTCTTGAATTGGGATTCTTGTCCTTTGGAAGGTGCATACCACGGCGTGGCTGCACATGAATGTTGAAGTCATCCGGCGCCGAGAAATCGTTAGGAAGATATACGGTTTGCTGTGCTGCAATTAGGCTACAATCGTTTCACTCACGATTGCTAAGATCCGACTTACACGAGCACCGAGCAGTTTCGAACACGGATCTTGAGCTTCGAAGAGAGGAGTGTTGGGATTAGGGCCCATCCAGGAGTTCGTAACATAGCCATCTTTCATCGCCCGTCGCACGATTCCGTTATGCGTGTAGCGGCTCATGTAGTAGACACGGCCGTCAACCATCCGGAACTTGTGCAGCAAGCCCAGGCCATCGAAGAGATGCTGAATAACTACTCTGGGCGTCGAGTCGTCCTCTGAAGTTGGGACTGTGAAGCGTCCAACGCCCACCCTATGTTTTTTTTTTCAATATCGACGTTTCGCTGCGATCATAGAATACAATCCAGTGACTTACCTCAAGAAAGAACCATGAAGCCACTTAGGCCATGTACCGCCGAGCTTACATTCAACCTCCGTTGTGGTTTCCGGTACGTCCTGGAAGTAGGTCGGAGCGTACTTGAGTTCCTCCTCGGTGATGATATCCCACCGGTAGCCTTCTGGCTTTTGATCGAATGGCATTTCGAGATGGAGGTACGAGAACCCAAGAAGTTGTATTTGAGAAGCCTATGACAAGGTCTTTGGTATATGTATGATGCTGATCGGCAAGAACGTTGTTCATAAAGGTTTAAATTGACATACAATGCCTTATATACACTCACTTCCCTCCATCGCGGAACAGACTGGAACGGCGTCAGTAAGCATCCAATCTATGAGGGCCGATTGTGCCTCACCAACAAGCAGACAAGACTGCTGAGCTCGGCCATGAAACACGGAAAGTTCTATGTTGTCCCTGTTTTTGCGTATACAATGCACCCGATCTGGTTAAGTGGGGAGCTGCACGCATAGGGGTTCAGGTAAGCTACATGGTGCCCAGACTTTCTAGCACGACCTCGGAACCATCGCCTACAAAAGACACCGGAACATGTAACTGCCGTTTCCTGTCTATCAAACGGGTACGGAAGTGTAGTGCATTCGTCGTGTTGGAGCTTTGTAATTCTCAGATTCCGGTTGGGTGATACTGGCGGATCTACACACAGAAGCCACATCCGATCCGACTTCAAGTCCGTCCCGTTTGCCGCCAAGGCCCTATAAGCCTAGGCTGGGGTTATATCGCGGGGATGTTGAGTGGGAATGGCCATCACGGTCGGAGATTTTGTGGATATTGCCTCTGCATGAACCTAATACACTCAGCCTCTATGGCCTCGGCACAACATGCTGACATGTAAGCTCGGCCATATGCCAGCAATCCTAACTTGGACAACACACACAATTTAGCAGTGGGGTGGTTTCTTGCCTGAATTGAGAGACCTACGACCCAATAGCTTACATCTTCAATCCCCTCAACTCCGGACTAACAGCCTCCCTGCTCTTCAAACTCTCGCCCGCAGCCCTCTGCGCAAATCCCACAACATCCTGTACCGTCTCTCCTCGACTCAGGCCATATGCCAAGGCACCGCAAAACGTATCACCAATGCCATTTACACTGACTACCTCATGTGGTTCGAGTACTTTCTCCACGGGAAACAATCTCACGTAGAGACCACCAACGGTAGCTGCACCATCAGAAGACATGTTCCTCGCCAACACATACTGCCGCTCATGATCCTCCCTCAGCTCTTTTGCATCAGAGGCTAGGAGTTTCGTCATGAGTACACCCTGAGGACCAAGCTTGGTTAAGATTGTGGGAAAGAAGGGGAGGAGCTTGATGGCTTGTTGAGGGATGCCTTGGTCTACTATGTCACCACCCACTGTGACGGCTAATGGGACTCTCAAACCACCGTTGGGGATACCCAATGCATCGATGACGCTGAACCATTCGGGCGACTCGAACAGGGAGGCCTGGCTGGCGAAATCATGGAGTGCAGTGAGTTCGTAAGTGTTGGGTGTTATGACGTCTGCTAGAGGCTTGGGGTAAACTGATGGATGAGTGGTAGATGGGAAGATACGTAGTGCCTTGGCTGTAGAGACTGGCTCGAAGATGGTGGTAGTATCTGAGTGACGAGCGGCTTGGAGCCAAGTGTGCAGGGCGGAGGAAGACCAGTTCGCATCTGCAACGAAGGCTTTGGGTCGAGCTGAAGCGTTGTTGAAGATACTGGTGGCTAGTTGTTGGATAGTTTCATTAGGGATCATCTCTAGGATCGACATATCTGCCATGGCGAGTGCAAGATCTTTGTTCGTGTTGTTGATGGCGACATATTGCGCTGTTCTAGACGGCGCAGGGAGTGTTTCGATACCGGAAACTGACATGCCTTCTTGCTGCAGTTGGTTGATCGCCGCGCGACCACTCAAGTCGTCACCAACAGCACTATGCAGATGAACGAAAGAGCCGAGCAAATGCGAGGCTTTAGCAATGTTATGTGCGACACCTCCAAGTGTCTGAGTTATGACTGCTGGATTCGAGGTGTGAGGAAGTGGATCTGTCTGGCCCGCAGAAGCCTTGAACGGAGCATAATCACAAGAAAAGTCAACTGCAAGAGCGCCTGCGACAACCACATCGGGGTCTTTTCGAGGCTCAGTACTATATGAGAATGACGTGGTGGGAGTTGAAGCAGGCTCAGAGGGCGACGAGGTTGCATTGCGCAGCTCCTCGTGTGGAGTAGACGAGAGATTGGATGGAACGGGAGTAAAGTAAGAGGAATTCCGTCTAGTATACTTACATCAGCGCCAGTCTACGATGGAGCAACAAGAGTGCTGGCTCACCCTTGGGCTTGTTCCTGTTTCGCTTCGAGGATGGCAAGTTCTCGTGCTACGATAGTGGCCCTCTTCACGTTGGATTCTATCAGGGCTCTGTTGGCGGGTATGCTCTTGCCCTTGCTGAGTTCTTTGATCTTGGCAAGGACAAAAGGCGTGTTGTCCTTGCCAGAGATGTTGGACGCCTCGGCCTGTTTTAGAGCCTCGGCAATGATGACATCCATCTCATCCTTGGGTATAGCGAAATCGGTAGGGACAGGGTTGGCGAAGAGGAGACCAGACGAGATTTGGAGTGCGTGTTGGGCGTCTGTATGGCATCAGAAGCAGATATCATGGAACATGGTCACAGACTTACATATAACGGCAGCCGCTTCAATCTCATCGGCAATGGTGGTGGGACTCTTGACTCCACTGTCTCTGGACCAGAAAGCGGGGAAGTCTACGTTTCCTTGCCGTCCATCGGCGAAGGTGCCTACGCCGACGCCTTCTGTCTCAAGGTACTCGATTGTTCGCGGTATGTCGAGGAAGCTCTTGCAGCCACTGGAGATGACGGTGACTGGGGTCCTCCCAAGCTCGGTCAAATCGGCAGAGATGTCCATGCTTGACTCTGCACCACGGTGGACTCCACCGAGGCCGCCTGTTCCAAAGATCTTGATGCCAGCGAGATGGGCCAGCAGCATAGTGCCGGAGATGGTGGTGCCTCCGTTGAAGGACCTGTCCGTCAGTCGCATGCCACATACATAGCCGAGGTCGCGTCGCGAGAGCTTCATTGTGTTTGCCTTGCCAGCAGAAGAGGCGAGTCTGATCAGCTCCTCTGGGTCCATGCCTACACGTGCTACGCCGTCGAGGATGCCAATGGTGGCTGGGATGCCGCCATTCGTTCGGACTACGCTTTCGAGGAGGGATGCAAGGGCTACGTTTTCAGGATAGGGGAAGCCTGCATGGGTCAGCTGTCTGTGTTTGTATACATATACATATATATATGTATATGTGTGTGTGTGAATACCTACCATGCGTGTAGATTGTCGTCTCGAGCGCGACGACGGGCTTCTTCGAGTTGAGAGCTTCGCGCACCTCGTCCGAGACACGGAAGAAGCCATTGTTGGTCAAGTGGCGCCTTCCGGCTGCGGTGGCTATTCTACAGCGGCTTGAGAGTATCCGCGGCCGGCCAATTGATGGTGCGAGCAGTCTCATGGTGGCGTGTAAGGTGTCAGTAGTAGTACATGGAGGGGTGAGCTCAAGCTGTCTATGCCAAGACGCGGAGGTGCCAGGGAACTCCGAAGAGAACACCTACGACGCAACACATCCGCGCAACACATCGCCGCGTAACCACCAATTGACCCAACAATTCCCCCAACACCGACCTCACATGACTGGATAGCTTGACTGCTGTTCCAACAATGAGGTCCTCCCTCTTTACCAGCTGCATAGCAGCGCTCTCGAGCTTGGCCAGCGCCGAACTCAACCTCTCCCAGCCGCTGCTATCCAAGCAGGTGCTGCCCACCACCTTCACACCGCCGCAAGTCTTCAAGAATGCAAACCTGGTCCGCACCACCAACCTGGACAAGGCGTATCCGAGGGAGACCATCAACGTCATAATCGAGAACATTGACGACAAGGCGCAATCGGAATACTACCTGCCATTCGAGTCGAGCCTGCTGTCCAAGGTTGGCGGCTTCGAAGTAAGAGACAAGAAGGCGGCCGAGAAGGGCATCTTCAAGGTCGACGTCGTGGGCTTTGACACGGAGAGTTCCGTCGAGTTCTACAAGATCCATCTGCCAGAGCCCCTCGCACCCAAGGCCCAGCAGACCATCACCATCTCCTACTCCATTCTCTCGGCTCTGAAGCCCGTCCCCGCCCAGCTCGCCCAGACAGACAAGCAGTATCTGCAGTACGACTTCAGCGCATACGCCCCCTCGGCCTATCTTACCGAGAAGCAGCGAACCAAGGTCAAGTTCCCCAACAGCGACGTGCCAGACTACACCACCCTCCCCGCCGAGCTCAACGACGAGCAGACGCCCGACCCGCAGAAGCAAGGCTCCACCTTCACCTACGGTCTCTACAACAACGTGCCTGCCGGTGCCCAGCAACTTGTGAGCGTGCGCTACGAGTTCACCAAGCCCCTCACACATGCCACGCTGCTGGAGCGCGACATCGAGGTCTCACACTGGGGCGGCAACCTGGCAGCCGAGGAGCGCTACTGGCTCGTCAACCAAGGCGCAGGCCTCAAGAACCACTTCTCGCGCGTAGAATGGCAACGCCAGTCCTACCTCAACCCACCCACCTTCGCCCTCAAGGGCCTGGCCCTGCCTCTCGCCCCCGGCTCCGTCGACCCCTACTTCACCGATGACATTGGCAACGTCTCCACCTCAAAGTTCCGCCCAGGCAAGAAAGAAGCACTTCTCGAGTTGAAGCCGCGATACCCCATCTTCGGAACCTGGAAGTACAGCTTCCGTGTTGGTTGGAACGCAGACCTCTCTTCGTATCTGCGCAAGCTCTCTACAGGCGACACCTACGCCCTCAAAGTCCCTTTCCTCGAGGGTCCCCGTTCCGGCGAAGGCATCTCTTACGGTCGCCTAAACCTCCGCGTTATCCTCCCTGAAGGCGCTACCAATGTCAAGTTCTCCACCACCGTCCCCATCGTCCGCAACGAGACCAGCCTCCACAAGACCTTCATGGATACCCTGGGCCGTACGACACTGGAGCTGACGGCTATCAACCTCGTCGATGAGTTCAGGGATCGCGATCTCATTGTCACATACGACTACCCGTGGACAGCTGGATACAGGAAGCCCGTGGTCATCACACTGGGCATGTTTGCTGTGTTTGCTGTTACATGGGTACTGGGTAGCATTGATACCAGCATTGGAAAGAAGAAGACTGCGTAGACGCAAAGCTGAGAAAGATTCAAGTGTACAAAATAAGAAGGGGGCAGAAGTTACGATATTGATAAAAGTTCCATATCGATGTATTTGACTGCTAGAACTGGGTTCATGGCAAGCGAGGAGTATGTTGATTTTTACTGAATAACATGTAAGAAGAATGAATATGAGATTCCGATTTCCAGCAATCTAGTGCATCACACACTACTTTTCAAACTAAACATCTTTCCCTTTGCTCCCCAACCTAGTCAATACCTCATCCTCCCAACATCAAGCAAGGAATCCAACCAGATGTCTCAAAAGGGATCCTTGCACCCCTTGACACGATGAACATGCCGACAAATAACCACAACACCCTCTCCACACCCCATTCTCCTCACCTCACTCTTGACAACCTGCGCAATCCTCTCCGCAATAGCAACACTCCGATGTGTACCTGCATGACAACACACACTCATACTCACCTCCACGCTCCCCCCACCAGACCCATACCTCGTGCTCCTTCTCTCCTCCTCTCCAAACCGCAATAGCCTCTCCACTGCCCTGTGAGCCGCTCGTCTCGCGTCGCCATCTTCTATGACAACATCCTGTATCCGTTTACTGATGCCAGAGTATTCTCTGCACAGCTCAGGAGGCGGAGGACGTATGTGGCGCGCATCGATGGTGTAGAGGTGCGGGATTGGGGGGGAGCGGCGTGGGACTTGGGTGGAGAGGAGGTTGGCTATTGTGGATTCGGAGCGGACTAGGTCTGTGGCGTAGGTTATTATGTACACGGTTGGGTGGGTGGGGGGTGGCGGTGGTGGGGATTTGGAGTGGAAATAGGGCTGCTGGTAGTGTTGTGGTGGCACACATGTGTATGTCGAGTGCGATATGGGTAGGCTGGTGCGTATAGGTGAGGTGGTGCGGCGGTATCGTTCTTGGTGGTGGAGTTGGGAATCGTACTCGTAGGTTGAGGTGTAGGACTGGTGATGCTTTCTAGGCATTCTTTCCGAGGGTGAACGTTGTCGTAAGGTGGTGGATCGGGGCGGTATGTAGTATCTGCTTTCTCTCTCTCTTTCTTGATCTCGTCCCCGTTCCCTTTCCTTTGCCCTTGCGTGTTCTCTCTCCCTCTGCCTTTCTTCCTCGGCTATCCTGATCGTCCTGCTCGAACTGCCTTGAGCAGGCGGTAGGTCGAAATGTACGTGCCTGCTCGCCGTCTTCTTGAGGCTACTCTTTCGAGGAGTTCTGTCCGGCTGTGGTGCTTGTACGGGTCTAACGTATCTCCAGGTACTGGTTTGCACAGGCCTGTGGGATGTACTCGGTCGTGAGTACGATGTTTCGTAGTAGGAACTGTAGCGACTTGGTTCAGTGTGTGAGTAGGGTCTGGGCATGTAAGTTGTGTCGTATGATCTTGCTGCGAGGTTGTGAGGATAGGGGTAAGGGTAGAGGTATGTTGAAGAGCAGAGAGGAGGAGCCGAAGTGTATCGGTACATGATTGCTCCTTCTTCTTTCCATGCCTTTTGCGATAGAGAGTACGATACTTCTCTTCTACACAATGCAAATGACTATCGTGCCATGATCAGTTGAGGAAAGATGTTAATAGTCTAGGTCAGGTACATTTGCGAAAGATTAAGAACTCTTCGCGCAGGTTCATGGTGGCACACAATACTCATAGTATGGCGTCCCGTGCTTGTAAGCAAGTCGATAGGTAGTCATGGCTCGTGGGAGTCACAGTCGCACAGAACGACATCACGTTCCTGCTTCCCCGCACTGCCATGTGTTGGATATGCATCGCGCCTATTGAGTCTTATATCTGGAAAGCGGAAGTGAAAGTTTGAGAGCAAGCCAAACATAGTTGAATCCTTCTTCTCTACTGACTCAATCAACTTGGCTGGAGTGAAGAACAAACTCGTGACGATGCAACTGAGGGAGAAGAAAAAAGGATGAAGACGACATTGAGGAAGTAGCGATTGGGTGTGATGGCGAAGTAGACATCCGAAGAAGATAAGGAACTGCCCCAGTAGATGCCCATTTGTGCAATCGTTCCTCCTTTGTATGCTGCTCTGTTACAGCATCGACACCTCGCGGACTTGTCTGCTTGTGATATCTCCAGACATCGCGAGTGATTGTTGACCACCATTCTCGGTCTACAAACACGACCATACGAACACGCAAGGGTTTAGATCATTTTTACACCTCTATACAGAAATCTCAGTCAAATCTGCAAAGTGCCAACGTATTGATCTGGATTGACGGCAGCTACACTCAAAGTCGTAGTGGTCGTTCGATGAAAATTTACAACTCGGCATAACGAACATTCAGTCAAGCTTTTCCATGAATACTCCTGTGGGCCAACTACTAACGCTCTCCAGCTTCGTTGCTGCACGACATTGCTAGCTGCGCCACTCAGCTTCGCTTCCATTGCAACGGTCTATCAAACGCGTGAGGATCCTGGCCTGATACTTCGCAATGCGCTCCGTGTCACTCTACTCGCTTGCGTTGGGCATCGTCGAAGTCAAAGTCCCTTAACCCTGACCTTTGAATGACTTGCTGATGATGTGCACAACGGTCGCGGCGTGCAGTGACACTTCGGTCGTACTCTGTCATTTGCGGTCCGGTTTCAGGCCTTCATCCTCCGTTGGGCAGCAAACTCCCATGTCGCTCTTCGCACGGCTCACCAACCGCGGCAATGACCTGGTCAGAACGCAAGCTGTAGATGTTCACAATACGGTCTCTCCACACAAGCGAGCAGTTGTGATTGCTTACGAGTCGATGCGCAGCATCGAGCGATCGATTACGCTCGAGAGAGGTCGCCATTCTGAGGGCCCCACAAGGACCCTGCGCTCTTTCGAACACCTTGAGAAGAACCTGATGTCTCGTTATGTGGAGAATCTTGAGCACATTCATTGTGCATGTCTGATACAGGCATACCGTGGCTTCCAAGACCCCGAAGTTGCGGTCTGACATTTTCGGAACCGCTGAAGGGTCCGGCTTGGTGTATCGTGGAACAGCAACCCGGACTACTCCACAATAATACCTTTGGAGGTACAAAGCGACTCTTGGAGGCATGGACAAGCTCTATTGGAGCAAATGAGGCTAACAGCTGACAAGGTACAGCTACTTCTCTGATTGAGCTGGAAGTGGACTCCGTACCGTCTCATCATGCCACATGTACTGACATGGTGCTCTCCAACACCATGCACGACAAATCTCTCGGATCTCTTGTCACAGAGAAACCGCGTGTTGTCTGAAAGGGCCGAGTTGTATCAGCCGTTCGCTTGCGAATTCGATCCGTTTTGGGGCTCGTTGCGATACGTGCCGGAACAGAGTTGTCACCGAATTGGAACCGACAGCCGCTTCTCAGCGGCTCGATAGTGCACATGCTCGTCTCGAAAGAAAGTCGAACCGAGTCGGGGAGATCATGACCGAGATTGCACGGATTGCACGGATTGCACGCTCCATGAGACGCGTACAGAAGGCGCTCAGAACATTCCAGGGTACCTCCAAATCTCTCCGGCAGTACAAGGCTCCACTGTAGGTGACTCTCGACGTTGGGGTTCCTGACCCCTCCCCTCCTGCCAGGGATTCTGCAATGCACCCCAGACCCTAGCTGCTTACCGGCAATCGTGACCAGAACGGTATTCCGGAGAATGTCTCCTAGTTGCATGCGATAAACAGCCACCGATAAGTACCGGAGCCAAGGGCCCTATCTTGCATGCTCATCCTCTACGCACACCGATATGCTGCATACAAGCTGAGACAACGTTAATAATAATAGATGCATAAGGCGCATCTTGCGTTTGCAGAGGCATGTACCATTGCGGGGTATACCGTTACAATCTCGGCTACAGCTGCATTGCGGCTTTTCCTGTGGGAGGTGCCTCTAGCCGATGCGACGCCTGTCTAATCGGTGAGGGAGCATACGTTCGATTGGCGAAGATGGAAGCCAACGGTAAGCCCAGCACGATTTGTGTTACTTTTGCTGTCAACGTTTCGCGTGCGTGGGATGCGATTCGACGACCGGTGTCGTTGCTGCAGGCAGCATCTGGGGTGATGGCCCGAATGTGGACTCTGCTGTGAAAGGCGGGCTGTGAATTTGCTGACTATGACCTTTGTCATACTGCTAGTCGCAGCTTTGGAGAGTTTACCGCTCTGGGCGCCTCACTTTTTCAACTTTGGTTAATGTCGACCTCCATGGTGTGTCATGCATCTTCTCTTTCGCCCAACATGGTAGTCTAGTCGTCGTCGAACGTCAGAGAAAGTCGCTATCGATTCGCAACACGAATGCGACGTTAGCAGTGAACGAAGATCATGTTCCGGGGTCTATGAGATCTGCGGGGATGTCCTCCGCCCGTCCTTCCATAATGCTTACAGCATACGTACCTGGGCAACATCATGTGAACAACCATGTGAACTTTATGGGAAATTTTATCGATTGGTGTTGGCGTGCAGGAAATCCTTTGCTGTGTTCGCTCACGAGCGCGAAGCGAGCGCGATTTTGCAGCCTTACTCGCGAACATATATCAGGGTTACGAAGAAGCAAACACGAAAGCACGTGCTGAACCATCGAATCGAGCTATACAGCTATCGAGTCCGGCCTAGCGTTGGGTCGGAATCGACAACCGACACCATCATAGCATCGTGATCTCCAACAATAGACATCGGATTCGCGTTCAAATGCGATATCACATTCGCTCGAAGCTAGACCAAGTGACGAGTATGGCCCCAGGCATGATGTGATGATGTGCACCACGAACTTGAACAGGAACTTGCATTGCCGAAGGAAAGCGAGGTGTCGTAACCTTATCCCGAATGCCCAACGCCATCTTCACGCGTTCACGCGACGGAGTCCTCTCCGCAGCGTCTCAATAACGCCTTTTTTTCGCTAATTTCCCAGCATTCAGCACAAAAGATAGGCTCGCTGCTGCCCAACGCAACGCTTCACCGTATCAAACCTTACTCCGTTCCCGTGTCGTGTTGCAGTCCACCGTAATTTCATCAGATGATTGCAAAGTCAACGGCGAGGTGGAGAAAGGTCCGACGGGCAGCCTGGAAAGCATTTGGACACTGCTCCATAGTACGAATACGCCGAAGACAGGATCGACGCTGCATTTGCGTAATGCGCGAAGGAATTAATATCGGAGACAGGCAGGTAGACGTGCAGATTTTTTGGAGAACGCAGGTCCCTGCTTCATGCAGATACGCGAGAGCAAGAAACCCAATTGCAACGAGATTATGCCGACTATTCTTACCCCAAAATGATCGACGCAGCAATGCGCGACCCATTCTAATCTTTGGAGCTCTTCGGGATAATGGGTAATCCACGTATGATTCCTGAAGCTCGGAATCATCGATCTGCGCTGTCCAAGCAAAATTGTGGGAGCATGATCGCAAAACTCGTACGAGTTGCTTCACCGTACACACCTAATTTGTAGTAGTGTGTAACCACAGGCAAGCCCCATTTCGGTGGTATCGACGCGACGTCACGTTCCGGAGGGCTTGGTGGGCAGCATGTCAAGATACCTAGCACGTGGATAGTCATTAGCAAAAAAGCCAAGAAAGCCGTCATCGCAGTTCTTCAGAAACAGAAGTCAATTTCGAGGCCAGGGTCCAGGCTATCGACAAGCGGCTTCTTCACCGGAAGCCTCCGTTACGTTTTTTTCGACGAGCCGTCGGACGACCTCGGGAGGCGGCAATTAGCGCCGGGGCAGCGCAACCACCACCAGGAACAAGTGTTGCGCTCCTGTCAGACGTGCTAGTCAACCAAAGTTTTTGATTAAACTAGAGATATGATGCAAGATGAGCATGTTCCAAGGTTGCAGGATGCAAGACGCAGGTCGTGATTCTTTTGCGGAATTCGTACCCTGATTAGGATTACTTGGACGTTGGAGGCGTTTTAACCTGATTATGCGGGCGGGTTGTTTTGTTTTGGAGGTGGGACAGATTGAAGGGTTTGGAGATCGCTTAGTCAATTTACCGTCGCCGTCGCCGTTCTGTATCAAATTCGTTTTTGCGGTGTGGAAAAGGCACTAGCATGTCTGGAGACAGCATTGCCAGCCGGTCAGATATCCGGTGAGAATATGACAGATTCTAGTTTGCGCAGATGGAAGGTAGAAACGCGTAAGGTAACGCATACGGCAGGTGGTTTGGCTTTGGTTCCAAGGTCTTGATTTTCGTTTCTTATTTTGTGATGCGCGCGAGGCGGCGCGCCTTCATGCAGAGGGTTAGCACGTGGATGCGTAGTACAGACACACAATATCCACTCACTCACACCTTTTGAATATGTGGTTGATGCAGTGAAGAGGATGCGGATTGACGCGCATTGCATTGCAGGTAGGTTGGGCATTGACTGAAGATCGTGGTTGACCACTAGTATGCAGGTGTGATGTTGCGCATATGGATGCTTTAGAGTCCGTTTGAAGTAGCAAAATTAATGATGGAGAAGGGACCAGATGATCCTGTTTAACGCGCACGTAACGGCAACTATCATAACCCTCGAACATACGTGACTTTGTTTTTTGCCTCTGAAGGTACATACCGGTCGGGCGAACCAGCGATCTCATATGTGTCTCGGGAAGATCCAGCTGCATAATCGACAGTAAGGATTCATTCAAGATAGAGTTTACGATCTGTTCGAAACCGTCCCGCGGTGATGGAAGCACTCTGATCGGTGAGGGACAATCATAATGGTGAAAATTACAAAACAATTACTGCTGTTGTTCAATGTGAAGCTGTTCGCCTCCGCGGGTGGAAAATCGGCGAACAACAGCCGCACGAGCGAAACGGCTGAGGCGCTGCACCCGTGCGGACCAATCTTTCCACTCCAGGGCTGTTACCAAGACGGATCGAGGCGTGCGACGCCACAGTATTAGACCGAGAAAGGGCCGCTAGTCATCACACGAAACAAGGTCATCTTGCATGTGTATACGCATCCTGCGAAAAAAGCAAACGTCGAGATCCGTTGGATGAGAGCCACGGAAGGCGCTGCCGCGGACCTTTACATCGAGTCGACTGTTGCGCGAACGGTGTGTTCGAGGGTCCCGCAGCGAAAAGCAATACAGATGGATAATGGGAATGCGATGTTGATCCAATACAATGTATTTTCTGCGACCCGCGGCAGGGTTGTGTATGAGTGGCTTGGACCTAGAACCTCAAGATCTCCTACCAGCGAAAGCTAGCGAAAATCGAAGGAAGTCAACTCGATTCCGACTCCACACCACCCTCCACAACGTTGCATAGTCCCCTAGTCTGATCGGTGAACGATGAAGGGGAAGGGAGGGGAACAGACGGAAAAAACCCTGGGTATACCCATAACAGTGGTCGGCGAGCATCATGGAGGAAGAAACAATATAGGTGCAGTTGAGAAAACCTGTCCCCGCGATCCAAGCCTTGGATGTAACCGGGAATATGTTAATTCAGAGATACGCGAGAAGAGATCCGAGACCAGAAGGAAAGAGAGGAGGAAATAATGATTCCGAAATGCTTAGTTTCAGCGCTAGCCGCCCAATGATGATGATAAGTTAAAACTTCCGTTTCGTTGCGTGTGCGTTTGCCGCGTGCATTTGATAATGCAACTCTGTCTTCTACAATAGCTGTCCTGATCGATGGTGTGGAAATAAGAGGCAAGAAGGAAACCAAAAAGCAAATATAAATGTCCAGAAAGAAACTGACATGCAGCAGCGCCGGGGTCTACTCATGCAAGTCATCATGCACGTTCAGATCGGTATCGGGCCGGATCTGCCAGAGACAGTGGCGCATATCGGATGGCGATGGAGATCGGATGGCGGCCGCTGTGCAGGAGATACATCGTAGATACATCGTCGGATGAGAGCGCAGCATAGGCGTCGGCATGGGTGTCGGCATGCAAATGCGCGCGGCCGATATTAAGTATGTCGTCATGTTGATTGCTTCATTCGAGACCCTGTTGCCTCTGGACGTTCTTGAGAATCTCAAGATCCATGCGCAGAATGGGCGAGTTTTGCGCCACGTCGCTGATGACGGCGATGGTACGTTTGAAAAGGGCGGCGAGGTTGGCCTTGGTGAGCCAGGTGTCGCTTGGTAGGAGTGGGTATAATTTGGATTTGTACACCGAGGCTAGGACGAGCATGTTGCCAAATTGTCTACGTTGAGTGTTAGCGGGCGGTGCCAAGCTTGAATTTAGGTAGTAAAGACTTACGCGTGGAGTGTACCGAAAATGTTAGTCACGATAAGCCTCTTCTTGCGCGTAGGCTGGAAGTACTGGTATTGGCTACCAGGCTCTTCGCCTACACGATCAAACGCGATGGTACTCCGGATAGCGGCGTTAATACATTGGCAAGCGATCTTGATGATCTTGTGCTGGTCTTCGCTCAAGTCCACCATTTGTACGTTCCTGTTTGACGCCGCATTTCCATAAGGTGATGGCGAGTTGTTCTGTGTTGCGCCGGTTGTTCCTGGAGGTGGGGGCGGGAACTCCAGCGTATGACTCGCGAGCTTGAGGTAGGGTCGCAACATCATGTACAGACCACCATAGTATTTGGCGCGTACACGAGCAATGTTGAGATCTGTCGAGGGGTATTCGTCGTCCGACCATGCCAATTCCGGCGTAAGCAGCTTCCTCCAGCCCTCAAGAATCTCTTTGTGAGTAAGCGCGTGGTGAGCAACTTCCTTGAAGCTCGTAGGGTCAAAGCTCATGCGACCACTGGGACCGTACAGAGCATTATGCGCAACGTTGAGGACAACTCGTAGGAAAGTCTGCGTGGAGTATAGTTTCATCATCAAATCTTGTCTTGGGCCTGCACGTACTTCGACATCTTGTTGCACAAAGTTGCTGTCCTGGTCCTGAGACCAGTTTTCGTTGACGCCTTCAGGGTACATGATCTCGCTTTGATGCGCAGAGATGCCGGAGGGCGGAAGCGTACTCATCTCTGCTAGGATATCGGATTCCAGCTGCAGAGCTGTCCAGTAGACACACATGACGAGATTGAGTCTGTAGCGCTCCTTGGAACTCCAGGTATGTCTCCTGTCGCTGTTCACACGGAGTAGTTTAGTGTAGTCGGCTTTGATCAGGACCAGGGCAATCCGGCAAGCGTTGTTAATCCAGCTCCAACTTTCCAGTACTCGTGCATACTGACTGAGGAATAGCGCAGCCAGCAGCATAGCCTGCGCATGCGCAACAGTGTTACCGCCCTGTTGGTTTCCAAGAATATCGGTGGCGTAGGCATAGTAAGCCATACCAGGTAGCAGGTCAATGTTCTTCGGGCGGTTCTCATCGGAAGTCTCGCTGTTGACACTGTTGAAACTACCGTTAGGATGAGGAGAATTCCGAATGTAGCCCCATTCGCTGTGGACATAAGGGTGTCGGTCATTCTGTGGCGCAGGCAAAGGGTCTTTATGCGAGCATACTTTGCCCAGAGCAAGAACGAGCAGTACAATCGCGTTGCGCAATGATCGTTCAATCTCACCCCGACCTGAAGGGAGTCCCTCCAGATTACTCTCCGACCGCTTTCGCTTCACTCCGTGAACAGGAGCAGGCGAGTGGGCGTTCATAGGCTTCGCATCAGGACTGTATTGATCACTGAAGTCATTGAACATACGTCTTAGTCTGTTCTCGTTCATGAAAGGATGGAAAATGTGCATGGTCTCCATGTACGACCGGAGTAGGTCGAACATTACATGGCGTCGAAAGTCGGGCCGACCGTCTGCGCCAAGCCCGTTCTCCTGCCGCGGCTTGGGCGGGAAGTATTCTCGAGGGGTGCTACCCGGTGTTGTCGTTCCAGCCGGGACCTCGGAAAATGGATATCCCCATAGGCCTTCTTTGCCGGGTGCTGGTGAAGGCGCTTCTGAGTCGTTACTGCTCTCTGGGCTTCCAGGGCCTTGAGCTCCGTCGTTCAAGTCTTGGCCCTCGCCGACACCCCAGACGCGCAGCAGTCCGCGGTCTTGCTCAAGCTGCATCGGGTAGTCTGAAACTTCACGGCCGTTGTCTATTAGCCTTCTCAGGTACGGGATACCTGTATAGAAGATACTCATCTGCTGCCACTCGTCCAGCAATTTGTGCGCCGGCGTGGTGTGATCGCCCTGCAAGCCCGTTTGCTCTTTGGGGCTAGTCTCAGTAGCATGGCTGCGATCGGTCCTCACACTCTCAGCAGGGGTTGCCGGCTGTTGAGGAGGGGGCGCATACTGAGACTCTTGCTTGATAGAAGCCGATGCTTGCGCACCCAAAGGCGACATCATGTTCGAGTGGGGAGCAATAGGTGACTCCATTTTCAGGTTGCTGTTGACTCGACCCATATGTCCTCTTCCCTGTATGGGAGTAGGCCATCTGGATGTGCCATGCTCTCTTGGGGGTGCGGAGAAAGAGGCTTCAGGCGAAGCGTGGTTCGACATCATCTCGTGGTTCCGTGATGGTGGAAGCCTACTCTCAACAGTCGATTTCCAGCCGTTGAATTGGTCCACAAACTGCGCCAGAACGTCGGAGATGCTGTTCACACTTTCTTGAAGTTGCATCATGCTTCTGTCTTGCCTACGGTGGGGGTCAGCGATGAACCAAAGGGAGGGATCGGGTAACGCACTTGGGTGGCGGGACATCCTTGTACTGGCAGTCGAAGTTGTTCTCCCGGCAGAACTGGCACGGTCGAGCTTCATCACATTTCTGCTTTCGCGAACGACAGTGGTTACAGGCCTGGGTGGCGCGCACCTGCTTTCGTCGTATCTGCTGTGCGGTGCCATAGTCGTTCATGTACGGGGTCTGCGCGTAAGGTGTGACAGGAGGAGCGTATTGCTGGGCTGGTGGTGGCGGCTGTGCATGATATGGCGCTCCGTTGGGGTGTGCTCCAGGACTGATGGCGTGGTTGTATCCATTGGGTATGCTGCCATTGGGGCGATGCTCGTGGTTGATTGCCCACGGCTGGTGGTGGCCGCCATGCTCCATGGGAGTCTGACTTTGAGACTTCACGTCGACACTGATACTGACACTGGTGGACCGGGAACTCTGTGGCTCTGCTGGCGCAGTGGTCGTCTGAGGTGTGAGTGGGGGACGGTAGCTGGAAATTCGGTCCTGGGGGATCGTCACAGGAGATGCTCCAGTAACGCCATTGGGATGCTGACGAGGTGAGGGTATGTTCCGTGGGTCCGCAAGGGCACGAATATCAGATGGCGGAAGGGACGGTGAAGGAAGCGGTCCGGGATAGCCTGGGACGTGAGGAGGATACTGGTTAGACGGAACCGGTAAGCCGTGAGCACCGTAGGGCGGAGACGCCTGGACTAAAGTGGGATGAGACGGAGGTCGAGTGGGTTGGGTATGAGGCGGTGGAGGAGGGTGTGGAAATCCGTGGCCGTTATACTGCGGATGATCAAGATTGCCGGAGCCCAAACGAGCTCTCTTAGACTGGCCGGGCGCGTCAGGATCAGCCATCCTTAGATATGCCAGACGGAATCCGCTCAGGCCATGCGGCTATGTATGACAGACGACTACTGGGCAAAACGGATGGTCCCAGGACCACCAAACGGCAAAAGCCAGGAAGGTCGCGGGGGGTGGGCAGCCAGGTGGTGGAGAGGCGGCCTCGGCAGTCGCAGGGTCAGGAAAAGACCAATTCGCGGGAGTCAGCGAATAGCAGGTCAAAGATGATTTGCAGATGACAGCCCAACCCGCGTCATCGCCTGGAAGAGGGGAAGAGTTTGGAAAGCGTCGCAGGGCAAGTGCTCGGAGGCCAGAGTGGGATGCAGGACGGGAGCTTTCCTATGCCGCGTGCGCGAAGAAAGGACCTAGCCTTGGGCAAGACTCTCTTACCATGGAGCCGGAGACAACTATCCGAAGCAGGTAAGGCCCAGATGAATGAGTCGCGGACGGTCTATGCTGTCGACGTTTGCTGGCTTGGTCGGCGAAAAGTGGCGCTATTAAGACCGGGCCGTGCGAACGAAGGGGCCAGGGCGCAATCACAGAGGCGCGAAACTAAATCAGTCGCAAAAAGGAACAGCTCAAAGCGAGACGCGACGGGGGGCGGGAGACGGCACAGCGCTGGGTCAGGCACGCGGGTGGTGGTGGAGGGTAGTAGGTGATTAGTAGTGGTGGTGAGGGCTATGGCTATGGTGTGCGATGGGCTATGTCGGGAGGGGAGAACCTGATACCGATGCTTGGAGAGAGATGGACGAGGATTGCAGAAGCGGCGTATTAGCGTAAAGCGAAGGATGTGCAGCACACAGGTCGCTTGTGCCATTAACCCAGTCTGCAAGACAAGGGTTTCGGCGGGGCCACCAGACGCGCTGTGTGGCCATCGACAAGGACGACATGGCACCGTTGTATCAAACAGCGCGAGCTGCCAGAGCCCGTCATGTGCCATAGGATGATGCCGTTGCAGACAGCAAACGTTGCTCCCGCCCGACGCGACCGCGCATCCATTGCTAACTACTTGGACGCCGTTTCCAACCGACGGCAACACGTCTGCGTCTATCAGGAATGATAGACCACTGCTGCAATTTGAGCGCTGGTCGTGTGTCAGTCACGGAGCTCGTTGTTTCGTGCGGCGATGCGCGGTCCTCCGCTATGCAACAGTCATCGTTGACAACCCCCGTGCATCTTGGAGCAGGCCCGCCGTCAGCAGCTATAGTCGGATAATTTCTGCCCAATTGCTGGCCCTGAAAGATTCAGGAAGCTGATCCGAGCTCTGAGGCCGACTAGTCAAGATCCCTAGTCTGCCAGCCTCCACTTTGCAGCGGCACCGAGGTATTCGAGAAGGTTGATAGAAGTGATGCGCTGCTTGTGGCGTGCAGGCAATATCTTGCAACGCCTCGTCTTACGCCTGGTACTGTCTGCTTGCCTCGAGCACTCGGTCCCATCCTTTGTGCTGTGACGATTCATGCGCCGAGTCTTCGCGAACAGGACCCGTCACTCACAACTCTGCTGCCCAAAGATCAGCATTGCGTTTCCGGGCTGCAGATCCTGGCGAGACTCCTATAGGCAGTTTGGTGGCACATGGCGAAATAGTGTGTGTACTGCTGCCACTACCCTTTTGTCCGCCTCGTTTGCTAGGGAAATCGCGGCTGCTGCTCACTGGCAGATGCCGGAGAGGCGCCGGTCTTTTGCAAGTGACATTAATTTTATCATGTCCAAAGTCTGTCCTATAAACTAGCGCGGCCGCAACACGCGACCGCCATTATGGCGTCAGGAACATTTGCAAGCCCACATGGAGTAGGACCCCTCCATCGTGCACTTGGAGTAGATTGGTACTGTGCACGCCGCAGTGCCCTGGACACCCTTGCAAACGCGGCCATGCGCACATAACTCGGTCGTGAAGGGCCTGCCGCAAAGAAACGGTCAGCTGCCCGGCGACATCAATCCAAAACAGCAGCGTCTTTGATGCTAAGCTCTTCACAGAGATAGCCATCGAGCCAGTCAGTCAGATGACGAGCCGACTCTGCCCGGCCCTGTTCCTCACCGACGCTATGGCAAGTTGCGGTCTGCTTCAAACTAGATGACTGATGCGTGAGAGGACCTGTCCGATAGACGACTCCCCACAACCGAGATTGTCTAAGCAAAGCCGGTCTGCGAGCCTCGTGGGATTACCCTGGCTTTTCACATCCTGGCGGCTGTCGCTTTACCACGTGGAACGCATGAGGCGTCCAGTGAAAAAACGGGGAGTCCCTTGGACTACCTCTCCACGGAGCGATGGCGCAGTAACGAGTCAAACTCGTGTCGAGAAGTTGCCGTTGAGTCGGTGTAGTCGCTTCATTCTGCGACACGGCATCTCAAGGCTTGCCATCGATCGGAGCAACAACATTTCTAGAAATTTCAAGCCCTAGACGGCAGGCGATGTAGCAGCCGCTTGCCACATTTGGCATAAGAGCATGCAGAAGGGGCTGGAGAATCGGCAAAGCGGCGCGACACGGTGAACCGTGAGTCGCATCCATGGAACGCATTCGCCTTGTCGTCTAGTGATAGAAAGTGTTCGTGCTGACGCAGATGCATTCAACAATGACGAAAGGTATGATGTGACGTCGCAAGTGACGATATAGATGAACCTTCGTCTGGTCGCTGTCCACCAGGTGGTGCGCGCGGGTATTGCCTTGTAATTTTGCTCCTCGGAAATACGCCCTGCCGTGTCGTACCAAACGCAGAAATTTGCAACCAAGGGACACAGCTTCTAGGTCCCCATTACCAGGTGACACGGCCAGATCAGGTTCTTGTTTGTGTTTCGTAGATGCGTGTAAAGCGCAAGTGTCACACAACTGGTACATGTAAGGAAACAAGTAGACAGGCGCGATTCCGCTAAGCCTATTTCGGATCATGACTGCTTACGCGCATCCTATCTCACACTGCAACTCCACACGAGGGAACGATTTAGTGAGTAGAGCCTATCAGCCTACAGCTTCATTTGTGTAACCCTATGCATCGTCAGGTCTTGCATACTGCACACATATACAGTACGCGAGATGCATCTGCTAGCGATCTTTCGTAACCGAGGTGCTGAGACGCCAGTGAGACAAGTTCAATCGCGCACATGTATACGTCACAATTCCATTCGCGCCTGGAGAGGCGAATGCACATCATCGACAGACACCTCCAGCATCCTCACCACAGTGCCTTCGATAGCGCAAGATCGCGTGGACCACAATCTCTTGTACCAGTAAACTCCCCCCCTAGTCTGAAGTTCCGCCAGGAAGAACATCATGATCGCCACCCTGATCTTTAGCGTCATTGCGAGCTTCGCCATCTATCAGATAACCTGGAGATATCGTAGTCTACAGCGAAATGTCGCGCTCGCAAAGAGCTCGGGATTACCTGTGATTGTAGCGCCATGGCACATGTTCAGTATCTTCTGGCTGTCAACTTTCAAGTTATGGACGCCATTGCTGCAGAGATTTGTGCCAGAACCACTAAGAGGCATGTGGATGGAGTAAGTATGTCCAACTTGATCATAGTTGAGATGTTAATTTGATCCTGCAGCATCCTGCATCCGGAATGGGGTTATATGAGCGGTCATGAGCCCTTCAAAAAGATGGGGATGGACGTGTTTATTGTGGCTTCTCCTACCAGAAATACTGTCTACGTGGCCGATGCGGAGGCCGTCAACCAGATTACCAGCCGCCGCAATGATTTTCCCAAGCCTCTTGAGATGTACGGGTCACTGGACATTTACGGAAAGAATCTTGTGTCTACTGAGGGGTCAGATTGGCGTGCACACCGTAAACTTGTCGCACCGAGCTTCGGTGACAAGAACAATCAACTCGTGTTCAATGAGACTATTCACCACGCAACGTCGATGCTCGATCTGTGGGCTGGGCCTGATGGTAAAGGAAACTTGACCGTGGCTGACCCTTCTGTCGCGGCAATGAACTTTGCTCTCTATGTTATTAGTGGTGCAGGTTTCGACGTACGCGTAGTGTGGCCGCACGAAGAGGGCAAGAAACCAAAGACTAAGAAGGGTGGAGAAGACTCGATCTTCGTAGGATCCGAAGCACCTCCAGGCCACACCATGAACTATAGGGAAGCTCTTAGCGAACTGCTCCACAACATCATGTGGACTCAGATTATGCCTATCAAGTGGCTTTGTAAGTCACCTCCCTGTCATTTTCTGACTGCATTGAATTGAGAACGTTGTTCTAACGTGATCGGACAGCGCGATCACCAGTCAAAGTCCATCGTACAGTCGGAGAGGCTGTAGGCGAATGGGGAAAGTACATGAACGAGATTTACGAAAAGAAGAAGACCCAGGTTGAATCCGGCGATGATACAAAAGAAGGCATGGATCTCTTTGATGCTCTGATCCGAGGAAGCGGCATTACCAAGAAGGAGGGCTCGACGATTACGAAGAGCGATTTGCTGGGCAACGCTTTCGTAGTAATGCTGGCTGGTCACGAAACAACAGCCAACACACTACATTTCTCGATGATATTCCTCGCAATGAACTGGGCGTCCCAGAAGCGGCTACAGGAAGACATCGACAAGATATTTGCGGGTAAGCCGATGGACGAATGGAAATTTGAGGAGCATTTCCAACCCCTTTTCGGTGGTATGGCGGCAGCTGTCATGAACGAGACATTACGCATTCTACAACCCATCGTCAACATCCCAAAGTCTACTGCGCCGGGTCAGCCCCGGCCATTAAATGTTGGAGGCCAACAATACATGATACCTGGAGATACACATATCTTCCTTAGTGCGGCTATCCATCGCAATCCTAAATACTGGCCAGCACCATCTGATGGATCGAATAAGGACGGGATCCCGGACGTAGACTGTTTCCGACCTGAACGCTGGCTCGTCGACACTAAGCCTGACAACGACTTTGTCGACATCAATTACGATGATGAAGATTTACGTGGACCATCAGGAGAAGACACTTCAGCTCAACTCTTCAAGCCCGTCAAAGGTTCATACATCCCCTTCAGCGATGGCTTTCGATCATGCATTGGCCGACGTTTCGCTCAAGTTGAGATTCTTGCCGTGCTGGCTGCGATCTTCTCGCAGTATAGCGTTGAGCTTGCAGTAGATGACTTCGCAAGTGACGAAGAAGTAGAGAAGATGCCAAAAGGAGGCAAGGAGAGGAGGGAGCTATACCGAAAGGCTGAGGATAGAGCCAAGGACTTCCTCAAGAACAAAGTGGCGAGCATTGTCACGCTACAGTTGAGGGGCGTGTCTATACCCATCAGATTGATGAAGAGAGGAGAGGAAAGGTTCGCCTTCGACTAGATGGACACTGTATATTATGCGTTGAGACTTGCATGTACATAAGGGATGAAATGTATGGTTAGATGTGCCTGTAGTAGAAGCTACCCCGCATACGTCACTGCCTCGAAGCTACCCCACCGAGAGCCGCTACATCCGACATAAGTCCGCTACGATCATCAAGAAATTCTATTTGTAAAGGTAGTCCATACGTATATCGAAGTCTTCGTCCTCAAATACGCAAAAGTAACCCGGTACCACCAATTCTGCATATATCACAATGTCACCTCCAATCTTCCCGCCCGAGGAACTACGACAAATCGTCCAGGAAGTAGCCACTCTACTCAAGGAGCGCAAAGAAACAGTCTCAGTAGCCGAAACAGTGAAGTCTCTCCATTCTTCAAGAGCTAAACATCCTTACTGACGCGTACCCACAAAGGCAGCAGGCGGTCTGATTTCTGCAGCACTGCTTTCCTTTCCTGGTGCATCGAGCTATTACCGCGGAGGCCTTACCCTCTATACACTCGAATCACGCATCGCCTACTGCGGCTGGACCCAGGACACCATCAAGTCGTACAGCGGCCCAACCCCCACCATCGTCTCCGGCCTCGCCGAGCACACTCGAAAGACACTAGGCAGCACGTACACTGTCAGCGAGAGCGGAACGGCTGGACCAACGGGAGGCACAACCAAGAACAGGACGCCTGGTTATGTGGCGCTTGCTGTGGCACGGGAGGCAGGCGAGACCGTGACGAAGGAAGTGGAAACGGGAAGTAGTGAGCGCGAAGGTAACATGGTGGCATTTGCCGTGGAAGGGTTGAAGTTGCTACGCGATGTCCTTCAAGGGGGTAGTGAAGGCAAATTGTGAATCATGCAACGAGCTCTTGCATCGATTGACCGCTAGAGGGAGTAAGTAATGCGAAATTTCAGAATACCGAGTATCTGGTTTCAAAGTGTTTCGTTGAGCTTACCTCAGTCTTAATAGGGAAGGAAGGAAGATATACTTCTTATTGGTCTCATCCCATACTCGATACCCGAACTTGCAGTCCAGATCGTGCACGCGTAGCTTTCTGGCTATGTCTTCTTCCGGGAAGATTCAGCGATTTACCACTATTCCAGCCATGGACATCGTCCACTTCGCTGTTACCCAACAATGCACATCTTGTTAGATTAATGAGCAGGTGTTGGGAATATCGATACGATATGACGATCCTTCAAAGTACCCGGCAACTCGGTATCACGTCGACCACACCGCGTGTCGCCAGCCCCGAGCAAGGGATGTCACCCGCTGCACATCAAAAATTCGCTTACCCATCACTCATACTGCCGTGAGTGCATCTCATAATATTCTATTGGCGAGATAGCCGCCCAGATCCTGCCCAGTTCCCTATGCACGGGTGGGGCGTAAGTAGGATTTGCGGCGTGGTTAACTTCCTGGCCCACTTCGTAGACGTTGCCAAGTCCGTCTTCTCCTTGCATAGCAAGCGAAGAGCTCGTTATACCCGTGCCGCTACGATCCAGGCCGTAGGAAGAAGGAGAGTCAGTTACTTGCTTCTATGCAGGGTTGTAGAAGTAGATTGTGGAAGGTTGGCGTAGGATCAGACATGCGACCGGGGATCTGGGCGCCACGTGTGTGATGGTATGCAGCCCTATCTGGATGCAGGAGCTACAGGATTCAAGATAGAAAAGACGATTATGAGCAAATTTGGAAGGCAGTCCGGTGCAGTAAACTGACTACTAGGATAGGCGAGCATGCGGCGTAAGGGTTGATGTGGCGCAGTTGTTCGGAAGGGTGACGTACCCGTGGACGTATCGAAGGGTTGAGACAGATCGGGTGGTCTTCAGATTTCAGTTTGAGGCCTTTGCTAACGCTCATTCTAAACTGTATCAAAGGACTTCCTCGACGCTGGCAGACATGTACGCGATTTTCCATTTTGGTGCAGACGTGAAGTCTGAGAACTTGTGCATTTCGAATTCACAATAACCAGCTTCTGGTTCTATCTGTGATATGAAACCACGTAGTTACATACATATTGCTTCAAAAGTGGGCCTCAGGATTGAAGCTCATTGGAATTCATCACATCATCAGCATCTAAATATATTCACATAATGCTCGTGTGCGTAGAAGAGCCGCTTACCCGGCGTTCTATAGCCCGCATTTCTTCTATGAACATCATCTTCCAGGTTTTCAGTATATCCACATATGCAAATGTACCTGCTTCAGTCTGTCATTTACTCACTTCCGCAAATGCAAGTACCTTTGCAAGCAGGTCTATTCCCCGCACCTTTACCAAATATACTACCGCTCCAGCAGCATCTTCCGCAGGAGCAATTACTGCTTCCTCCAGGACCTCTTTTGCAACCACAAGTTCCATTAGTCCAGAAAACCCTATACGTGACCACCTACTCTTCCGAAGTCCTCGAACGCCAACCAGGCGCCGAAGCACAACTATTACAACACATATCACATGTACCAGCTCTTCTGACGATATACTGTCAGACATGGCGTGCACCACCACGAAAAATGTGTGAGATGTACTCTGGAGTGAGCCAGCAAATACAGCAGTTTATAATGGGGAGTCGAACAGCCGTACGAGAAATGTGAGTACCACATGTATATTACTTTACTATTTTGAAGAAGTCAGGTAAGACATGAAGCGCTGATTTGTGATATATTAGTAACAAAGCACTGGCTTCTATTGTCAACCATTTCAACGCTGGTCATCAGGTTGCCTCGATACAGACTACGTGTCATGCGGGTACGCATCGAAGTGTCGGTACAGCGGAAATTGTTGCCAAACAGATGAGACGATCGGGTGTGAACGTTGTGATCAAGCATTTGCATCGGAGAAAGGGACCTGGTGATCCTTGGTAGGTTTGAGATAGTTAGGTGGATAGACATGTGTTCTCATAACAAAAAGCTTCGATAATGATACATAGAGCAATTCATTGCGGTGTTGACATTATCGGAAAGCTTTTGGAGAATTTCTCCATGTCCAGCTCCCACGCTCGGGTTGGATTGCAAACCAGCCGTCTCAAATTCCCATCGCTTTTCTTGGACGTGTGTTTGTGGAGGAGACACTCAAACCATGTTAAACCTGAACTTGGCTTTTAGGAATAGGTGGGAGGTACTGCTATAGTAGAACAAGAATCGTCGTGATGTTGGATTTATATACCCGACGGTCGACGTTCCCACAGAAAGCCGAGGCAGCCGGAAACCATGACAGCCAGGTCGAATGTTTTGTATTTGTGAATGCGTTGAACACCTTCGTACTCCTATCTCATGAGCAGTCCAGTGTATGTTTTGAATCCCAAGACGAACATGAGCGGTACAGACGTAATGTTTCTTCAATAATGTTTCTTCAACTTCGAAAGCGGATATAGCGCATATTTCTCCAGTTTTGGGGTAGTGCCTAGAGCAGAAAGACGTTTGCTGTTGATTATGTCGTTCAAAAAAGCGAGAGAAGTTCCATGTCTGCTTTCGCAGTTGTTTTTGGAGGCAGAGAAGCAGCACAAACGGCCCCATGATAGAGTTTTCGTTCCAGTTTGGGTATAATGGACGAAGAAAGAGTAGAAGTGCACTCCATGTTGTTGGCATTTGTCGTTTTTGAGAAGAAGAGAAGAACAGCACACTCCATGAAGCGTTTGCTTTTTTTTTTTTGGTAAAACTCAAGAAGAGTGGATGTGATGAGCAAAGAAGAGAGCGGCGGAAAGAAGGCTTTATATACCCTCCTCCCTCGCTACTCTTTTCGTGGAGCCTAGCAAGAGGCAGCCGAATACCATGGCAGCGAAGTCAAATGTTTTGAAATTGCGGATGTATCAAAGGCCTCCGCACTGCCATATTATGACCCATCTCAGTGCCGATTTTGGTATCACATTTTCTAACCCGAGAGATGGATCAGAGAGCACTTGGCTTAAGATTACCTTAACAGTAACATAGGAGGAGTGCCATAGGCAGATTGTTACTGTGGTAATTGATTCTTTACTTCAAGAAACATGCCTCTTAGCAAGAAAGCCTGTCCTCTCCGCCATCTCACACCCCTTCCCCCAGGCACACATACACTCAGCAATAGCAAAGTCTTTGCACAGGTAAAAAGCGATAATCATTCACTAACCCCTTTCTTCCTCTGCTTCCCCACCTCACACCCCTCGCTTCGTCATCATGCTCCCATTCATACACACATCACCGCCCGCCAATCAGCTAAAAGCAGAGTACCGTCCCACCACCCCACCCACCCACCAACCAACCAAACCATCTCAAGGCCGTGAGAAAGAAAAGAAGGCCAATCGTTCGACTACCCAGCCGTCCAAGTCCAAGTCCATCACCCAACCCAGCATGATAACAATAAAGCTTACAGCTACAGTTCAATCCATACGTAGCAAAAAAACCCCCAAGGTAGCCGGCAAAACAAAAAGATACGCATAGAGCACAAGGCCCGAATCTGTCCAGGAGCGAGCTCCTCCCTATAACGCCATTGAAAAGACAACCCCTAATTGCAACCCGCTCAGGAGTCCTAGTTTGTGTGTTTGTGTGGCGGGTAAGATACATCTTGGTATCGAGGCCATGTGAGGTAAGGTATAGGTGACATAGAGGTATGTAGCCTCCAGGGCAGTTATGTCGCATGTGTGCGCATATGTTGTATAATACAGATCCATGTCCCATTCGCTCCCAAGCCAATGTGAAGTAAACGCCGAATCGATAATTGGGGGGAAGAGATGCGAGCGTTGCCATGCTCCCTCACTGAGGAAGAGACTGGTAGATTAGGATAAGATAGGGTGTTGTGTAAAAGAGGTATTGGAAGCGAGATTTTGTGGTCATTGGCTGTGAACCGCTTTCGACGGGCGACGCGTGATCATGTTCGGTCGTTGTACGATTGCGTAATTGCGGAAATGTATGGTCGTTTCGTATTCGATTGACCAGTTCATGATGGCGCCATGCCTTCGATAGCTCCACGTTCGAATTCCTCTAGTCGCTTGAGCTTCGCTTCTAGCTCTGAGAAGATGTCGCCCATATGGCAGGCTTGCTCAAGTAGAGGCGCAGCGCCGAACGGCCTTACCATGTGACGCAGGGCAAGGGTGCTGGCACAAGTCTGTCATCTTCATTAGCATTCGCTCTCTTCGTACTGGAAAGTGGTGTGAATCGTACCTCGATTCTGGAGATCTGATGCTCCACGAAATTGATCAAGAATCGGTCCGTTATCTCCCCGCCCCTACTCCTCATTCTCTCCAAGAGAGCCGTCTCCGGCGGCTTCAATTCTGAGCACCCTGGGTTCTCAAGTGAACTGCACAGCATCTCTAGACGCAGACTAATGTTCCAGAGATTCCATACGTCTTCGGTGTCGATGGTGAGCTGACTACCCGCCATCTTTTGACCCACAACAGCCTCTTTCTGCTGTTCCGCAGGCTTCTGTTCTGTCTGACGTTGAACAGCAAGACGACTAGCGAGCGAGTGGGGGTACATGAGGTATATGTATTCAGGATTCTCAAGACCCTTGAGGCGGCGTTCACCAAGGTCTTTAACCTCAAAACCTTGGGAGCTGAGCGACCGTAGTTCTCCACGAATCATCTGGCTGTTTATGTCGTCGCTGTATGCTTCTTCAGATCCAGCGGAGTTCTTACGATCGCCTTCAATGTGCGTCTCGAGTAGACGTTGAATTTCAGCAATGAAGTCAGACGAGACAGTGATTTGACCTCCGTCAGCAACGGAAGAAATACGCGAGGCGCGATTGACCATGGGTCCAAAGTAGTCCATGCGCTTGGTGACTGGGTCAACTTCGCACACTGGTGTGCCCCAGTGGATACCCATACGGACAGAGAGACCTCGGAAGATGACATTACCATCAGGGTCGACGACCTCTTGCCCGTTGACGCTGTTGAGAATCTCTTGTGGCCACTGCACGTCGAGTAACTGGCTCTGGATTGTGAAACACCACAGCAAAGCTGACGTCACAGTACGGAAAGCGACCATAAAGGCGTCACCTTCCGTCTTGACTTCGTAACCACCAATGATGCGCAGCTGTCGGCGCATGAGCTCGTTGTGCATCTTGATCGCGGAACGCATGGCAATCGGGTACGTCTCCCAGAGTATCGTCGAGTTCTTGATATCCGTAAATACCAAACTAACTTCTCCTGTTGGTGCGTCCACCTCGTTGTCGAGTCGAGCAAGCTTAGAATCGCCGACCAAGTTGCCCTTCTTTCCACGTCTTCGAGTTGCCGCAAAATCGGGATCTGCACCGGGAGCAGGTATGAGAGACATGCTTTGAGTGCGGTACCGAGCGCGTTGTTTGCTCTTGAGATCGCTGACGCCAAGCAACATCACCATAATCTTGTTAGTCGCGCCGAAAGCGATGGCCAGGTCGCGGAGTTTTTGAGCAGCAACCATCAAGTCGTCGCGCTCCGATCGTGCGACATCGACAGCGAAGTCTGGAGTGAGATAGTCCCAAAGCTCTCGAGAAGCTATCAGTACCATCTCATCTCTGTCACCAAGAGTGAGGTTGAGGATGTGTGGTGAAGCAATAACTGATGGGGACATTTGAACGTAACCAAATGCTCTCGAAACCTCCAGAACGTCGTTGAGTTTACCCTGTCGTGAGACAAATCCACCGGCTTCTCGTATCCTGGACCTCTCACCAGGCTCAGCGGGGTCGTGTTTCCTAGTAAGAATCTTGTGTCCTCCTTCTGAACGGATCAGAAGGGCTTGTGCATCACCAACGTTGGAGATGTAAAGTTCCATCTCTTTGAGAAACAGTACTGTTGCCACGCTTCCAGACGTCAGGTCATCATCGCTGAGATCGGGCATGGAGCTGCGTGATTGTGTCGATGGTGCAGTGAGGCCGTTTTTGTCCAGACCCTGGCTTGCGGCAGTAGCCAGTTCCTTATTGAGACCAAGGTAAGTTCGTCGCAAGGCATCCGATGGCGTTTCAGTTGGTTGTAAACGCTCGAGCTCGTTGGCGAATCGGTTCTTGAAGTGATCGTACAAGTACTTGGCGATTTTAGCTCCGCCACCAGCGAGCGGTTGTGCGTCAAACAGACCCAACAGCTGCTCATCGTCATGACTACGGAAGCGGGGTACAACCATATCCATAGTCGAGATGTGTTCGTTGCGACCCAGCGAATCAGCCATACCGTACGCCATTGTCCCGACAGCCGAGCCAGCAGTGCGCACTCGCCGGTCTTCTGACTGCTCAGGTACCGAGGGAACCATCATCGTGACATCCATAAGCCCAAGCACTCGAAGATTAATCAAAGAGCTGAAGTCGGTAAGGTCGCGGCCTTCTCGCATGCTCATGCCACTACCGCTATACGAGCCGCTAGGTTTGATCTCTAGACGCTTATTGCCCGACAAATTCAGGTAGCGGAGTTTGTGGTTCCAATTCCAATTCCAGTCATATGGCCAATTCGACACATTGTACTTCAGCGAGTTGCTGGCGACATCGAGAACGGCCAACTGCGCAACCTTGCCAAGTTCTGCTGGCAGGACCTGGAACTTGTTGTTGTTGATGTGAAGGACCTTGAGCGAACCAACTTCCTCCAGATCCTCTGCTGGGAGAGATGTCAAGTCGTTGCCCGATAAGTACAGCTCAGTGAGGTGTTGCCATCTTCGGATCGTACGAGGCGGTACGTCGTAGATGAGATTGTATGCCAGATTGACGATTCGCAACTCGGGAAGCAGACATAGTTCGTCAAACACGTCGTCGTTTAGCCGGTTGTCAGCCAGGAACACATGTCGAAGAGAGCCCGCGAAAGTAGTCACCAAGCGGCTACTAAGGCTGGAGTCTTTGCGGGACACGGGGGTCAGTGTCCCTTCAGTGGGCGCACGAGACGCTACTGATGGCTTGCGTGTGCTCGCAGTGTTGTATGATGCCTGGGATCCCT